TATCAGCCGTGACCAATGATTAGCCCAACCAGAGGGTAAGCACAGAGCTTGTTACTCATCCCTCACGTCGAGCAGATCTCGTTAGTGACAGGTGTGAATGACTTCTTCCACCTCGCCTACGATACTCACGATATCGACGCTGTGGCTCCCGTGCGGGCTATCGATATTTGCTGGCGGCCCTACGCCTGTCATTGGGTTGCAAAAAGTGGACGACCAACACTGCAGAAACTTTCTCGCCGTCGTCTCGCCTTGTTGCAAACTGATCCGCATCCTTTGTTCCCTTTTCTGCCCGGGCTGTTTCTGCCGTTTCTCCCACCCTCGTCTTCCGTAGCCACCGCGTCTTGTTAGTCCCGGCCTTTTCGATCCCAGGTCCTGGTTCCCAAAGAGACCGTCAAACCGTTGACCGCTCCTGTTTCAACCCATTGCCTTTGCTGCTGCCCGCTGCTGCTGCCGACGCCGCGTGCTGGTCCCGCCATCATTCCCGGACTTCCGCTGCAGCTGGTGGCATCGAACGAGACCGGCTCCAAACAATAGCCACCACAGGAACTCGATACCGGTTTTGATTCCAGCTACAGAGTCTGCTTGACCGTTGAGGTCGCATCGCATCTATGCTGGGCTCCCATATCACGCTATTCACCATTCCTTCCCGTTTCCCTCTCGCAGGGGTGAAAGCGAGAAAAGAACGCCGTCTCTTACTAACATCAAGCCCCCCTCCGCACTCCGCCCAACCACCAATTCGCCGCGACTCATTCCCTCCGACAACCCCTGCTCCCCTAGGCTTTTTTTCCCTCCAGTTCCGAGTTCCCAGTTTTGAGCTTCCCACGACGATGGAAGTCTGAAGGAACACAAGATGGAAGCTTCCGTCTCATCCCTTCACGATCGATGCAAGCCTGAGTCGCGGCACAGCAACCCGCCGTTTCTTAGCTTCTCTCACATGTCGCACTATACAGTTCGAGGCGACCACTTGGGACTAACGGAAATGATGTCATTGGCGCATAGTCGGTCGTCCTCAGCCTGTGCCACCACTACCATTTCTTGCTCAGACCCTGACTTTCTCGCAGTTCCTCTTAAGAGCCCAAAAGTCTGATCATGTGTTTTGCAGGAGGAGACGTGCAAGTAATCCCGCTGCTTTCGTCCAATGTTTACGGCCTCTTACCCGCAGGGTCGGGCGCAGTACCAAGCGCCCACCAAGATCAAAATAGCCATGGCCTTGTTGAAAGTGCAATAACGCCCCCCTGCTATAAGACCCTGAGCCAGTTTTTAGTCGGGGCGCATAAACCTGGCAGCAGGGTCCGTCAGAAACCAGTGTCGCATCGGGATGGACATGAGGCTCGTATTGACTTGTGATGGCAGCTCGTTCCTTGATTCTCTCGAGGAGGCTCATTACTAGCTCGTTTGAGAACAATCGAGAAATTTTCTAAAGAGACAAGAAGTCAAGTTCGGCGGCACACTGAGCAAGACGCTAGTGACCGGGCCGCATCCGTTGACGACTATCGTTATCGGCTGCCCCCCCCAGCCGCAGCCTCCGCAGACCGAATTATGCAGGTCTGAAGCCGTAGCATCACCACGATCAACTTGGTCCGAAAAGGTTGTGCAAAGTCCAATATATCTATGTATACTCTATATAGGTATCCCTTTTCAAAGGGCCCGTCGGCCCGCACGCCTACAGCTGCGCACGACTGTTCAACATCATCGTGGGTATGGCGCACCGAAGTAATTTTCCCCCAATTCAACAGCGTAAAACTCCCAGGTATTCTTATATGCTTAGCCAAAGCTCTCTTTTCCCCCAGATCTTGCTCCCTTCCTTCCTTCCATTGGTCATGCTCATGCTTCTATGCTTTACAGCAAAAAGACGAAAAATTCAATGCACTCTTTCCTTCTTGCCGCCACGCCGCAAGCTTACTTGCTGTGAGTGGGCAGGGCGCCAAAGGCAAAAGTCTGTGCCAGACGACGCTCCTCGTTCTTGCGGCCGTTGACGAAGTCAGGGTAGTTGAGCGTGAGCTCGACGGCGCCGTTGACAATGTTGTCGGCGGCCTCGACACCGAGCATGAACGAGTGGTCCTGGTTGCCGACCTCGTATCTCCAGCTGCCGAAACGACCGCGGGAGTAGATGCCCTGGTCAAGGAGCTTGGGCAAGAGGTCCTTGAGGACACCCTCTCTCTCAAGCGAGGGAGTAGGGTAGCCGTGGTTGAAGCGGCGGTGGTAGGTGGAGACAATCTCGTCCTCGGGCTTGATCATCTCAGTGTTGATGAGACCCTGGATGCATTGCTCGAGGATCTTCTCCTGGTCGACAGGCTTCATCGAGGACTCGGAGACCTCGAGCATGATGGACCAGTAGGGACCCTCCTTGGCCTCGGTCGACTCGGCCTTCTGGCCGTTAGCCAGGTACAGCGTGGGCAGCTTCTTGCCGGCCTCGGGCTGGTTGTAGGGGGAGTAGTTGGAGAAGATGGTGGCGCGGTAGAAGGGGCAGTTGTCCTCGGGGAAGTACAACCAGCACTTGTCGCCGATGCGCTCGGGGCGCTCGCCGCGGATGCCGACACCGATGACGTGGGTCGACGAGTAGAAGAGGCCCTTGGACAGGCTAACGAGCTCCTGGTTGCCCATGCGCTCGACAAGCTGGTCAACGTTCATTGTCGAGATGAGCTTGCCGTACTGGACGGTGGTGCCGTCGGCGAGAGTGACAATCTTCTTGTCGGCGTCGACCTTCTCGACAGTGCCCTTCTGGCCGTAGCGCGTCTTCTCCTTGGGGAGGGTGTTGGCAACGGCGATCCAAATACCACCGGTTCCGTCGCGGGCAGGGAACTTGAAGGTGGCGTTGGGGCCCCAGTTGCCGGCGACCTTGTTCAGGACGACGTTCTCGGTGACGAGCTTCAGGTTGGGGCAGCGACACGCTCTCCGAGCCACTGGCACTGCATCTGCGGGGGTCAGCTTTCGTTATTGAATTGTGACGAGCATGGGACTGCTTACCTTGGTCGTGGGGACGGCCCAGACCTTGTAGTTGTAGGGCCGCATGAAGATGTCGGCGACACCCTCACCACAGTTGCGCAGAATCCACTCATCAAAGTCCTTGGGCTTGGTGTTGGCAACACGGCACTCAAGGGCAGCGTCGATAAGACCGTTCATGCACTTAACCTGGTCCTCCTTGGGCAACATGGAGATATTGTTCTGGAAGGGGTAGGGAACCCAGAGGCCCTTGTAGCGGACGTAGGAGATGCGCTGGTGCGTGAACCAGTCATCGTCCTTGGGGAGCGCCTCCTCGATGCAGTCGTCGAAGTACTTGTAGTGGGAAAAGATGACGTGGCCACCAACATCGTAGAGCTGTGTTCAACTTCTGTTAGGAACGGTCGGCAACGCATTGGAAGCTAAAGGAAACTCACGAAGCCCTCGGGGGTGGTGTCAGTGCCGGCAAGACCACCGGCCTTCTCGGCGGAGTCGACAAGCAGCCATGAGGGGCCGTTCTGCAGTGGCAGTTAGCATTGAGCGTTGGACGGGCAAGGGTGGCCGCGATCTAGCGGTGAGTACGCACAATCTGGTTCAGGCGCTTCGCAGCACCAAGACCGGTCGGGCCAGCGCCGATAACCAAGACATCAACGTTACTGGAGGAAAGAGCAGTTAGACGGGAATATTCTTCAACGGCAATTGCGACTGGAATGCCAAGTGCTTGCAAAATAGCTGCCGCGGTGTGGGCGCAATTGCAGTTGGTTGGAAAGATACTCACATGTCAGCCATGGTGGGGGATGGATGTGTGCGGGTTTGGGTGGAAAGTGGCAACGATAATACAAGTCTATCTGTAGACAAGAAAGAGAGAGGGAGAGCGTCTCTTGGAGGAGGATCTGGCGGACGAGGGAAGGGATCGCAAGATCTTGAAGCAAGAGTTGAACCTGAGAAGGAAACAGGAGAGAGCGAAGGAAGTTTTGGCAGCAAAGAAAGGAAGGAGGAGGGAAAAGTCGCGCGGTGGTGGCTACCGTGGCCGTTGCTGTAGATATGGGTTTCTGGTTTCGACGGGTTCCAAAGAAAAAGGGGACACTCTGACACTGACACTGACCGATTGACTGGCTGACTAGGTACTGGACTCTGGCAATTGTTGCTGCTGCTCCTGCTGCCGCTACCTACTCGTGCCTACTGCGGCTGCTGCTGCCCTCGCTCTTGCTTGGTCTTGCCTCCTTCCCGCACCGCAACTGTGATGGAGGGGCCAAACTATTATTTGGGACAAGGGGTTCAGCGGGGCCCCCTGGTCGACGGCCATGAAAGCCCACACTGGTTGCTGCAGGTACGTACCTCGACTCTTGGTGCCGTGTCCCAGGTTGCTCCGTCCACTAGGCTGCGCCCCACATTTTGAGATATCACCCAACATAAGGACACCTGGAGGTGGGTGGTGGCTTCCTGGCTGCTCATCTCTGCTCTCTCCTTGATGGCTGTCTGCTGCAGGTTCGAATCCTTCCCAGGGGCACCGGGTGTGGGAGCACGCGGCGACGTCCCGGGCACCACAAAGTTTCTTGCCGTGCCGAATCGGCGGCAAGATGCTCTATCTGCCGCCGGCGGAGACTTCTGCCTCATTTTCCAGAAGCTACAGGTAAAGTAGCCATGTGTGACCTTTTTTTTTTTTATTAAAACATCCCCTACGTCGAGGCTTATGGCTCCGGCGCCTAAGACATGGCGTTGTGTGGTATCAAAACTTCTTGCCCTGTTGCATTGCCCAATGATGCTTTCTGGAGACATTTTACTCGATGGTTGGCAACTCATCGTCAAATCTCACTACCCCAGGGGGGTACCCTGGACTGCACAGCAATACTGGAAACGGTAACTCGATAGACGGGCGGGCGGCAGCGAACCGCAAACCTAGGCCAGGCCCTCGTGTCCTGCGAGCCTGCTTGCTTGTTCTCCCCTCCCGCCCCGCCCCTCCAGCCTCTGGACACTGGGCACTGGGCACCAGAGAGCAGAAGAAAGACGCGGCCGTACTACAGTACTAGGCATGTACTATGGCATCTAGTGTACAATTGCAGGGGGAGCAACGGGTGCCAATGTTACAGCCACGACAGTGGAGTGCCGGAAGCTTGTCCACAGTCCAGAGGCGGCCGGACTCCCGTCTCTGGCAGCGGCACTGAGCAAGAGTACTGCGACCCACGGCCGGTTACAGAGTCCAGACCGGGTTTGTGATTGGTCTCGTCTGGCGACGGCTTTCTGAGACTGAAGCAGAGAGGCAAGGGACGCTGGGAGTAAGACACGCAAGGCGCCGCCGTCGGCTGAATCAACTTGGCTGAACCACCACGGGTGAGGCATTAGTGGTGGTGAGTGTGAGATGACCCGAGGTGAGGACCGTCAGGTTAGATGTGGGATGAAGGAGAGATATGGGCCCCTCCGCCTGGATTGGGTCTGGCCTGTTGATTCCTACCTATCCACAGCCCTTTCGTGCGGTCTGGAAACTGGGAACTGGAGAGAGCTGTGGAGAGGTAATTCAATTCGCCTTCGCTTCCCCAAGCACTCGAGGACACGTTCCCTAGTGTACACTATACTGCATGCCCCATGCTACAAGGCAAGGTGCCCGTCAACCACGTACGCACACGCACCCGTCGACCCGTCGCAGTTCACTAGTAGGGGTAGATGCTTGAAAGGTACGGCCCACTGTCCGCAGTCCACAAACCCCTCCATCATGAAGGGAAGCGCGGCGTCCGAGCAGATACATACATAGTACATCATCATCATCATCATCATCATCACCGGGGCAGAAGTCTGTTCAGACTTGACTACCCTCGGCACCAGAATATTGACTTTTGCAGACATGCGGATCGTCCATCGCGCAATAAAGAACAGACGGGCACAGGGTAGAGCTCATAAGCTTTTTAACCCAATCTCAAGACACCAAGAGGGTCAGGAACGCCTTCACGGACGCTCCTCATTCTGATTGATGAATCCCCAATCTACCCGGATGCACCATCGCGCCGCACCCCATCACCTCTTCATCCAGACCCCGATGGTGACAGACCGCCAAGGCAATGCTCGTTGACCGCCTCCTATCGACCATACAGCACCTCGGCCAATCCTACATGCACAGCTGCCAAAGGAGAGGAAAGTATCGGCACGGCCTCTGCAAGGTTGCTTGCCTTGCCGCCAAATCAGGCCCCCGAATGGCCAATTCACCTGGTGCGTCGGATGCTGTTGGTACTGCTCGCTGCTCGCTACCGGCCCTTACCCTGTCCCAGTCACACAGATCCTGCTGGCTCCTAAATCTCACGACGCTATTCGGACCAGAATGTGTTGCTCTCCTGAGAGAGGTCGACAACGTTGGCTTTACCGTCTTTGCATCTTAACCCGGCACCATTGACATCCGGCAGTGAGCGGCGTCTTTGTCGTCCCGCATCCTGGCATGCCAATCTGGCCGCTATCCAGAAGTGGGCTTGGTGTGGCTTGCGCTAATATTCTCTCATAATTCGAACCAACCCACCGACAATCTGCATTCACACGTTATTTTCGTCTCCATTTCCCAGTCAGGTAGCTAGTGTCCGTCATTTCGCTCAAATTCGGCCTCTCATGGTGTCAGTGTGTGCCCGTGTGCCTGCCGCTGCCGCTATCAATCATCACCTTGTCGTCGTTGTTGGATGACCGGAGAAGGATGCGCTCATCTTGGCTATCAGACACGAGCTAGACTACGTTCTTGTTTGTATTGCGTACTCCAGAGCGTCCTTGGTGATATGGAGTCCGGGACGCCCACCCCCAAGATTGTAGCCCCGGTTCGAGTTGTGATGACCTCGATAACGGAACCCTGCCCGGTGTAATCTCATAAGATGAGCGCAATCCCACCTCCATTGGCACGCTGCAGCTCGCCATATTTCGTCATGCAAGCAAACTTTTGACTGTCGTCTTGAAGGTAAAGAGGCTGTATGGCTCGACATTAGCTTGCAACCCTTTCGACTGAGGACTCGGTCGTTGTTCCTGGATCGAGTGAGCGTCGTTCTTGAGTCTGAAAGAGCCGAAACGTGGTGTCCGTCGAATTTGGAGTCTGGTCACGCCGGCGCCGGCGCACCCCAAACTGCCTTTTTGCGCCAGTCAGATGGCCCGAAGAGGACGCGAGCAGGTTTGTGATTTGGTGTTCCGGTCGCCTCTACCCGCAGAATGGAGCTCCAATTGTAGCATGCGAAAGCCCATGTTCCATCTGCTCATTTTCATCAACTTCGAGCGTCGCCAATCAAGATGCGGACAGGGATACCGTTGGCTACCGCGCTGGTGCTAGGTGGTCTGCATCTCGCCTCTCGGCCAGCGATCGCCGCTCGAGAAATTGAAGGCGGCCTTTCTTATTCTTCTGCTCGCCCATGCCCCCCACGAGGACGACGAGCTTGTTGTGATGAGATGAGCATGGCGCAAGGGGGATGGAACTCGGGCCAGGTGCCACCTTTGAACATCTGGCAATCTGGAAAATCTTCCCGTCGCTCGTCCTCCTGGTTCGTTGTCGTCACCACTGGATCCGGGTTGGAGTGCTGATGGAGCAGCCCGAGTTAATTTCGATCCGTCGGTAGTTGTTACAAACAGACGCCGTTCTGGGTCCCCAGCCAGCTCTGCTCGTTAGCGATGGACGTTTGCATCCCAATGCGGGATTGCCCCTGCTTCTCATCTGCGGAGCAGCGAAGGAGGCTGTGAGAGTCGATCACCAATGGTCCATCGGCCCGTTGGTCTCTGTCTGGTCCCTATGTCGCAAGCACCTCCGTAGGCATGCTTCCGAGCGTGCGTGTCTCCTCCACCGACAGTGTCGAGTGACAGCCACTTCCCCGAACAAGACACATTTTCAATGGTCTGCCCGGCACCCAGCGCAGGGATTCAGGCCCCATCTCATCAGCACTCTGAAACAGACAAACTGGATCTCTTGTAGATCGGCCGGGTCGGTTTCGAGGCGCCGCATAAACCTCGACATGGCCAGCCACTGATTCAGGGTGCACTCCAAACACTGGGTTTCTAATAACAGCACCGCCAGCTGGAGGATTACAGCGGAGCCGTTCGCTGACAGAATGCTTGGTACCGTCTGGCAAAGTAGGACACGCTGGTCCTACGGTACCTTCGTCTGATGAAATATACTTGGTGCCGTATGCAACCAGGCGTTGTTGAACGGCAAGGTGCGGCGCCATGAGCGACTAGCCAGTGAGTGGACGACGATTCAAGCCAAGCCGTCTGCCAGGTCCAGGCTGATGGATCTGATATATTGAGTCGTCCGTAGCCTCGCCGACCTGTAAGTGGCGCTCTCGGGACTGCACACGTAGTCATTTGCATACAGGTACATCAGAAGCTTGCGGCGCACATCAGCAACGACGGGAGGCAGATGATAGGCGACAAGCGGCTCCTGTGTCCGAATAGTCATGCAACACCCGCTGTAGGTTTGGGCTTGGTTGTACGGAGAGGTGGCTTGGTACGACAAGTGTGGCAGCCACGCAAGGCCCGGTACGAGTAAGGCTGAAGTGAGACCTGATTGGACGCGGAATTTCGAACGAATCTTTCGGGCCCCGAAGACGAGAGTGAAGTGCAATGGAGATGTGCGAGGCAGGCAAACTCCAGCCTCCTGGGGTCGGTGGTCAAGCGGCCGGCGTCCACGATCTGCCATCTCGAAAGTGCCTCACGGCGTGCGGCGTGCCATCTCTTTAGGTAAGGCGGCAGAGAGCATCGCCCACCCAGGTTCAGTGAAAGGGTGACGATTCGGCTCTCGTCACGGCGGAGGCGGACTGTAGAGGCGAAGAGGACGGCAGGAACGAGGGTTGTGCTTGCGAGATTCGTCGCCATCAGGCAGGCCAAAAACAGGGTCCCACCAACTCGCGACTTCCGGGACGAAAATACAATCCACTCGCTGTGAGGTGTTGAGAAGCGGATGGATGTAGAGGTAACAGGTTTGGTACCTCCCCATATGACCGCCTATGGCTCGAAGCTCGGTCAACCTTGAGATTTGACATTACAAACGGCACGGAAGGTATAGGCGCGGACAACGGAGCCGTCTTGCCCACCCACACAGTCAAGTCTGTAACCAATAAAGCAATCACAGGTCTGGGGTTGATTGCAGCCGAGGACGTTGCCTGCGGGTTAAAGAGAGCAACTTCACAATGATTAATTAGCCTGTGTTACTGCAGGCTACGGGTACCAGTCTATGAGCCTCAAGTTTACTTCTTTTGTCCATTCCTCCTTCTGGCCTAGTTCTGACCGACGGTTGACGGTTGACAGATAATACCTGCATCATACCACATACACTTAGGGGCTACGGATGCATAGCACGGTGTCCTAAGCAAAGCCGACCAATCAGTTCTGGAGGCGGCGGCTCTGTCATGCGGTAGGGGGCCATGCTCTTAGATATCGCGATATCGATGGCATTCCTACGAACGCATGGAGATGTGATTTCGACCCTAGCGGGACGACCTGACCGAGAACCATCTTAGTCGCATCTGTATGGCCATGGCTGGTACTGTGAGACTGAGGCGATGTCGAGGGGCTTGGACGACCGGGAGAGGCAATGCGACCCCGTTCGGTTCCCCTTTCGGAGCTATTGTCCAGTTCCTTCTCTTAACCAACAGCAAGTGCACCATTAGAGGTGGCAATACTATCGAGTGCGTTGACGGTAGTTGCATAGTACATGTACACTACAGCTGAGTTGACAGACACTGCGTGCAGATCAATAAACAGTATCCATAGCCGGCGGCACGCTGATGTGGTTACCAGCAGCAGCAAGGAACCCGGATCGAGGCGGGAGAGAGTGAGAGAGTCAGGCTGGGGCTGGATCATCAACCCATATTACCGTGCTTGGCTGGCCACAAACTACCTTCCTCCTACGACACTGGGGCCTGAATAGATCTGTCGCCTTAGGTATCTACTATATCCACCATGACAATGTCTCTCGCGCAGTACGCATCTGCGTCGTCCAGACTGGCTGGATGCCTTTAATTGAAGAGCTGGTGAAATGCCAAGGAACAGAACGTGGGCGAGCGGGCAGAGCTTGATTTGCGGCCCCTATCCAAGATTGGCAGCACTAATATTAGTCCCATCGGAGCCCCTGAGAGGGTGGCGTACCTTTCCCTCCAAGTGTACCTCTCGACGCCGGCACCGGTGACTTGACACCCGCAGCAAGTGGGCTCCCTGTACCCGATACATGCGGGCTGCGCTCCGGCCAAGGTGCCAACACCTGCTGGCGGGTACGCGGCTCCACCCCACCAAGTATTCGTGACTGTACATCGCCTGCCGCATCCTGGATTGGGCGGGCTTGATCGCGTCAACGTGAACCTCAATTTCCAGAACAAGAGCGCAGGAACAAGGAGAGAGAGGGTAGGGGAAACGCAAGGGGAGGAGAAAGTAGGGGAAAGGGAAAAAAAAAAGGCCAGAGAATTTCGCATTGTGTTGTTTTTTTTGTTCCTCTGCTAATTGCTGGGACCATATCTTTGCTGCACTACAACCTCGCCTAGGCCCGCCCCCCCCTTCCTCCTACTTTTTTTTCCTGCTCTTTCCCCTTTCCACACCCCTAACGCCTCTGACCTCTGTCCTCTTCAAACCTCTATTAAACTCTTTCCCGCAGAGTCGCGGTTGTCGTTGCCCTTCCCTCTCGGCTCTTCTCTTCATTTCTTCATTCTCCTTCACGACAAGTTACAAACGCCCCAAGCAGCCGTGCGCAGCCCCTCCCCAAGGTTTGAACTGGCTCAACCACAGGTGTCTGTTGACGTTTTATCCCTGGGACCCCCGATTTGCATATTGTTAAAGTACCTGTCGCCTACCCCACGACACCTTTAACGAGTGCTTGGCCGTCCCGTCCGCTCGCTCGCTCTCATTTGCGCGTCCCGTCTTTTTTTTGCCAACCCCGAAAGCTTTCCATCCACTTGCTCCTACATCGTCACCAAATCCCACTGCCACTGAGCAATTCAATCCGCCCGCCGCCTCACTCACTCCCTCTTCTCTCTTCCCCCTTTCTCTCTTGCATCACATACCATCGCAATGGGTGCCGACGAGAAGACGCGCGTCTCGGGCGAGGTTCCTCGCGGCGAGAACGGCTCCATCCTGCCCACCACGAACCCGGACGTCGAGAAGAGCCAGCCTCCCAAGGCTCAGATTCATCCCGCACTCTACGTCATGTAAGAACGACCTTAAATGCATCTTCTGCGGCTTGCGTACTGACGTTTCCAGTGTCTGGATTTCCTTGTCCTCGTCGGTCATTCTGTTCAACAAATGGATTCTCGACACCCTCAACTTCCGTAAGCCGACCGAATAACGCGGATTGGGATACGATACTAATTGATCAAAGGCTACCCGGTCATCTTGACGACCTACCACTTGACCTTTGCGACTATCATGACCCAGATCCTCGCTCGCTGGACGCACGTTCTCGACGGACGCAAGTCGGTTAAGATGACTGGCCGCGTGTACGTGCGGGCCATCGTCCCAATTGGTATCTTCTTCAGCTTGAGTTTGATCTGCGGTAACCTCACCTACCTGTACCTGTCCGTCGCCTTCATCCAGATGCTCAAGGTAAGAAACACTGCTCCCGACGCCTTGCATGCATCCGCTAACCCGTACCAGGCCACCACCCCTGTCGCCGTTCTCCTCTCTGGATGGGCTCTGGGCGTCTCCCAGCCCAACCTAAAGGTCTTCCTGAACGTCTCCGTTATCGTTGTTGGTGTCATCATTGCCTCGATCGGCGAGATCAAGTTCGTTTGGATCGGTGTTATCTACCAGATTGGCGGTGTCATTTTCGAGGCCCTGCGTCTCACCATGGTCCAGCGCCTGCTCAGCTCTGCTGATTACAAGATGGATCCTCTCGTCTCTGTCTACTACTTCGCCCCCATCTGCGCTGCCATGAACCTGGCTGTCGCTCTGATCTGGGAAATCCCCAAGGTCACTATGGATCAGGTTTACAATGTCGGCCTGTTCACCTTTTTCCTGAACGGTCTCTGCGCCTTCTTGTTGAACGTCTCGGTCGTCTTCCTGGTATGTTTCAGTCTTTCCGACATCGGCCGAACAGTGCTAATTGGTTGTGCAGATTGGCAAGACTTCTTCTCTTGTCCTGACTCTATGCGGTGTTCTCAAGGACGTCATGTTGGTCGTTGCCTCTATGATGATCTGGGGCACCCAGGTGTCTGGTCTCCAGTTCTTCGGTTACAGCATTGCCCTCGGCGGCATGGTCTACTACAAGCTCGGCTACGAGCAGATCAAGGGCTACATGGGTGAGGCCGGCCGCCAGTGGGCTGACTTTGGCCAGCGCAAGCCTATCCTCCGCAAGCTCAGCATCATCGTGCTCTCGGCGTTTGTTCTCTTCACCATGCTTGGTGGTCTGGCGCCGACGTACGCTCCCGAGTACGACCCCCACAACCTCATTAACGAGGTTAACAGCCACTTTGGCAGCAGCAGGGCATAGGTTATTGGATAGAAGGCGATGCCTCTTTTTCTTGACCTGTCGTTTTCCCACTTGTAAGCGTAGAGATGTGACGATACCAGCTCTCTTCGCAACGATTACCCTGTTCCGAGTACATATTACGAGCTTCATTTCCAACCGTGCGCCGATTGGTCCCTTTTTCCCCATTTCTCTTTATTTTTATTTTTATTCTGTCTGGTCGCCGGGACCATGTTTGCTTGGGCGAGGGAGTTATCCGTGTACAGCTATAGAGCAACGGCGCAGAGCGCAAAAGGGTACAGGTTGCATGACTTGCATCATGAAGTTCTAATCTGATGTACTCTAGATGGTGGGAGGATATAGACATGTATGTACGCAATGATATAAAGTGAGCAAAGGAGCTGTCTCGCGTGTTGTTGTAATGGGATTCGTGTGCATCTGACATGGTCCAATTTCAGTTGTACACAGTTGCGGTATTGTTGGTGCTGTTCGAGTGGTGTTACAAGATGGACCGAGCTGTACAAGCATACCCGTTGCCTAAAGAATGCGGTGGTTTACATTGTGACAAGCTCAACACGACTTGAGAGCTTCCTGTGACGTGCATTGGGTCAACATGTGAATCAGATGGGTGGCTACATCAGACTGGGATACATGACAACGACTACAAGCTAGATCGTCACAGCTCCTTGAGAGGAGAGTTTCTTGGCAGTCCACGCCCTGGTTGGAACCAAGGGTTGTGGGATGTCATGGAAGGTGGATCTCATCCACAACCGCCAGAAATGGAACGCAATGGATTGGATGTGTCGGCCCGCGTTGCCAGTAGGGACGCACATGGAGACGCGAGCATCAAGCAAAGGATACTGGTTGGGAAGTTGACTTTTTGACTTGCTTATTTCATGTTCCATTGATCATGGCCATCCCACGGCCGAGGGCTGAATCATACCCATCAGTCATCATAGACCCTTGACCCTTTTTTTTACTTTTCTCTATCACTCTCGCTCTCCGGGATCACAGCAGCAGCATCAGCGGCGGCGGCGGCATTAACCGTTGTCGAGGTATCACAGGGCGCAAACGTCTTGGATTGTTCAATGGTGTCTCATTGGGAGTCCTTAAACCGAGGACCTCGAATGCCAATTGATGCTCTGTACAAGCCAGCCCAACTCCCCGACCTGTTGACGATTGCAGAAACGGTTTCCCTTTAAAATCCTGCAATCTGTTAATAGTCCGTTCGACTTGGTAAGGGCAGTGGGACATACTCAGAGGCGTGAAGAACCACCGGTTCTTGCCGCTCGTGTAACGCTCCTCCAAAACCTTCTTCACCGTCTTCTTGGCGTCCTCACGCTGGGTAACCTCCTTGAAGGTGTCATTGCTGACGACACCCTTGAGGCCCTCGAGCTCCAGAGTGTAGCGGGTGGGCATCAGGTGGTTGTAGTTGACCAGCTTGACGAAGGGCTTGATCTTGTTGCGCTTCTCCTGTCTCGTCTTGGACATGCGACGAGTGATCTTGGAGGGGTAGCGCTCGATACCGGCAACGAGGGCGTGACCGAAGGGGTGGGCCTTGTTGCCAGAGTCGACAGGCTGGATGATGACGACCTGAAGGGGGAAGGTTAGCATAGCTGGTTCTTGGTCCAAGTGTATGTGTCCGTTTCCATCAGCGTTCCCTTTCGCAGAGGGTTCGGAGATATCTCAACGTCGCGCTTCGAGAGTGTTTGGCCGTTCGGTCTTTGTTCCTCCTCTTTCTTGTCGCTCATTCTATCGCAATCGTCCTCGTAGGATGTCCGTATCTTCATTCCCTGACCAAACACACGTGTCTCGGCGTCGACGTTGAGGATATCCCGCACCTCCTTGGAGGCACAATGCTGGGCGCGGGTAGGCTTCTCGAGGATCTCGTGGCATTCGTACCTTCTTGCCGGCGTAGCGGCCGTGGGTGATGATGGCGACGCGGCCGACCTTGAGGAACTTCATTTTGACCTGCGCTGTCGGGGGGGATGCTGGGCGTGCTGATGATGAAGTTGCGTCGAAAGAGTCCGCTATAGGAATTTTCTAGTTTGTGTGGGAAGGAGGGCTGAATTTTTCTGGAAAGCGCGAGGTGTGCGGTCACGTTTTTTGTGGGGAGTAACCGACCCCACTGTCCACTCAGGTCCCTTGGTTGAGGATGTGCATGTCGCTTCACAGGTTGGGGGGGTTAAGGGGCCTGCGCGCCGTACGGTAGGCTGAGCCCCATAACTTTACCGGTCACCGTCCACAATTGGTCCCACACGTCGAGTCGACTTCGGCGCTTTTCGTAGTCTGCCTCCGGCTCTCCGACGACAACGTGGACGCGTCCGTGAATCTCTCTAGCCGACTTTCAAACGACAATACCACCGCGCATCATGGCTGCCCCTCCCGCCTACATCATCTCCAAGGTCGCCGACCCTATCTTTGCCCTAGTGATCGGGCTGGGTGCTGCCGCCACAAGAATTAACCGCGAGGAGAAGGAGAAGGGCAAGACCACACAGGAGACCATTGCGGCGGCCAAGAGGTATGGTTGACCACTGAGTCGCATCTTTAATGAATATTTTTGTTGATGGTTGTCTGTCTAGACGTCTCGGACTAGTCAAGGCTGCCGCATAGGTGCATATTTAATCACCGTCAAGGGAGGTGCGTGATATCGAGCATATGATTGCGGCGCGCGACCACACATGATTGCAGACTATCGTACATAATATCTACATTACTCGCCATACGACGGCCCATACTCCTTCTTCATCGCCTCTCGAACCATTTGCCCGCACAGCTTCGCCGTCGGGTTCGTGCTCACCGCCAACCCCTTGGCGATATCATTGCCGTACCTCCCGCCGTAGGCAAAGTCGTGCGATGCTGCCTCCTCGAACTCGAGTTTGGTCCACCTCGCCTCGCGTCGGGATTCATCGAGCTGCACCGCGTGCTCCTCTACCAGCTTCGCCGTCGTGTGGTAGATGGCGGCTCGCTGCGTGTATGCGAGAGACAGCGTCTTGGCGGCCTGCGGCGACATGGCACCAAACATGGTGCGCGGCGTGAGGAGGCCAATGGACTTCTCTGTGTCTTCTAGTGCAATTGTCGCATGTCGTGTCAATTCGGCTGACGGGGGGTTCTCGATGAGTCGTTGAGGCGTAGCAGGCGCTCCTGCCAACAGCATTGTGTCGCCGTACAGCCGTCTCAGCGCCTGCACGCGGTTGTTTCTCGCACTGGCGTAGTTTGGGTACTCTGCAATGAAGCTGTCAAGCTTTGAAAGAAGGTCCTTGTACTCCTGCACTGGTTCGGCCACAGTCTTCGGCCTCAACCCCGCCAACTGGAGTTCGAGGTGCTGCATAGCCAGGACGATTTCGCGTTCCTTCTGGATAACACGTTCGTAGACGGAAGTGTCGGTGATGTGAGGGTCGCGAGGCAGGGACGGGTCGAGCATGATATTGGTCGAAGGGTCGGATTCAGGATCCTTAATCTTGTCGAGCACATTGGCATCGCGTCGGGTCAGGCCCAGGGAAGCCATATTGCAGTATCGGTTGGAGAATCAACAGTATGAAAGAACACTAATGTTTACGGGAACAGACTCGACTTCGATTTACTTCGATGCGTGACGAATGACAGCTTGCACGTTATCTAATGATTGGGGCTGATCAAGAACAGTAGCGTCGGGGCTCCTTTACTCCTTATCAGACGCAACAGTGTCTGAGCGGACGCAGCGGGGAGCCGAGCAGCACTTACATTCCGCACTCAACGGCTACGAAAGGGTTTCATAGGAGATGCGATAAGGCATGCGGTCATGGTGGGTACCCACCCAGACCTATCCCAGACGTACCCCAGGATCAACGGAAACAGCGGCTGGGCCGCAAGTGCCCTCGGGTCCTTTGTGTGTGCCGGGTTGGATCAGGAAGGTTGCTGCGCTGGAGAGCGGGCATAGCCTGGAGTATCCGAAGCACGTGTGGGGGAACAGTAAAAGCCGCGCCGCACATGGGCCGGCCAGCGGCGGCTTATCTCGGCTCGCCACGGTGATCGTCTCTCGGCCGGCGTCTTTCCGCTTGCGAGTGCATTCCATTACTGCACCGGTTCTGCACTTTACCGCTGCCAACCTCTCCTTCTCCCCTGGGCGCTGCTGCCGGGAATCAAGGACGGTTCCAGGATGGCCGCCCGTTCCGTTGTGAATGTGCGGCAAGGACAGAGGCAACCCCGCCCCCGGGGGGTCGGACAGTGACAAGCGTCAGATGCGGCGCCTGGAACCGCCCAATGTGTGGGCGCGGAACGAACATTACTGATGCCCTTGTGGAAGTCCGTCGTTAAATAAGGTTCATCTGTGATGATACAGTGCCGGTGTCTGAGTACTTATATCCTGGACGGTACGCAGTGCATAACACGGATAGTTCCCTCTTCGACCATCAATCTTTGCCCTCAACCATCATTCAACTCTTGCCACAGAACTCGACTCCATCCAACTCCAGACTTAGTCCGATACACCCGAAAACTGCTGAGTGTCAATGTCCCCTTCTGCCATTACAGACTCCCCGCCACAGAACGCCGCCTACCCGGCATCAACAGACCTCGGCGATGGACTCGCAGTGCAGCACCCGCCGCCCAACTTCCAGGGCTACGACCACGTAACCTGGTGGGTGGGCAACGCCAAGCAGGCTGCTGCCTATTACACTACCCTCTTCGGTTTCCAGACCGTCGCGTACAAGGGCCTCGAGACGGGCAGCAGGTACATCGCCTCGTACGCCGTCGCCAATAAGGACGTACGCTTCGTCTTCACTTCCCCAGTGCGCTCCCTCGTCCATCTGCCCGAGGATGAGCCCATCTCTGACGCGGAGCGCGAGCTCCTGCGCGAGATCCACGCCCACCTCGAGAAGCACGGCGACGCCGTCAAGGACGTTGCGTTTGAGGTCGACAACGTCGAGGCTGTCTACGCCAAGGCCGTCGAGGAGGGCGCCGTCGCCGTCCAGCCGCCTACCGTCTTGAATGATAAGGAGCACGGTGACGTGTTGACAGCCGTCATCCGCACCTACGGCGACACCACTCACACTCTCATCGCCCGCCGCAGCTACCGCGGGCCCTTCCTCCCAGGCTTCCGCGCCGCCAAGCCCACAACCGCCACCGTCTCCCTTCCCGACGTGCCCCTGGCCCGCATCGACCATTGCGTCGGCAACCAGTCGTGGAACGAGATGGTGGCCGCTTGCGCGTTTTACGAGAAGTGTCTGTCGTTCCACCGCTTCTGGTCTGTCGACGACTCGCAGATCTGCACCGAGTTCTCGGCGCTCAACTCCATCGTCATGTCGTCGTCCAACAATCTTGTCAAGATGCCCATCAACGAGCCCGCCCCAGGCAAGAAGAAGTCCCAGATCGAGGAGTATGTCGTCTTCAATTCGGGCGCCGGCGTCCAGCACATCGCCCTACTGACGCACAACATCATTGCCACCGTCTCGGCCATGCGTGCCCGCGGTGTTGAGTTCATCGCGGTCCCCTCGACCTACTACGACACTATGCGCCATCGCCTCAAGACGGAGAAGCGGAACTGGGAGCTTAAGGAGGACCTCGCCACCATCGAGGCCCTCAACATCCTCATCGACTATGATGAGCAGGGCTACCTGCTGCAGCTCTTCACCAAGCCGTTGATGGACCGTCCGACTGTGTTCATCGAGATTATCCAGCGTAACCACTTTGAGGGTTTCGGTGCTGGCAACTTCAAGAGCCTGTTTGAGGCCATTGAGCGCGAGCAGGCCGAGCGGGGCAACTTGTAGGCCTACGAGGATTCTGCTTATCAAAAGATAAATGATGATGTTGTTAATGCATGATACGAACTGATTGAACGCCCCGCTAGATCAGCAGAAGGGCTGTGTAGCATTGTTGTATTTGCAGCGACCATAGGTATATTCAAACATGGTCCCGATCCGGACCCCCTTTGCGCCAATGCACTGTTTTCTTCTGTCCTGTTCCCGTGATGCTGTCCGTTATTCAAATATGCACCAGTAGTAATCTTGAAACCGGCTCCCCCGCCAGTATGTAACATGGCGACGCCTCTTCCTATAGGCCTTGCCCAGATATGTGGCCTCGCCTCTACACAACTGTGAATTTCTCAGTCGGTCATGGATCCACCGCCATCGCCGTCCCGTTCGTCTGGTGCCCGTGTGTCCCGTTCGTCTCCGTTACCACCTCCATCGGCGCCCCACGGGTGTCGCTCTGGCACCCAGGGCAATTGTGGATGACCTCGTGCGCATAAACGTCACAGTCGATGCAGAAGTGGTTGCCGCATACCGTGCAGGCGTACCGCCCGCTCTCGCTGACGCCCTTGAGCTCCGACGCGATCACCGCCGTCGGTGCCACGGGAGTCGTTGTGGGCACTCCGTCTTTGTCCCTCTCCTTATCCCTCTTCCTGCCCGCCTTGGGCGGATCGGGGAACGTCGTCAGACACGAAAAACAGGCTTTTGACTTGGCGGCCTCGGCCCAAGACACCTCGACCCAGTTCCTCAACGGGAAGAGGTGGTGGTATGAGCGCGCGAGATGCGTCGACAAGATGAGGGTCAGGCTGCAGGCGGGACACTCGATGGGCAGGCGACACACGCGAGTGCCGCAGCGCGTGCAGAGGTATCCCTCGCGGGCAGGCTTGTTATGACACGCACACACGGCGGTGGCCTCGCCCTGCGCGAGGGTGCGCGAGGGGAAGCCCATCATGAGCAGCGAGGCGGTGCTCTGGGCGGCGGTCCGCGTGACGGGCGGCGTCGTCGCGGCGAGGAGCAGGTCGCGGAAGTGCGCATCGTTCATGCACACGCTGTATTGCGTGTCGTCGCCGGCGTTAGTGCGGGAGCACAATTCGGCGCAGATGGCAACCTGCGCCGCAAGGCCAACGATGGACACGCGGATGCGGTCGGTGATAAGGGAGGATATTGTGTCGTGGATGTCGCCTGGGTCAGAGGAAAGGAGGGCGCCGAAGACAATGAGCACTTCGCGCGTGCCGTGGGAGGGTGCATGGCTGAAAGGTTAGCATAGTGCAGTCCAAGGGGCAGGAGCTCATACAATAGCGCGCCGCGGCACATCTCGAGCGCATTCTGCAAACTCGGATTGCCTGACGGATCTTGCCCCTCAAACGTCTTGAGCTTCTCCAGGTGGTCGGTGGGGTTGCCGCTCATGTCGCTGATCCGGATCGCGACGCCGTCCCGCATGCCGATGATGCCCAGCTGCGATATGGGGTTCTGCTCGAAGTACTCCTTGACGAAGTCTGCGGCGTACGCCCAGGCGACGCGGTAGCGGTTCGGCAGCATGTCCTTCTCCGTCATGGCAAAGGACATGTCCAGTACCAGCACCAAGTGTCTGATGATGCCGCGCTGCAGCGGTGTTGTGTCCCGGAGCAGCCTCCGCCTCTTCTCTGCCTCAAGGCTCGCGCCGACCGCCAAACTGCCATCTGCGCCTTCTGTGACTTCTTCCCAGCTTCGCTTGACATCCTCCCATCGAGCCTTGGTGTGGCTGCCCTTTCCTTTCTTGCCGCGTCCCTTCCCGCCGTCCGCGCCTTTGCCGTTGGTCACTTGAAGGTCGTCATCGGACATGTCATGGTACTCGCCGTCGGAGTCGGCCATGGTGGATGACGTCGATGGGCCGACCGGTCTCGATGGTGAGTATGTTCGCTCGTTGTGGTCGGTTTTCTTGTCAAGGTAATACGGCAGTTTGGGTTTTCGGCACGAGTACCCTGGTAGGTGGCGCTGCGCAGAACGGTGAAGCGATCAGTTGAAAGTGGTGAAAGATGTGAAGTATGAGGACAAGGCTGGATGGAAAAGATCGCAGCCTCGCACTTTTGGCCTGGGATCTGCTCAAATGGCCAATCAGAGGCCGCGCGATGCCCACCCGTGCCACAAACACTCTACATACTCAATCGAGCAGTCATTGACATCGATTCGGCTTATGTTAGCCCTGTCTCTGGTAGGTCATGTCTAGAATTGATGCTTTGGTTGCTTTCGCGACAGTGATGCTCGGTGCCCGGCTCACGTTCAACCCAGGCGTGCCGGGTCAAAACAGGCAACCCCATGGACCCGACTAGACCACAGTCTTAAGCGTTGTCTTCCACCTCGAATTCGATCCTTCCCATTGCGCATGCTTCGACTTACGAGATTACATAGCGGAGCTAAGGTGGGGTTTTACAGGGGGATCTACGGAGTTCACGGGGTCGGGTGCAGCGACTCAATCCGGATCGGCGCCGGAATGATGGAAGTGGGGTCCTCTGCGGCCCGAAGAATCGGGTCAAGCCAACATCCGTTACGACCAACGTGGCCGTAGCAGCCCGCTGATACGCCAATATCATTGCAAATCTTTGTAGTTCCAGTGCTTTTGAGGACATATTCATTCTCGCCACTGTCGTCAGTTATGGACTGGCTTCTGTCCGAGATCCTCATTCGAACAGCCTTGGTCTTCAGACAATGCCAAAAAAGCTGGGCTTGGAGCCTTAGTAGCCGCATACCATAAAGGTTTCAACACCCTCAGTTGAAATAATTTTTTCGCGCAATATTCTCCATGCTTTCCGTGGTCCCGTATCTTGGCGTCGCATAGCAACGGTCTAAAATGTGTTCCGGTCGGAAAGATCACTCTAAGAACGGAGTTTGGATGTCGACTCGATACCCCGAGATACACAATGATGTCCTGTCCTACTGGTTTTAGTTGGGGATCTCATAACAATCATGATGGACCATTACATATGTAATACTGCGTGTTCGTTTCAAAGACTTATTGGTATCTATTTTTCAACTCACATCTATAGATGCTTCAGTCAGCGTATCTTGGCAATATTGTACCTTGTGCTACCGTTCTCCGCAATGAACAAGGCTAAATGCCCCAGCGTCAGTCTTCGTGTGTTCATGTCTTAACTAGAGTGACCGATGACGCGAGATTATGAGAATCCGATGCTGTCGTATTCAGACACACGAACAATGGCCAGTTACAAGTGCTGCAGCAATCATCACACTTGTTCCATACGGTCTCGCACGTATTACTCAAAGATTCCGTCCGCAACAATGGATAAGAAAGGTGACCGACACACTCCGAGCTCTATGGGAACCAGTCCTCTAATGTTTACTATTCCCTGCTTTTGTCCTCTTTCATCTTCTCAGGTCCAGGTGCCACCACACTCGCCGCAAGCCATGTGTGTCCGAGACTGGTTTTGTCTATAATTTCCAGGCTGACTGTGTGAAATGGCAACTTCGGTTCTCCTGCTTCGTTAAACGTAACTCATTTCATTATTTTCAAGGTGTCGCTGTGGCTAGGGTCATTCAGGTGTACGTAGCTCTAAAACTAGCCTCGTTTATACAGACCAGTACTATAATCAACAGCAATGCTAAAATATACCCCAGAGCTATCTCTACGGGCTATCCTTCGAGTCCATTGAACGATAACATCACTGTAACCTGAACACTACGAGAACATCAGAGACAGGCTTATGTGTAATATCTGAACTGTTCTGGTTGCGATGATATTGGCAACAGAACTCTTTTCTTTGTAAGTTGAAAAGCTTAAAGGTACCAAGGTGTTTTTGGATGCCGCGATTCGTTCAGGGGCACATGCAAAATAGGAGTTGTCAATAACAAAGAAGCTAAATCTGCAATTGGAGACATCAATACGTCGTTCGAGAGTTTGTATTGACTTGCCATAGGTCAGAGACAAGATAATCTTCAATCTGTACAGTTTATATTGCGAACAGGCCTGTTTTACTTTGTAGGGCCCGCTCCAAACGTGTCCCCCAAAAAGCAAGCAGGTGTGAAGCGCACTCCATTCAACACGCCAAGTGATATGCGAAGAGGAGGAAAAACAACTCAAAACGAGAATTGAGCACCCTGGAATGATCTTACTGCATCAAATGGCTGTATGAAATAGCGGAGACTGGTGATTTGTCTGCATTCAGGCTAACCGGTCTGGGACCACGTGCTCTACCGCAGTTATTATCCATGACCTTCATGCTCTTGTCAGGTGTCCCTGCAGTCGAAGAGATCCACCGAGGTTAGTTCCATAACCATGATACATGAATCAAACCTTCCGGTAACTATCATAAAGCCATCATAGTATCCACGGCCCTTCTATATATAGCGCCTCCCCAAACACTGAATGTAGAACATGCCGCATACATGCAACCAGACCAGTAGTACAGTAGGAGCACTCAGCAACATGTAACAAAAGGCCCGGCCAGGCGGATGTGGCGCGGTCAACATAATCTTTCTACGAGACAAGCACACACCATTCACAACATAACCACAAGCTGCGTCAATGGTACTACGCCGAAACCTTGGTGATAGCCTAAAGTCGACACAGAGGGTTTACGGATGAGATGCCCTACAGCATACCTACGTACTACCTGTATGAGAATTCAACGTAACAGTGTAGTTTCTAAGTATATAGTGTAAACCTCGGGATCCAAGCGAACTGGTCTCGGACCACATGCGTAGAGATTGTCTTAGCAATCTTGTTGGAAAGTACAGCCGCAACGGAATATAGTCAATTCTGTGTCGAGTTCCTGGCACATACGACCATACCCACTGGAAAACTCGGGATCCCGTCCGCTCTCCCATAGATAAGCCAGTGAGGGCCGGATTAGTAGTTGGGTCGGTGACGACCAGCGAATACCTGGTGTTGTATGTTTTCATTTTTATTTTGGTATCTTGCGACCACCATCGTCGTTCCAAGCAGTTTTCCGTGCATGCATGTTAGCAAAGCCTTCTGCTCCCACAGATCATAGCAGGCTTTGCTTCGGAACGCGATTACAGCACAATACTGCGTGCTGTAATCGCGTTCCGAAGCAATGATGGCCGAGACCATCGTAGACCTGAGACTCGAATCACTGTGATGGATCGTGAGGCTTCACTGATGATGGGAGTCGGTTGTGCTTGGAATTGCAGGCCGCATATTGCCACCAGCCTGGTACTCGAGCCTTAAAGCCCCTACATGTTGCTTCATGCTGCCTAGCATGGGTTGGATATCCATCGTTACGACAGATTTGAAGCTGAGGGTCTTGCCTGCAGCATCAGTGACAGTTGAAAACATCGCCAATACCACAAGACCATACATGACGCGTTAAATTGCCAGGACAGGGCGTAGATAAACCACGCCCAGCCACCTGAATACGAATATTGCTAGTCAAGGCCGTAAGGACATACATGTGCGAATCCGGCAGACCAACCGACAGTCGAGATTTGGGCCTGAACTTTATCGGGAAGATCGAAAACTCGGCCCTTGACGTTTGGAGCTGTCTTCGGCGAATGCAAATTGAACCTCATTTATCGAGATCGACGATGCCCTCTACATAGTTGAGAGATGGTACCCATATACTGTATCAGCTTCTCCCGCAGACGCTGACGCTAAAGGGCTGGAACCTACCCACAAAGCGATAGCTGACAGGGCTGCACGTCCCAGGGCTGCCACAGGTTAGGATACACTACGTTCGAGACTTCTATTTGAAGCGGGCAGAAGATTATGTGGTTCTGATCAATTGACCAAGACGTCTTTCACCTTGTCCGCCAAGCCGAATTTGGTGAAGTTTCGAGCAAGGTCTTTGGACGAACGTGCCTAGTATGGTTAGTCTGCCAGCCTCGGTCGGCCGCTTGTCCGTTCTAGGCACTAACTGTAGGTGGAGCTGTGGTTCAAATCCCGAGAATTTCGGGACCTTGGGTGTACGGGAGGATCAGATGTTTCGTATACTTTGATACTTCGACAGCAGGGCAACTCCGGGATGCAGTTGTTTGACTTCAAAATGTGTTGGTAGGATCGTAGCCGTGGCTGGTGCTTCGAAAGTGACTGAGCCGTTGTGGCTCCCAAGCGGGGATTACCTTCTGAACGCCGTTGCCGACAGTCCGTCTTGTCGGTCCCCCGGGCGGTGATACACAAGGCTTGACGTACATACAGACAGGAGCAGGAGGTCTCAGCGACGATCAAAGTAACGCTGTGGGTTTCGCAACGAGGATCGGCTCCCGCTCCCGTTCTTCGTGGGTAGTAGACAGGAACGCCTTTATCGGTAGTTTGAGTCTGTTTCCCCCAATTCGACTGCCCCGGCGGAAGACTGCTGATCACCCCCAACCCTTCCGTCTCAGTTCGTCCGAAGTCGAAGCCCAAATGACGAATATTGTACGAATGCTCTCGTCTGAAGGCTCGTGTTGGTCCGTTTGGGTAGTTTGGATAGCCCGGGGTGAAGACGGCTTTCCCAAGGCCCGTAGTCAATGTGACAGTGACGAAAATGACTAAGCCGGGCAAAAATGCCCGTTAGACAGACGGGGTGGTGGCGCTGAGTGTGCGTGTAATGTACATACCTGCCTGCCGCAACCCAGGTAAACATTGTAGCTAGTGATAGGACACTGCTGCAAGCCAACCAATACAGCCAAACGATGGAATTCGCGTTGACACGCCGTCTCACTGATTGGCTCCAGTGTCGGACAACAGGGCGTTTCGGGGCCAATAGCGGCGGAGACGCGCATGGCTGCAGACAGAAGAGGAAGGCTTCCAGAGCGCTGTCAGGTTGTGACAGAAGAGGCCGGACGGAGAGTCCACTGTTGTAAGCGTTGAGCAGGAATTGTATTGGTGCCTGGTGGTCGTCTGTCTTAGAATGATATCTGCCGGGGATGGCTTGCAGGATTGCAGGAATGGAACGAACTATCGCATTGGAAATATCAGTGCAGCACTTGACCGCAATTGAAAAATGCAATAATGAGAAGGACAGGGGAACAAAAAAATCGAACAAGACAAGCTCAGCAGAGTACGTACCGACGCACGAGGGGCTAAGTTCCATTTCCAGATCCGTTTTCCGTTCCATTGGGCCAGGATGCCCACTGCAAGTAGTGCACAATCGGGAAAGTCACCAGGCTAATGCTGTGCTGTGACGTCATTTGATGCTCATTTAGCGTGGCATCGACATGCTTCAGGGGTTTGCGAGGTCATGCGTTGTCTGCGAAAACTGGGTGTGCACTCGGGGGGTTGAGAGTGCCTGTCAAATTGTGCGTAGAACTTGCTGTCGTGGACCTTGTCCGAGTACCTGTGGTCGTACTTTCTGTCCGGAGCAGCGTCCGTTAGCTCAGAATCTGTCTCGTTGCTGTGAGACGCTGGCATTTTGCGCTGGAGGATGGAAAAGAAGGGTCCAGTGAAAGATAAGGGTTGTCAAATCCGTTGTGCAAAGTGGACATCAGTTGGCCTTCGTGTGAGTGAGTGTACCAGTGCAGCGACAGTACAGTCATAACTATACGCATCGCGCGCAAAAAGCCTCTCCGGGGTCTGCCAGAGAAGTCCGTGTAATGAGGGAGATCCTATTGCTACGAGCAGGAGACTGCGGACATCCGTCCGCTTGGGTGGGTGAGAGTATGTGGTGTTGTTGCATGGGGGTGAGAGAGGGGAAAAGGGAGCGCGTGCAGCGCCATTGGCATGGGAAAGTGGCGGTTCAGTCACGAATCAGACATTTGAAGCCACTGCCAATCTCACTCACGATGAGAGTCTTGCGTTGCGTGGGTAGAATGCCTTAACCTGGCCTGGTGCGTCCCAGCCACTTCAAGCTCCGTTGCATCCTTCCTCAGGTTAGTGAAATTTGCGCAGGCGTGGCGAGGCATCCGCTCACCCCTAAGATGGTACTGCACAGCTGTTTCCTAGTGAGCCCGCTAACAATCGCGACTCCGTCGGGACTGTACTTCTGACACTGGCTGACATAGCTGACAAGCTCGTGTGCCGTAGACTGCCTTAGTGAGGATGTAATATCAGCAGGACTGGTTCAGTCGGCCGCTCCGCAGGGGTGTGGATGTGACTATATTGCTGTCAGTTTCAACGAGCAAGATCAGAAATAACACGCCAGTATACATTGGCGTTGGCTGGAGTAAACATGAAGGTGAGGCTGCAGGTTTTCATGAAGTGTCGTTACACCTCACCGTTTCTCAGGGCATATCCCAATCTCTTGCCCTGGTGCAGTGGGGTCCATCGACAGTTTATTTGCAGCAAACCCCACATCCTCGATCGAAGTCGTCAACGAAGCCTTGTACGTGACCGAAGAGCGTCGTCCAGTAAATCGGCACTCCACTGCTGGCGGGGAGCCGGGGCGGGAGCTTTGTCACTTGACCATCATCATCTAGTAGAAGGCCTGGCATACCTTGCTGCGTGATGGTCCGGCAAGGCAGCGATTTGAGTTGCGAAAAAAAAACAAAAGGGCGGTGCGGGATTGTGGCCAGCCGCGTGACGAGTTGGATGCGCACGCCTAAGGACCGAGGCAACACCGTCTTTACAGGCACCGAGGTGAAATCAAGTACGCATGACGTACGGCTCTATCGCATCCGAGACGGCGAACAATTTGACGACGGTGGCATTGACGCGACTTGATCGAAGTTTTGCGTATGGATTCACACTTGTGGGCATTGGGCGCCGGCTCTATGTCTACCGTAAGGCGTGATCTTGATGCTACTTAGTCGTGAACATGCTGCGACAACGCATGTGGTTGTGTTCGAGGTTGCAGCGTGTTTTGAGATTTTGTGGGCAACTGGGATAGAGTTTATCGGAACTCAATGGGCTGGATGTTCATTTTCCTGTTCAAGTGCTGCCAGGTACGGGGGGATGCCATGGACACGACAGGCGATCCAGACAATATGCACCGAAGTTCTGAACGGTTTGATTGCCGCGTGGTGTATTAAATTGGGCCGGGTGTCTGTGTGTCTCCGTCTGAGGTATTCGGCGCCCCGTATTCAGTCTCGACGGCCCAGCGGAGGTGTTGTTGGTGAGAGACACAGAGTCATGAAGCTGCCTCTGCCTTGGAGGTTAAATGGAGGCATCATGGTCCGGGGAGCGTTCGACAGGTCAAACGAGGCCGGCTAGTGGTTGAATTCTGGCGGCTCATGTGTGCAGGGCGACGGCGGGAGGTTGCTGATGTATGGGATTCCTGGCAAAAATAGCGGCCAAGTGGGCTCCGTTACGGGAATCTTGGACTTGCAATTGAAACGGGGGACAAGATCCTGATGGAGCCTTTTGTCGTGCCCCCGGAAAGGCATCGCCGGGCAGCGTGGTCAGAAGCAGTCTGGAGACATACTTACTTGAATGAGGATACGGTTTACGGTCACATACCTGCAGGACCGGCACGCGTTCTGTACAGGTACGATGAACAAGGCTGCCAAGGGCCAATACCATTGCAAAAACGGATGAGAACGGGACGGACTGTACTCGTAAGGCGAGCTCAACGAAGACGGAGAGGGTCAAATTTGAGTGGATACCGGACGTGTAGACTGGGGGCAGCGGCAGCGACGACCGTGTGATGTAATGGGATACGTACCCGCCAGATATCCCCACATCTGACCAGGGCACGTACATGCGTAAGTACAGATACGAGTGGGACCGCGGACGTACGTACCCCCAACTGCGTCTTGCATGTGCGTGCTCTGGTTGGACGATATCCGCTGGGGGCCAAATAGCAGTGGCCGCGCTTGGAGGGGCTTATGCCTCCTGGGCCTCACCACGCAACGGACGGCTAAAGCTCTAATGGGCTGAATCATGCCTGGTTCGGTTCAGCTGGTCGGTTGGTAGCGGGCAGTCCAAGGGCGGGAGCAGCGTCGTGAGCTCGTTTTTGGAGGACCTCAATATGGGTAGAATACCGCGCATTGCTGGCCCGGGCAGCTGTCAAGACCACGTTGCCCAGGATTGCCTCCGCGGAAGGGGCTCCTGCCAAAAGAGTGACCCTAAGGCCTCCAATTCTGACTGGGCGAGATGAGACGCACAAATTTCGTTCGTAACTGTCCGTCAGGATTTGGCTATCATGTGGTGAGCGCTGGAAGGTACAAGCATCCCAAGTGGACAACGAGTACCGGTACTTGTCACGTCCCACAGACCATTTACTCTTCCAAGGAAGCACCCGTAGGCGGTATTCGGGTTTCTGGCCTTGGATGGATTCGCGGCTGCCCGTAATTAGCTGGTTTCTACCCAAGAGCCTACCTTAGGTACGTAGGGGAAGAGCTCGATTTGATGAATGGGAAAAGGAGGCCATCCACGATAATTTCAACATAGACTAACGCCGTGATTAGAGTGCGCGCAAACTGAGGCTGATGCTGCATGCAACCCGAGACATTGACGACGACGCTGCGCAGCTCCCAGCGAGGCAACACCTGCGCTGAGCGGGCTGTCGCCGTTCACCTCCCTCTTCGTCTCCCCTGCCGTGCATTCGACCTCTGGATCGTCCCGTCTTGTATGTGTTCAGCTGGACCGGGCTACCTACGTCATAGGCATCGAGTGGACCGACCGCCCACCCTTTCCTTTCTTGTTCTTCCGTCTGCTCTGCTTGCCCTCCTGCTGCGTTTCTCGCTTCGCTTCGCTTCCTTTTGCTTTCCGCCCCCCGTTCTCCGTCACCGTCACCGTCAGGCCCCGCCGTCGCCGCAAACTGAGAGAGGACGAGACTGACAGATACCAAGAGGTGCACACACGACAAGCGCTTCCATTCTCTGTCCCCCTTCCCACCGTAGACCTAGTCCTGGTCCCAGTCCAATCCACCCTCGTTCAGCCCAAACCACTTCAGTCCAAACGCACATCCCATCCATACCACCACACCAACCTTACCTCACCTACCGCCTTTACCTCCACCACCACTCCTTCGAAGTACCAAACCAAACCAAACCAAACCAAACCAAACCTCACCGATCAAACCTCCACCACCACGCCGCGCGCTTCTCCCGACGGCACTGCCCCTAAACTCCTGGATCGTCACTTGCCTCTCTCCTACCGCAATCCCACCGCCCGAAATTTCAAATCGCCCTCTCTTCATTGCCATCCCTCTCCGGCCGAATCTCGTCGCCTTCCTCCCTTCTCGACTCTACCACGAGACGCTTGCCGCCTTCGCCTCTCCGTCCAACCCTGGCCAGCCCCCTCCTCGAAGCGGCGTCATCGACTCCCCCTCTTCGGAAAAAAGAAAAAAAAAAGAAAGATCATCTGTATATGGGGCGCTCTATTCTATGAGGAATGCCAAGCACGAGCCTTCCAGCAGACAAGAAAGATTCGTCCTCTGCGCGTCGGCTTAGCCTTCCAAGACGAACCACGTCCGACTCGAAAAAGTCGCCAACCAAAGAACCGCCACTCAACCTGCCGAGCCCCCGTTATGGACTGACCCTCGACTCCCTCAAGCTCGGTGGAAATGCGCGAGCCGCAATGTCGAATGTGTCCAATGAGCAGTCTTCACAGTCTCTGACTGACCACTTCAGGGCGCAAGCCGAGCCTTCTGCGACGAAACTCGCGAGTCCTGGTCCTGATACTAACTCGAAGCGCAGCGTCGGCGCGTCCCAGATCGATAATGACGTTAGCGGGACAGGCAGCAAGGAAGAAAAAAGCAAAAAGGACGAGGCCGCGAGGACTACTGCCGCCTCGCCACCCGCCCTTTCCGAATCACAGATCCAACTAAATCGATACCGAGAGCGATTGGCACGGGACCTAGAGAGGCGCGAGATGGCGACGAGAGGACTCACGGCGACGACCCCCGAAAAGATGCGCGTGTCGCCGATTATGGAGGAGAGTGGCAACTCGCCACGCATCAGCACCGCCGGGTTGGCGACATCATCCTCAAACCTCACTACAACGTCCACCGAGTCTGGCAACACCATTCGCGGCGGCATGACGCCGGGACTCGTCGCCGGCACACCGTCCTACCCGTTTCCGCGCATGCACACCCCGGGCTACGGTCCCAGCTCGATGAGCAGGGCGTTCGGCAACATGTCGCCAACCGCCGCCGCCTTCATGTCGCAAACCATGTCGTTCGAGGGCTTCGGCACAGCTCAGGATAGACTACTGTCCGGCTCATCGACACCTGCCTCGGCGCTTACTTTTCTTCCCGCCGGAGCCACCGGCCAGTTAGAGGGCGACTTCCCGAGCCCGAATCTATATGACCTGTCACTAATGCTCACCGCCGAGCCGGGACTGGACGCGTGGTGGAATACTGTCGTTCAGATCATGAGAGACGTGTACAAAGCCGAGAGAGTGACGCTCGCCGTACCAGCCGACTCTACCGACATTGAAAATGTGCCTTGGGGTCAAAAGGCGACGTACAACGAGCATCAAGAGGACGATCTGAGCCTTGGGTACATGGCCAGGGGCAGCAGCCTGATTCCCAGCAGTGCGGGCGACATCGGCTCCGAAGAGACTCCCATGTCTGAAGATTCCGCGCGGCCACGATTGCTGTCTCGGCCCAGTCTGCAGACGCGCCATTCGTTCACTGCCTACGAAGACAACAGAGAACGCAAAGGGAACAATGACAGGCTTCTGCCATCGCGCCGCCCGACGCAGCTTGGTAGGAGCAAGAGCTACTTCCCGCCTGGCCAGTCATCCGAAGAGAGCGCGGAGGCGCCGGGTCCGGCACTGAACAAGTCGGCACTCGCTGAACACGATGCCGAGGAACAGAACATCCCGAGCTGGGAAGCTCCCTTGGCCAATCCCGATACCGAAGGCAGGGTACTCCCCGTTCTTCAGGCTCTGGACTATGAAGCCGACCCTCTCATAGACCACAGCGGTGTCATGCGTGTTCTCGAGCGTGGCAAGGTAATCGCACTGACGAGAAGCTACCCATACCTGCAGAACCTGCCGGAGGAGGTGCCCATTAAATCCAAGGTGACGGCCAACACGACATCTGCAGAGGCAGCAAGGAAGAGGCTGAAGAAGGGGAGAATTGAATCTAGCTCAAAGTTGTCGTCGATCCTTGGCGGCGCAAACTCTTCTTACGGCTCGAACCGTAGTTATAACAGTGACAAACCGTCCAGCATGATATCCCGACTCGATGACGATGAACCACGGCCGCCGACGCCCAAATACGAAGAGTTTGAGCAAGCGCCGCCGTCGCCATGGTCTCAGTCTCCGGCGCCGTCGCCGGCGGTGCGTGCAGACCCCACGGAGAACCCTTTTTTCACCGATGCCATGGTCGACGAGGAGTCATTTAACCCCGGGTCTGCACCCGCCGACTACACCGGAATGCGGCCGCCAGAAGCCATTGGCGTGGACAACTCTTGGACCGTCCTCCACATCCCGCTGACCCACGTCCTCCTCTCGAAACCTGTTCATCCTTTCAAGCTCAATAACACAATCTTGGAGCAAAAATCGCATTCTCGCAATCGGAGTGGGGTTTTAGAAGCGTCGGGAGACGAAGACGATACCGGGGCCTCCTGGCAGCGGAAAGACAGGCCAGCGCCCATTGCTATACTCTCGATACTGAGTCCCATCATCCCATACCCCTCGAACCTTCGTCATTCGTTGGAGTACCTCGCCCCGCACCTAGCAACCTCCTTCTCTCTATGTCGTCATTACACAAACTTGGAGACAGAGCTTACCGGTCTTCACCGCCGCAGGCCTCACACAGCCGGGTTTGGTGCGCTTGCGGCCGACGGTCGCCCTCTGGCGGACCCTGCTAGCATAGGCAATCTAAGCTTTATGCCCTCGGACGATATCGCTGCCCAACGCTCGCTGGCGGGCAGCATTACGAGTCCCAGCGACTACTCGGGTGTTTCCAAAAGTGCCGCCGGCTCCCCAATTGGCACGCCCAGCTGGGACCAGAGCTCTTTGCACCAGCTTATTGACAAGCGGGGTTCGGCAACCAGCCCTGCGCAAAACAGTGGCGATAGCTATTTCAGCACTAAACAAAAGTCGGCTTCGTCAAGGGTAGAGACGTCGTCAGGAAGCTCTCAGAAGATGAGGAGAGGGTCAAAGGAGGACTCACCTGTCGACAAGCGTCAAGCTCGCCTCTCGGCATCATACAAGCTCCGTATACAGGAACCTCCCCAGACCCCAGGAGAGAGTGAAGAGCTGGCGGAGAAGAACACCGAAAGTCGGGTTTCCACCCCTGGAGGTGCCAAGCGGGTGCTTTCTCATGAGCTGAAGAACTATTTGGACGAGATCGCCGTGCTGGAACCCCGGATAAAGGCAGTCGAATACGAGGGCGGAGACCACAGCCACCACACATTATTACACTCTTATGGTGCCGATTTTGCGACTAGCTTCCAATCTTTGCCGCCCAGCTCGAGCGTGGTCAGCAAGCCTGTGCCTCACACCGCACCCTCCCGGACGGGCTCGCTGTCACAAGGCCCGGTTGACATGCCACCGCCGTCGGACCGATTGAAGGGGCTCATCCTCGACTCGCTCCCCGCCCATGTATTCGTCTCGCTGCCACAGACTGGCGAGATCGTCTGGGTGAACAGCCGCTATTTGACGTATCGTGGCCAGACGGTCACCGACCTGGCTGCTGACCCCTGGGGGAGCATTCACCCAGATGATAGGGATGAATACCTCAAGGCTTGGAGCCACTCGCTGCGGACTGGAGAGCAATTCTCAAGGACGGTCCGTATTAGGCGATTTGACGGAGCGTACCGATGGTTCTACGCGCGCGCAGTCGCATCCCGCGATAAACGGGGTGTCATGATGCAATTCCTCGGTTCATACATGGATATTCACGACCAGCATATTGCTGAACTGAAGGCTGCACGGCAAGAAGAGATCGAAGCCTCTGAAGCGAAGCACAGACTACTGGCCAACCTCATCCCCCAAATCATATTCACTGCCACCGAAGACGAAGGTATCACATTCGCCAACGAGCAGTGGCTGTCATACACTGGCCAGAGCTTTGAAGACTCTCTGGGCCTGGGATTCATGGACTTTGTACACCCTGACGACCTCGCCAAGTGTCAGATACCAACAGACAGACCACCGACCCCAATGCCTTCCAAGTTCGACCGCAAAGGCCACCAAGAAGCCACTGAGGCAACGCTGGCCAGTCTCGTGTCGAGCAAAGCGCAGAGCCAGCTGGAGACGAACCTGAGGGGCGTTCACCAAGCGCTATCGCGGAATAACAGCTCCAGCAGCAGCTCGGTCTACGAGATGCCCACCGCCGACATCACAATGTTGGCGAGGCAGGGTATCATCAAGGTGGCGACCGACAGCAACGGCAGACTATCGTACACGACGGAGGTGCGGTTGCGGTCCAAGAACGGCGAGTATAGGTGGCATCTGATCCGGTGTGTTGAGATTGACAACATCGACTTTGGAAACGGCGCCAGCTCATACTTTGGATCGGCCACGGACATTAACGACCACAAGCTGCTCGAGGCCAAACTCAAGGAGGCTATGGAGTCCAAGAGCAGGTTCCTCAGCAATATGTCACATGAGATCCGAACACCGCTCATTGGCATCTCGGGCATGGTCAGCTTCCTACAGGATACTACCCTGAATGAGGAGCAGCGCGACTACACCAACACCATCCAAACAAGCGCCAACAGCCTGCTAATGATCATCAACGACATCCTCGACTTGTCTAAGGTGGACGCCGGCATGATGAAGCTCAAGTATGAGTGGTTCCACACGCGCTCCCTTATCGAGGATGTCAATGAACTGGTGTCCACCATGGCCATCGCTAAGAGGCTGGAACTGAATTACATTGTCGAAGAAGATGTGCCGGCGTGGGTCAAGGGCGACAAAGTCCGCATCCGCCAGGTTTTGCTCAACGTCATCGGCAACGCCATTAAGTTCACGGCCGAAGGTGAAGTGTTTAGTCGGTGCAGAGTTTACAAAAACAAAGGTCTAGCCAATGACGAGAACGAGATTATGCTCGAGTTCGCTATTATCGACACGGGCCGTGGGTTCACCAAGGAGGAGGCGGATCTCATCTTTAAGCCCTTCAGCCAGATTGACGGCAGTAGCACGAGGCAGCACGGCGGTAGTGGTCTCGGCCTTGTCATTTCCAGGCAGTTGGTGGAGCTCCACGGTGGCAAGATGGAGGGAAGCGCGGTTCCCGGCAAGGGCTCTACATTCACCTTCACCGCCAAGTTCGCTCTGCCGACAAAAGAGGATCACCCTGATGTGCCCCTAAGCCCGGAGATACTTCACCCTCGCGTCGAGACCGCCGAAGACGTCACTGTGGTCCGTCCTGCGAAGACGCTACAGTCGCCGATGGCTACATCAACCATAAGCCCGCGGGGCGATCCCGAGTTCGTGTCACCGGCTCTGGCTTCTAGCGGAAGTTCGGAGCCTTCAGTGCGGTCTAGCATATCTCAGGCCACGGAGCGCACGTCCGTGTCGTCTGTCAACGTCGGCCTCGTTCATTTTAGCGAAGCTGCCCGCGCAAGTGGACAAGACCTGTCGCAGATGAAGTTGGAGCTTCCCTCAGGTGAGTCCTCGCCCGGCACGACGCCGACGCCGGAGACTGCCAAGCCCGGCAAGGCCGAAGACTTCAAGCCGCCCATGTATTCCATCCTCATCATCTGCCCGCAAACCCACAGCCGCGAGGCCACCGCACAGCACATTGAGATGACGCTCCCCAAAGATGTGCCCCACCAGATCACCGCCTTAGACTCGACCGAAAAGGCCCAGAGGCTGCTGGGAGGAGAGGACTCGGTCAACTTCACGCACATCGTCCTCAATTTGCCATCCCCCGAGGAGATCATCGGCCTGATGGAACAGATCACCAAATCGACCACAATCAGCAACACGACAATCCTCATCCTCTCCGACTCGGTCCAGCGGCAGGCCGTGATGAGGCTGGCGACCGACACAGAGTACGAGAGGCTCGTGTCTGAAAACATTGTAACGTTCATCTACAAGCCGGTGAAGCCGTCACGGTTCGCTGTCATCTTCGACCCCGACAAAGTGCGTGATCTTAGCATCGACCGCAACCGCTCCACTGCACAGCGAATGGTTGAGACCCAGAAGGCAAGCTACCAGGAGATTGGTAAGCGCATGGGCAACAAGGGGTATAAGGTGCTACTGGTTGAGGACAACCCTGTCAACCAGAAGGTGCTGCAAAAGTACCTGAAGAAGGTGGGTGTGGACGTGGAGGTAGCTGCGGACGGCGCCGAGTGCACCGATATGGTGTTTGCCCGCTCCCACAACTACTACTCCTTGATACTGGTTAGTGTGTTCCTTCTCTTCCGGAATTGAGGTCCTATGCTAACATTTTAGTGCGACCTTCATATGCCACGCAAGGACGGCTACCAGGCTTGTCGGGAGATCCGACAATGGGAGAGGGAGAAGGGGTTCAAAAAACTACCTATCATTGCGCTCTCGGCCAACGTCATGTCTGACGTTCAGGACAAGTGCGTTGCGGCCGGGTTCAGCGACTACGTCACGAAACCTGTCGACTTTATCGATCTCAGCAGAGCGATGTCCAAGTTCTTCTGACGGAAGTGATCCATAAGATACAATACGGTGCGGAGACGCCGTCTACATTCATGCCACAGGCACGCGCGACATTTACATTACAAACAAAAGGGTTTATACTAGCAGGGCATGGGTCATTGGGGAATAGGCGTTCCAAGGGATACGAAGATTCGGGTTCAGCATGACTAATTATGGGCCTTCCTACTTACCATGTACAACTGCTTCGAGGCGGATATCATCATAGAAGACGTACCTTTAGAGGAGGGTCTTTTCGGGGAGGGACAACCGTCTAGGATTATACATTAGCTTTTTCTTCGCATGGCGGTCGTCACAAAGGCAACTTGTACACGGCTCGCAGAAAGAGGGTCTGCGTTCAGGAGAGGGATACAAATTCATCGTCAAGTACTAGTTGGATTCGGTGCGAGGCTCAGGGAGAAGCATATATGGTCGGGAGGCATGAAAGGTGTGTTGCCCTCACCGTTTTTCTTCGGGTCTTGTGGAGACCAAACATGGTAATCGTGGTGGAATACGATATCCCAATGAATTAAGTAAAATCGACGTCCCCATTGACGTGTGAGGTGATGTTTGTGTATTGTATGCTTCAAGCAAGACGTAATGCTCGTTGAGTTTAGTTGCCTGACGGGAGAAATTTCGTGGCCTCCTTCCCGAGTTTATCTTCAGATAGCCAACGACTCTGACATGAACTAAAAGGCCTTTTGTGAGGCAAGAGGCAACCATATTCCATTTACCGATCCCGCTGCACGGTACTTGAGCGGGTTCTATCTAGCTTGGCTGGGCAGAAATTGATGCCATTCCCACCTCACGTCCTCCTAGGCTACTGTTGAAGCCATCCTCTATCGCCAACAATATCTTTTGCTCCCATCAGCCTGAATATCGTCATTCCTCTTTAGCGTGGCCACCTCATAGGGCAACAACTTCTAACCTGGCTCCATATGGGAAAGCTCCCTAGTCTCTTCAACGACTATCTTCTGCTGCCCTGAAACCCAGAACTTCGTCTGACAGCGTCTTCATGCTCTTTGGTATCCACGACAGTTCTTTCCTGCATTCGTCTACACTACAACGCCCTGCAAATCAATTTCAATCAAGCGCTTTACTTATGCTAGCCTACGACAATAGATGAACATTCACGAAACCACCCTCCCATGACATCTTCAAAGCCCTCGACGAAAACTCTATCCCCTATCAACTACCGCGCAGATCCTCCAAACCGAGTCCAAGGAGACAAACCGCGACTTCCTCTCAACATCACCTTCACTACACGCCCCATCAAGGCCTATTAAATATCTCACCGAGTCTATCGCCTCGATATCCTTGACCATGCAAAACGGTGGTAGCCGCTCGACTGCGAGCATGGCAATACCTTGGGCTCACAGCTACAAGAGGTACGCGGACGAGGTCGAACAGAGCGCGGCCAAGAGAACATGCTTCGAACATAGCTCTGCTGGGGAGTCTACTGGGGAGTCTACTGGGTCCATGGCAGTCCCGGATTTTAACCTGGCCCAGCCGCCGTTGAGACGTATATGGCACAGACGAACCACGGCAGTCACGAACACAGGTAGGGTACGAGATCTGACAATCCCTCGGGCAGATTCTCTTTCCTTCTTGCAGCTACCCGGATATTGATCGTCGAGAACAGATATGGGAGCATGCCTATTGGGGTCGACTCGGAAACCCCTCTTCCCTGAAGTCTCTTCTCACCGTGAGAAGTAACTCGTCCGGTGTGGGTTTACAGCTAACGATGCCTGCAGGAATGTCAACGCTCAGCCGAAACTCGTCAGATATCAAGGTCGAAACTTGTACCGGCTACGAACTCGCGACAATGACGGACTTTCGAACCGACATGAGCGTAAAGGAGAAGCTCTCTCTAGGATACAGTCAATCCTTCCACAAAAGCCTAGAGTTTGATGCTCGGATTCAAGAAACTTCGGGCGGTCTGCTATCTGCGCGTCGAAACGAGATCATGGGACGGGGCGGACTTGGACTGGTCGATCGGTTCCTTGGGTTCTCATATGCTTTGCGACAGGAGACCGTCGCCCATGATGCGGAAATACAAAATAGAATGTACGGGCTTCCGGACACGGAAACTACGCTAGAGGAAACAAAAGATGGCTACGACTGCTCAAACGAGAGGAGACGACTCAACGAGCACTTCTTGGCCAGATCTCGATTTGTGTAAGTCACGGGCATGATGGTAGGATGACATACACTTACTCTTAGCAGCAAACGTGCGCATCAACGACTGGCGATAGCGATACGGCCATGCAACAGGAAGACCCATACAATTCCTGGCCTAGTGGCCCGACGAAGATCTGACCAGATCATGAATGTCGAGTGGCAACAAGACTACCACGGCATGGCAATGAACATGAGCTTCAGCGCGTTCCAGAGTAGATCAATGGAGGAGAACGGGTATCGGAAGCGCGAAATCCGGCGCCTGCACTTCCGAAAGGTGGACGATGCGCACCAGACCTTTCCGGGACCTCCGCTGGATACCGCTACGGCCGAAGATTACGGGGCCAACTCCAGCACGGAGATGTATTTCCAAGATGGCGTAGACGGAAGTCTTTCCATGGTCGAGCTAGACATGTGAGCCTGTGAATTCTATTCGTGGCGGACTGGGAGCTGACACATTCCTTCAGCACTGATATCAACGGCAAGAAACGGAGGTGGATATGTATAGAGATATCTAAGTCTCTAGTCCAAGTCAACGGTCCAGTTCCTTCTGAGTTGATACCAATGCCGCGTTCCTACCTCAAGATTGCTGCGCCGTCCGACAAGGTCATGGTAATGACGAACACGAGGAACTTTGACGCATGGCTGGATACGAGCCAGACTCCGCAACTGGGAGACTTCAAGAGACTCACGATTCGAGGTCCCAGGCGAGGAAAGTACGCAAAGCAAGTGAGGCTGAGGATGTGCAGTGACGGCGTTCCGATCTTCGCGACTGGGTCGAAAAGGAGCATACCAATTGCCAGTCGGATCGATGACTTTCTCTTCGCCAAGAACGTCACCGGTCTGCCGTGGAAGGAGACCGATCGCCGAGTCAGCAACGCGACCAAGGCCATGCGGAAGCATGAGTTTTGGGAGCGCTATCGTTCGGCAGCAGAAGTTGACAAGGCACAATGGAAGTCGCTCCAGGACGCTATGGCCAGAGATGACTGTGTCGTGGACATTACATTTGGGGGGGAATGGAATCAGGTCGGTCCCAACGCTCAGACGCCTCAGGTAGTATGGACACCGACAGTACCACTAGAGACTAAGCTGTCTCCGTCCGCGCCCCCTTTTCGGCCACAGGGTGCAACGACAGGGTCCGCCAGGAGCGGAAATCGTCGTCCTGGGAGTTCCGGGTTGCGCAATGAAGTACAGCTGTAGCCTGTCTCCAGTGGCCCATAGAGGGATAGCAAGATCTAAAAAATCGGCCCGAAAATTACATTCGGAGGATGCTCCATGTTATCCTTAGCATAGCCAGAGAGGAGGACGATTACGGGATTATGCGAAGCCAGCGAGAGGTTTGATTCTTCGCTGCTCTTGGCTAAGAGCCGGACACTTGGCTGGGAAATGCTTTGGCGCAGTAAATCGACCTCAAACTAGCTACTTGAAGTAATACACAATTGGTAACTAGCGAGTGAATACGATCTTTTCGGTTGATAATCGCTGCATCATTGAAGGGACGTCGTTGGATGTGGGCGTCGGTGTAGCACGCCAGAACCCAGGTGAATCACGGTGAAGCCGGGAAATGGTTCCGCCGTGCTCCAGCTTCATCCCGCCAAAAAACGAACCCGCCCAGCGAACTTTTTAGAAGCCCGGTGCCTTAGGAGCAGCAGCAGCAGCACCACCCCCGCCATCTCCACGATTTCCTTTACAACGGTGAAGCTCCTCGCCGAAATACACTCCCCAGACGACACCAGTTTTTTATCAAGCCATCGGAATCGTCGTCGCCCATCATGCAGGCTCCTGTAGTGGTTATGAGTACGCAGCCCCTCCTTCCCTCTAGAGCTTGGACAAGCTACCCCCCATATATCACGAGTACTGACCAATATCTCTAGACACCCAAAGCGGTGAACGGCAGACGGGTCGCAAGGCCCAGCTGTCCAACATTGCGGCAGCCAAGACGTACGATACCCCCCAAGCTACGACTGAACATCGCTGACCCCACCACCAGTGTCGCCGATATTATTCGATCCTGCCTAGGCCCCAAGGCCATGTTGAAGATGCTCCTAGATCCCATGGGTGGCATTGTCCTGACTAACGACGGCCACGCTATCCTCAGAGAGATCGAGGTCTCGCACCCCGCAGCGAAGAGCATGATTGAGCTTTCCCGGACACAAGACGAGGAAGTCGGCGACGGTACAACGACAGTCATCATCTTGGGTAAGGACCTTTTGCACCGCTTATAAAGCACAACTAACCTGTACAGCCGGTGAGATGCTTGCGCAGTCCCTGCCTCAACTCGAGCGCAATATCCACCCTGTTCAGATCATCGCCGCGTTCCGCCGGGCGCTCAAGGACGCTCTCGAGATCGTCGACGATATCTCCCTCCCTATCGACGTCAACGACGACAAGGCCATGCGCGGCCTCATCTCCTCCTCGATCGGCACCAAGTTTGTCTCGAGATGGTCCGACCTGATGTGCGACCTTGCCCTGCGCGCCGTCCGCACCGTTACCTGGGAGGCCGGCAACGGAAAGACCGAGGTTGACATCAAGCGGTACGCGCGTGTGGAGAAGGTACCCGGCGGCGAGATCGAAGACAGCAGGGTGTTGGATGGTGTCATGCTCAACAAGGATATTACCCACCCCAAGATGCGCCGGAGAATAGAAAACCCCAGAATTGTCCTGCTCGACTGCCCCCTCGAGTACAAGAAGGGCGAGTCGCAAACCAACATTGAGATTTCCAAAGAAGAGGATTGGAACCGCATCTTGCAGATCGAGGAGGAGCAGGTCAAGTCGATGTGCGAGGCCATCCTGGCTCTGAAGCCGGACTTGGTCATCACCGAGAAGGGCGTCTCAGGTAAGTTGAGTATTGTATTGTATTTGAAGAACACGGCTAACAGTTGCAGACCTTGCCCAGCACTACTTCATGAAGGCCAATGTCACAGCTCTGCGTCGCGTCCGCAAGACAGACAACAACAGAATAGCGAGAGCGACAGGTGCCACCATCGTCAACCGCGTCGACGACCTCCAGGACTCGGACGTCGGCACGCTTTGTGGGTTGTTCGAGATTGAGAAGATTGGCGACGAGTACTTTACTTTCCTCACCAAGTGTCAGAACCCCAAGGCCTGCACAGTTCTCCTCCGCGGCCCGTCCAAGGATGTGCTCAACGAGATCGAGCGTAACCTGCAGGACGCCATGGGTGTTGCCCGCAATGTCATGTTCAACCCCAGACTGTCCCCCGGTGGTGGTGCCACCGAGATGGCCGTCTCTGTGCGGTTGAGCCAGCTCGCCAAGGGCGTCGAAGGCGTCCAGCAGTGGCCGTACAAGGCCGTCGCTGACGCGCTTGAGGTCATCCCCCGTACCCTTGTCCAGAACGCCGGTGCCAGCCCCGTCAGGGTGCTGACAGACCTGCGCGCCAAGCACGCCGAGGGTAAGCACTCTTGGGGCATCAACGGCGACACTGGTGTAGTTGCGGACATGAAGGAATACGGCGTCTGGGAGCCCGAGGCCATCAAGCTGCAAAGCATCAAGACGGCTATTGAGGTATGTTTACATTGTCTACAGGCTTTACTTTTACAATACTAACACTAGCACTTACAGTCCGCCTGCTTGCTCCTCAGAGTAGACGACATTTGCAGCGCGAGAAAGGCGGCGCAAATGGGCAACGGTCTGCACGGCGGCGACGAATAAGAGCCTGATGAAGTCAGTCGGATTGGTATTTCGGAACGGAGAGGCGACGAGAGTGTTGAAGGAGGGGAAAAAAAGGTCATACCCTGTACGAAGGCATAGACATGGATTAGAAATTACCTAGACGACGAATTCTCGGGATCAAGTTGTTTGTGTGCAGTTTGTCTGCCAGCTATTGACTGCTCCGCCGGTTAACCGGACCCACTCGTGGTGTTTGGTCTGATGTTATTTTTGGTCACGCCAAGCTTATGTTTAAGCTCCAAGCCCAGGATGAATCAGTCATCGTCGTGGATGACAAGCCCAGCAGGCTGAGCGGCTCCTGATGTAGCCTTGGCGGCCTTGTTTCCTTCGCTCCCGTCCTTTGCGTCGACGTCGTCCTTGCCTGTTGGCGCCGTCATCTTCACATTGGGGGCAACACCACCGGAACCCTTTGCGGCGGGCCCCTTCTTCCCCTTTTGCTTCTTCTTCTCCCTCTTCTCGCGGTTCTTTCTCGTGCGCTCCTCGTCACGGGCAGCTCGTTCGGCCTTTTGGCGCTCAAACTCTTCGTTTTCCTTCTCTTGTTTGACCTCCTCGTCCATGGCGCGCAGGCGGTCGTACTCGCGGCGACGGCTGGCCTTGTATACGTGGAACTCGCCGGAGCCCGCGCCGGCGCTGGAGCCCTGGACGTTTGTGACGATCTCTGGAGGTGCGGCGACGGCGCGCTTAGCGACAGCCCCGGGGGCGGGAGGGAGGCGGATCTCCTGATCGGGCTTGGAGAAGAGGGACTCGAGGTGTTTGGCATGCTCGGTGACGGGCGTCAGAGCGCGCTTCTTCGTTGGGCGCCGCGAGCGCGGGTCGGCCGAGGTGGGGATCGATTCAGGGCCTTCGCCGGACATGGTGCTGTTAAAGATTTTGTGATGGCAGGGTGGTTTTGCGGGGTGCTGCCGTTGGATCAGGGCGGTTGCGTCAAGATTGGAGTCGTATGATTGTGGGACGAGGTCGGATACGGCTGGAAACGGAATGGGCCGACTCGGAATGAGGAACGAGGATGTCGTGGATATGCTGTGTGATGCGGTTGCCCAAATGCGCCGCTCGTGTTCCGGTGACTGCTGGTGACTGATATCTGATGCAAGTTACCCCATAGGTCGTGAGACGAGGCGCGTGCAGTCGTGAGAGGAAACGGCAAAGATTGGCGCGCCTAGAATGGTTGTGGTTCGTTTGCTGGGAGTGGTTGGTAGGGCAGCGGCTAGGAGAGCTGCTGTTCGAATGTTTGCTCCGCGAAAAGGCTGAGGCGACTAGGTGGAATGATTGGAGTGACTAGAGTGATGTGCGGGCGAGGTGGGGGAGGCTCATCGAATGACGGTGCTTGGAATGGGAGGGGCTTTGGGCAACGCGTCTATCAGAGCATGCAGACCATGCCAGAAAGACGATGCGGGTTAGCGGCGTGCAAAGTTTATGGGTTGCACTGCGGTTGTCCGGCGGCAAGTTGAAGACGAAACGGATAGTTACATGAGACAATCAGAAAAAGGGTTGAGTAGACTACAGCAGGCAAACATCCAACAGAATCCCTGCAGTTGCCATTCGCTGTTTGCAATCCAGTGACTCTTGCCTCGCTCTGAGTGGTGGTGCTCTATGCTATTGCACGGCAGAAATAAGAACTACCTTACAGGAATTAGAAAAAATCAGAATGACTGCAGCACAGAAGGGCCGCCGCGGCAGCCACGGTGGGGCCGACAGCCTCGCCGCGGATCGGAGGGTCAGTGCGCCAATCAGGGGCGGCGCATTTCTTGTCTCGAGGCACCAGCTCGAGCCCTGCTTCTGACATTTGGTTGGTTGTGATGTTCGTTGGGATCCTCCGATATACCCCGCTGAAGAGCAACACTTTGGAAGATGGTCAGGGGGGCGCCCGTTGGAACAGGCCGCATTGGAATGGGGAGTTGGCCCTGTCGCCGGGGAAAAACTGACCAGGGCTTCGGGTTCAGCGACTTGTGTGTGGGCGTTTTGACTGCCATTTCGGGTGGGACGAGGGGTCGTCTCTACATGAGAAATCGCCATGCCATGCCACCAAAGTGGCGGCCAAAAATACCTGGCACACGGGGGTGGGCAGCACGCCGTTGATTGATGTACAGCACAATCTGCCTATTGCGGTTCCCCGGTCAAATACCTACACATTAGGCCAAACGTGTGACTGCATTCCATTCCACTTGGACAACTCCTTGCTACGCCTTGCGTTCCTTGCACCTCCAACCCAAACTCAACCCATCTCAACCTGCTCAACCCGTTGGTCGGAAACATCTGCGCACTACTAAAGCAGGCACCACCCCTCCCGCCCGCCGCCACCAAGGTTAAGGTTAGCACAAACCGATACACATACAACGGCAGGCCCATCCCAAGGTTCGCTTTTGGTCCCAGCATCCGCAGCCCGTCCTCGAGCCTTCAGCCTCTGCCCTGCCCTGCCCCGCCTCATTCCTCTCCTTACACTTCCCAGTCAACAAGGTTCTCAACGCTACGATTCGCGATCTCCGAGCGTGCTGAGCTTTTAGACGATAACCGAGCAATAAAACACCATTGTCTCCCATTCTATCAAACTTCGCGCCTTCACTACTGCAACCCTTTTGGCGCCGATTACCACCTACGACAGGCATCATGGCTAAACCAAGGCTCATCATCCTCATCCGGCACGCCCAATCCGAGGGCAACAGTACGTCCCTCTGTTCCGCATCCGCTCCTCTGGTTAACCTCATCCTTCAGAGAACCGCGAAATCCACCAAACGATCCCTGACCACCGAGTAAAGCTCACACAAGACGGCTGGCAACAAGCCTACGACGCCGGGCGCCGCCTGCGCAAGCTGCTGCGCGCCGACGACACCCTTCATTTCTTTACCTCCCCCTACCGCCGCACCCGCGAGACAACCGAGGGCATTCTGTCGACGCTGACGTCCGACGAGGAGGACCCCTCGCCCTTCAAGCGTTCCAACATCAAGGTCTACGAGGAGCCCCGTCTGCGTGAGCAGGACTTTGGCAACTTCCAGCCATGCTCCGCCGAGATGGAGCGTATGTGGCAGGAGCGCGCCGACTACGGCCACTTCTTCTACCGCATCCCTAACGGCGAGAGCGCCGCAGACGCCTATGACAGAGTTAGCGGCTTCAACGAGAGTCTGTGGCGCCAGTTCGGCGAGAACGATTTTGCCAGCGTTTGCGTGTTGGGTAAGTTGTTCTTTCATGATGCAGTATGCGTACTAACTGTTCAGTCACCCACGGACTCATGTCCCGCGTCTTCCTGATGAAGTGGTACCACTTCACCGTCGAGTACTTCGAGGACCTGCGTAACGTCAACCACTGCGAGTTCCTTATCATGCGCAAGCAAGAAGAGAGCGGCAAGTACATACTCGAAAACAAACTCCGAACCTGGTCGGAGCTGCGTAAAGAGCGGGCCCTGCTCAAGGAGAAGGAGGACAAGGAGCGGAGCGAGGAGGAGCGGGCGACCAAGGATGCCAAGGCAGGGACCCTCCTTGAACGCAGTAAGACCTTCATCGTCACGCGGCGCTGGGGTGGTTGTCCTAACGGGTGTAACCACAAGAGCCACTACCAGAGGCGTGACGACCTGGAAGTCCTCCGCCAGACGGACGAGATCACCTCCAACGGGACGGTAGGCAACGGCTACTCCCGACGGCAATCGCCCGCGCCCCGGAGACAGGTCAAGCGGTGCGAACAGGGCTATACCTCGGACGAAGGGACCGACGGAGACGGCCGGCCGCCGCAGATTGACGTTACCCGCGCCCGCCAGGAGGTCGTCTCGTCGCCTGACGGCACGCCGTCCTTTATCTCCGCCGAGGACCGTCTACGGAGTATGATCTCGCCGCATCTGCATGTCGGCCGCGACTTTGGCGGCACATACTCGGGACGTACGTCGATCGCCGGCAGTGACACAGACTCGTCAGAGGAGGAGGGTCATCGGCCTCCGATCACCACCATCACCAAGATCAGAGTCAGCCCTGACGGGGAGGTCGCCGAGCAGACGAATTGTAGCATCAACAAAACACCCAGTCCCGTCACCGGGATCGCGACACCGACTACTGAGGACGAGCAGCCCGACCCGAACGACCATAAGGGGATGCGAAGGGGCGCGCGCGCCAACCGTCTCGGTGACACCCACAGCAGTGATCTGGGCTCTGAGGCAGACGAAGACGACCTTGCCCGGGCCGAGAAAGAGGACAGGAGTATTCAGGGGAGTGTTTACTGATGGGCTATCGGCGTCTGATGGCCATACAATGGGTTAGTGGGTTTCATTGGGCGCATCCGGATTTGGGGGCCTGCATGGGATATGCGGTCTGCTCGAGAATGGGGTGCATGCATGGGACTTGACGCAATAGACCGCCACGGGCTAACATCATTGACGGCGCCTTGTTTTTTCTGGTCTGTTTGGATTACGATATGAGGAGGATATACCTAGATTGCACGGCGCGAATAGACGAAAAGGGCAGATATGTAAATGCCAAGAATGGAACACGCTTTATTACCACAGATGTTGCTGGGCTGTGCGGTTTGCGACCCGGGCGGTGCTTCCTGGTGTCGTCTCCGAGGCTCACTGGCTCGATATCTCATGAGTGTCTCCTGATGCCTTCATCACAGCTGTGGCCGATGTTCACTGGCAACGAGCCCCTTCTGCCAGGTCAAACCCGTTGACGCCCTCGCCGCGAGTGCCAGTGGCACTTGCCTGATCAAACCCGCGGCCGGCTAGGTCATAAGCTATTGCCGAGGGTCACCGGCTCGTCTCCCCTAGGTTGTCCTCGTTCCTGTTGCTCTCTCCTGTTGCTCTCATCCGCGGCAAGTGTTTTCACATTTACACGTAAGCGGGACGGCCCAGATACCGCAGGGCAACGAGGTGTTTCCGAATCCTGGTGGCTCTGGTGGCGGCATGGCTTCGAAAAGACCACGACTGGTGTGGCGAAGAGCGCGTCGCTTGGGGAGGCCTTGATTCCTCAAAACCGGCCCATTTGTGGACGTGGCGTGACCTGCATCAAACAAGACACCGACTGACCTCGGATTACGAGGAAGCAGCCACATCACAGGAAAAGACAAAGAGCAGTTCTGTAAACGAATAAATTGCTTTCAGCACGCAAAGTACATAGTAAATGTGTCTCCTAGGCGGCGCCGTCATCTACCCGCCCAGGCTTCTTCTGTGTGGTATATCTAGGATGCTTTGCCTTTCCGCCCCGACTGTTGTAACTCGCACAGTCCCTCCGCCACGGGAGGGCGTGTGTGGTATTACTCATAGGTTAATTTTACAATTGTACAAGGAAGGCAAATGCTCCCACCGTTCTGTCACCCTGTCCAAACCCATCTTTTGAATCTCTTTCCATCGCCCGCTTGTCATGTCTGTGTAGTGATGTTTGTCATTTACTCGCCCTTCAGCTTGTCCTGCTTGACAGAGAAGGCCATCTCCAGGAACTCCTGCTCCTCCTTGTTGTGCAGGCCCTTGTTACCAGCAGCGACGGACGCGCTGGGGCCACGGCCAGCATACATAACATGCTTGCGGTCGTGGTGCTCAGTGTTGTTGAGCAGGGTCTCGAGGCGAGGCTGCGTGAAGCTCCAGGCACCGGCGTTCAGAGGTTCCTCCTGGCACCACACAATCGTCTTGGCGTTAGGGTACTGGTCAAGGTTCTCCTTCAATTGTTGCCAAGGGAAGGGGTTGAGCTGCTCCAGGCGAGTAAAAGCCACGTTGTCAATCTTGTTATCAGCGCGGTACTTGGACAAAGTAGCCCAGACCTGACCAGAGCAGAGGATGACACGGTCAATCTCCTCCTTGGGCTTGATGGCACCAGTCTCGTGCTCAGGGTCGGGGATGATCCAGCGGAAGTGGGAGTCATCGGTGAACTCCTCAATGTTGGAGCGAGCCAGAGGGTGGCGGAGCAAAGCCTTGGAGAAGAAGATGATGAGAGCTAGGAAATGTTAGCGACAAGAGGTAAGAATGATGGGCTGCTGAAGGGGAACTTACGCTTGCGGAATTGACGGTGCATCTGTCTACGGAGAACGTGGAACAGGTTGGAGGGGCTCGTCATGTAGACAACCTGCATATTGCAGTCCTGGTGCTGGCGTTCCAGCTTCTCAGGAGAGGGGAAGACACGGGGGTCCTCGTTGCTCAGCTGCAGCCATCGCTCCAGACGACCGGAAGAGTGCTCGGGACCCTGGCCGTCGTAACCGTGGGGGAGAGACACAACAAGACCCGTTCTCTGCATCCACTTGGCCTCGCCAGAGGCGATGAACTGATCAATGATGCACTGCGCGTTGTTGGCGAAGTCGCCAAACTGAGCCTCCCACATGACCAGGGCATTAGGGGAAGACAGAGAGTAGCCGTACTCGAAGCCAAGGGCGCCGAACTCACTCAGGGAAGAGTTAGAGATGACAAACTTGCCCTGGTCCTTGCTGACGTGCTGGAGAGGAGTGTGGGTGTCCTCGGTCTCCTGGTCGTGGAAGACAGCGTGGCGCTGGGAGAAGGTTCCACGCTCGACATCCTGACCAGAAACACGGACGTGGTGACCCTCAGTGACGAGGGAACCGAACGCCAGGGCCTCGGCAGTGGGAAAGTCAATGTTCTTACCCTCGACGACAGACTTGGTGCGGTTGGATAAGATACGCTTCAGGTTGCGGTGAGCGTGGAAGCCCTCAGGGGTGCTGCCAATGACTTCTCCGAGGTGGTTCAAGGTCTTCCTGTCAACGCTGGTCTCGTGGTGAGGGAGGACCTCGGTGGCAAGCTCCTTAGGAGACTTGAAGCCGTTCCAAGCGGACGTGGTCCATTCCTTGGAGGTGGGCTGGTAGTCCTTGGACTTGGAGAAGCTCTCCTCTAACATTCCCCAGACCCACTGCTTGTGCTCTTCAATGTCCTCCTTGGTGAAGCTGCCGTCCTCAAGAAGCTTGTTGACGTAGATAGAAATCTGAGGCTCGTGGTCCTGGATGCGCTTGTACATAAGGGGTTGGGTGAAAGAGGGCTGGTCCGTCTCGTTGTGGCCGTGCTTACGGTAGCAGACCAGGTCGATGATGACGTCCTGCTGGAACTCGGCGCGCCAGTCAGCAGCCATTTGGCACACGAAGTTCACAGCCTCGACATCATCGGCGTTGACGTGGAAGACGGGAGCGTCGATGGCCTTGGCGATGTCGGTACAGTAGGCAGTGGAGCGAGCGAAACGAGGGTCGGTGGTGAAACCAATCTGGTTGTTAACAACCAGGTGAATAGTACCACCAGTGGAGAAGGCAGGCAGAGAGTGGAATCCGAGACATTCGTAGACAACACCCTGTGCGGCGAAGGCAGCGTCACCGTGGAGCAAGACGCCCATGGCGGTGCGGTGGGTCTTCTCATCGTTGTTGTAGTGCTGGATGGCGCGGGTCTTGCCGAGGACGACAGGGTCTTCGGCCTCCAAGTGAGATGGGTTGGCAACGAGAGAGAGCTGAACGCGCTTGCCAGAGGGTGTAGGGCGCTCAAAGTTCATACCAAGATGGTACTTGACGTCACCAGAGCCTTCATCCTCGGCACCGGCGGTTCCGGCAAACTCGCTGAAGATAGACTCATTGGGCTTTCTGACGACGTTGCTGAGAACATTGAGACGACCGCGGTGAGGCATGCCGATGACGATATCCTTCACACCGTAATCAACACTGCGGTCGATCAAAGCCTTCATACCAGGGACGAGGGTCTCGCAACCCTCAAGACCGAAACGCTTGTCGTTGGGGTATTTCGTGGCAAGGAAGGATTCGAAGCTGGAACTCCAGATGAGACGGTCGAGGATGCGGCGCTTCTCGTCGATCGAGTACTTGAATGGTTGGGGAACCTCAATGCGCTCCCGCAGCCAGTCGCACTTCTCCCTATCGGGGATGTGGATGAACTCGATGCCGTAGGCACCACAGTAGATCTTTTCGCAGGCGTCAATGATCTCGCGGAGAGTCATCTTCTCGCGGCCGTCCTTCTTGAAGCGCGGGAGAATGCCGGGGCCAAGCTCGTACTCGGCGTCAAGGTCCTTCTCGGAGAATTGGTAGTGCTCGAGGCTGAGCTCCTTGGGCTTGATGTTTCCGAAGCCAGCGGACTCGTTCCGGATGCCCAGGGGATCGATGTTGGCCTTGTGGTGACCACGAGCCTGGTAGGCGCGTACAAGGAGCTGAACCTTCAAGTGGTTGGTGATCTCAGAGCCCTGGCCGAGGCCAGCGGCAATGCCTGGGACGCCACCAGTGGCACCAGGGACCAGAGAGGGAGGAGGAGTGAAGGCTTGTGAGATGGGCATGTCGCCGTTCTCCATGTTCTTGAAGTAGACCTGCCATGAGACGTGGACGCTCTTGGGGTCCTGCTTCCATTGCATGTACATCTCATCGATGTAGTTGGCAGTGTTACCCGACAGGAAGTTGTCGTTGGGGTTAGGGGCTGAGTCGGTCGCGCTCGCATAGTGACGTTGGCTGGTCAGAGCCAAGGGGCGACGGGTAGCGGCGAGTTTCCTCGACGAGGTTCGCGACGCGATGGTCGAGAAGCATGATTGCGAGGTTGTAGGTTTCGAGGCATGGAGCACCCGGGTGCCAGCTCTACACACGGAGCTTCGCAACATGGTGGCGGATAGGGGGGATGAGGAAGAAGTTCGTGAACAGAATGAACATGGAAAAGGAAGAATACACAAAAGGACGGAACTTTGTCGGTCCTCGGGAGAAGGAGGTCGGGTTTGTACGGGCCTGCGGCAAATCTGGCAGACTGGCCTGGGGACGGGTGGAGAAAAATGTAGCTGTCGTATCCTGGTCAGGCGCAGTGATTGGCTCACGTGACTTGAAAAGAGTGTAGTATATCTCGCACTTGATTCGGCCGCGGGAGCTGTCAGCTGGATTAAATGGAGCTACCTGACACTGGGAGAAGTCCCAAGACACTGATGTTTGCGTCCTGTTTAAGGCAGGGGTCAGCCGTCACAGGAGCTGGTAGGAGCCTGGGATTTTATTTTTGTCTTGTCGCAGCCGGCGTCCAAGTGCTGTATCATCCTTCCCCAGTTGAAGCCATCGCCGGCGAAGCGATAGGTGAATTGCAATAGAGGAGTCAGTGCAAGCTTGCCCCCTTATGTTGAATACGAGACGAAGCTCCAACCCAAAGTCAATTTTTTGTTTACATCACTGGGCATCGCGGTGCTTCCGGCCCCACACCCTTTCTGGTTCCTGCCGAGTTTACGGATAGTAGCGGACGGATTCCATGCGCGATGACCAAGGATGTATGTCAGGACCCAGGGAAAGAAAGCGTGAAGCGAAATGCTGGCACCAAGAGACATGTATGAACTTGTGACAACTCCTGAAATTCCGAACCGATAGGTGGCATGGCACACCGCCTCTGGCGATTTTTTGTTTTTGTTTCTTCTTGTCGTTTGTGGGAAATGTTTTCGGGATTTCTTGTTGGAAGAGAGCATCGTGCTGCGTCAAGTCGAACTGAGGAGAATCTCAATCCTCCGCTCAAGCTAAGCTGCTGGAAATCGCTTGGTCAGAGACTAAAGTCGCCACGACAGTAACGGCAGACAAGTAGAACCTGCCGACGCACAACCGATCGATTGGCACCAACTTTGTGTGATTTGGTGTATTACGAACCGAGTCCGCTGCATAAAGCGAGGTACGGCAAAGGCCAAAATGCGAGTCATCGGGATTTCCGAGATTTGCAACTTCTCTCTACCTACTTACCTTACGCCAGCTTCTCGAGCCATCCCCGCGCCCATGCTTCATGTGGCTGATGATCTGTCGGAAACTACATTAACCGATGCCGGATGGCTGAGGAACGGGTCAATTTCGGTTGAATACGAACAGGCCCAGTCCGCTAGGGGCATGGGGGGCGAGACCGCCAGAGGCCGCCCGCTACAGACAGCCCATGCAGCAACGATACAAGGAGGCCAAAGTCGGCCATCGCACCTCACCTACCTGGCGGTGCTGGCTAGATGACTGGCAACTTCAGCAACTCTGTTGGGGCTGTGCTACGCTTTCGCAATTGTAAAAGCAGGCAGTGAAACAAGCGCTTCGCACACAACATCTGTCATTTGACTCTGTCTTCCTCAACCGAGGTCAATCGTGTGCGAGGCACAACAAGGGGAACAGGAGGCGCATTTAGTCGCATTGCATCCCATCTTCACATATAGCTAGACCGTCCCAGCCAAACCTGACTCCACCGGCGCCCAACTCTAACCCACCCATCTCTACCTAAGGCAAGGCAAGAAACAATACCTACCTGTTCATATCGACTCAGCTGCTCTGGCGGCGCCCTCTTGTTACCCAACTGTGACCAAGTACTGCCGGGCTGCCGGGGAATGAAAGCCTTCTAGAGGCACTCGGACTCGCTGGATTGGGCAGATCCAGTCAACAAGCCAGTCGACGCTTCTATACTAATCTGGTTTACTTGGGCAATTTCTCATGTGTCCATGCCCTGACTCCCGATATCTCAGCCACTTCATACTCATATCCTGATTTCTCAATACCAATATCAGGTGGCCAAGCATTCAGCCTTCTCAACGTCGGTCAAGGGTTTGCCCATTTCAAGATCAACACGCGTCTGTCTGTGCCTGTATCAGTCTTGATTGTGGCTGCACGTTGTCCGGGCCTTTTCTGAATAAGGACAGACTGAGCGCAGCACTGGACCCTTCTGCAACCTTATAATACCCTAGACTCCTGGACCTTACCTTTGACCTGGAGCCACCCACCCTGTACCGATACAGCAGCCCCGATACGTCCACCACCAATCCGTAAGGTGCGGTATCCATACATACATCCGCATCCTCCCCCGCCGATTCTAGCCACCGACACTACCACACGTTCGACTCTTGTTGATTCTCCCACACCGCATCCTCATCCTCAGCGCGTGCTGGCGTTCCTATTCCACCTCCTAGCAACTTGACGACTCCCATATTCTCTCTAATGGCAGGGCCGACCTCACCGGGCACCGAGGGCCCCACGTTCGCCCCGCCTCATCTACCTGCTGGCTGGATTGCCCAGTGGGATGGTTCGAGCAAGAAGTACTACTTCGTGCAGCTTTCCACCGGCGTATCGCAATGGGAGACACCGACCGATGCCGCGCCCACGGGCGCGACGCCTGCTCAGCCCTCCGATCATCCTTACGGCGTTCCGCAGCCTGAGGTCATCACTCATCCCGACGGCAGCCAGACGGTGCGCCATGCCGACGGCACCCTCGAACCCGTCAACCCCTCTTTGCCTCCCGACACTACGAGCACGAGGGGTATCGATGGCCCGACGGGAGACCGCGGACTTGGAGTATGTTGCCCTCGATCCTCTACCTCTCTGGCCACGCGTAGCTTGGCAATTTGTGCCGTCCTTGTCGCATTTGAGTTCTACTAATGTTCCGTTGCTGACTCGACGATCTTTTTGCAGAGCATGGCTATGAACGCGCTTCTCGGAGGCAAGAACTCGAACCACGGCTCCTCTTCAGGTAATAACAGCAGCTCGAGCCCTCTCGGCGGCCTCGCCAGTCAGTTGATGAGCGGCATCGGCGGACACGGTAACGGCCAAGGAGGTGGTAGCGGCGGAGGCAAGAGTTCTTTGGGCAAGATTGGCAGCTCTTTGGCTTCAAGCTTGCTTTCGAGTGGAAACAAACCGCAACAGGGGCAACAGCAAAACTACCATGGCAACCAGTCCTCAGGCCACCAGCAGCAACATGGGGGTATTGCCGGATCTCTTATGGGAGGTGTGGCCAACATGTTCGGTGGCGGCAAGCCAAGTCACGGTGTATGTCGGAGCGAATGGCTTTATTCAGGGCGCATTACTGACATCAACTTTCAGGGCAATGACTTCGGGTACTCCAACAATGCCTCTGGCGGCGGTGGCGGCGGCTACACCGGCCAGGCTCCTCCCACCTCGTACCAGCCTCCTGGTTCGTCTTCGCACAACCAGCACTCGTCTACGCCAGCAGGTGGCTCCTACCACTCGCCAGCGCCGAACCAGGGCCAGAACCACGGGCAACAGTCATATCCTCCGCCGCCTAACCAGTACCCCCCTCCGCCAAACCAGGGCCAACCTCATCACAACCCTTCGTACGGCGCGCCGCCCCAACAATCTCACACTCAATCATACCCGCCTCCGCCCGCCAGTGGACCTCCTTCGTACGGCCAGCAGCCCAGTTATGGTGCCCCGCCAAACCAGCAGCACCAACAACAACAGCCACAGTACGGAGGATATAACCCTGCAACATACGGCGGCGGTGCTCCCCAAGGCCCTCAGACCGGAGGCTACCCGGGCCAAGCATCATACGGCGGCAACCCGTCTCAGCAGACGCCTAGTTACGGTAACCACTACTGAGCGTTGCGGAGACTAGTATTGTCGAACAGTACTGCAGAGCCAAGTACGGCGTGACACGGTTTTCGTCGTCTTTCCCGTATCTGAGGTCTGGCAGTTGGATGTTTGGACCCGCTAATTGGACATGCTCAAGGAAAACGCAGAGCATGTCTGTTGGGATGGTGCTCAGATTGTATATCCCCCTTTCGTATCCTTGGCTGCTTCCAGGGATGCGCGACGAGTGTTGGATGTCTTTTTAGTGCAAGAAAGCATGGAATCGTTTGTACGCAGTGGAATTCCTGTCGTTAGAAGTCCTTTCGTTTCAAGCAAGACATGAATGCATGGAGAAGGCGACGCGATACGGTAATTTCGTACTCATAGCCTCTTCTTCTTTTCCGCGGACTTGCCTTCAGCGGCGACTACAGGTTGAATCCAAACAAGAATGCGTCTAGATAGAAACCAAGCCAAGATCGCCACGACGACGACATAACCCACAGTGGGCAGTAATGAACGTGGCAAAGCATTGAGCAAGAATGGATCGAGGATCAGGTCAACGCTAACGGGCTCGACTTGGGCCATGAGAGTGGTATTGTCCGTGAAGTAGTCTGCTGCCGCCAGAACCCGGAGAAAGAGCAGCGAAGTTTCATGTTCGTGTTTCTTTCGTTGCGAGGTCGTGTCTCCGACGTCTGGGCTGTCTTTTTCAGGCTGGCGTGAGAATGCGTAGGTTGCCAATGACGAAATGAGCTCGGGTGTGTCCCACACGGTGGGTAGTTCAAATACATCGAGCGTGAAAGCAGTGGGTTGCTGTATATAATAAGCAAATAACGCCAGACAACGACGTGCGATTACTGTCTTACTGTGGCCGCCCAGCACACTCTCAGCTCATAACGCTGGCCATGGGTAAGCCTGTCGAGCAGTAACCAAGTCGTCGTTCCCGAGGGTGTGTCCCCGGTTGGGAACGAAGCCTTCAGGTCGAGTCGCTTGGTCCAGTCATCGGGTGTCAGGACATCCAGCCGAAGGTCTTCAAGGGTCGGCGGCATGGTCGGAACGTTCACTGTCTCCGGACCGACGAAGATGACCTTTTCGGTGTTGGCGCAGGCGATATCAAGGCAGAAGGCCAGAGCCAGGCCGGCGGCGAAGACAGATCGCATGTCGAAAGTTTTCTCCTAAGACTCGGAAAGAATACGTCTGCCTAGATTAGCGTCGTGATGAGGGAACGGTAATTGTCATTGGTGTTGATGGTGATCAGCAACGAAGTTTGGTCAAGCTGTCTGATGATGCGGTGGGTAAAGCCAGGGAGGGAGTACTTGGCAACGCACTTCTTCGCGGAGGTGACGGCTCGGAAAACGGGAGTACATGTGGGTAAGGCGAGACAGGGGTTCGAGCGGACTGGCTGGCATTGGGTGTCCTGTTCTGCGCTTCGAAGCTGCCTGGTGTTCGTTCACATCATTCATTTCTACTTTTCTCCTGAAGGCGCTTTCAGGTCACGGCCTGCCTCTTGGTGTCTTGGGCATTAGGCTGCCATGAAACAAGAAACAAAACAAAAACATCTTAGGCTACACGGCAGGCTTTGTGTTCCCGCCGCCACGGTTCGGCGATGGGTCCGTTTCCACTGCCCGGTTGAGGATTCCTGAATCCTGGAGCCTTGAGACTCAGCGGAACCCCCTTTTTGCCTTTTGGGGCTGTTACCTACCTTGGGTCTGGTGTGAGGAAGCACGGTCTCGGCTGAGATTGGCAACCTATTGGATGAGATTTGACTGATGTTTGAGGAGACCGCCAAAGCTGGTGTACAGTCTGATGTGCAACGATATTTCAGATCAGATTGGCCGGTCTGTGCCCCTTGCCCAATAAAGCTTTATCTCGCTCACCGGATAAGAAGTTGCTCTTCTTCAAGCCGGGTGGATGCTGTCTCTAATCCCCTCTGCACTTGCTACTTAGTTCCTGTTTTGGCTCGGGTACTCATACATGGCGCAAAACGGCCCTGCTGGAACCCATTGTCCCTGTCATTCATGGGAGACGCAGCACGAAGAAGGGTTGGGTCATCCGGCTTGAAGGTATCGTCCCGACGCTTCCTCAGTCCTGGCCCTCCATGTGCTTATTTTTTTCACTTGTTTCTTCGCCTCATGCACTGCAAGCTGTCACTGCCTAGCATGTTCGGGGCCAGCGAAGTGCGGTGTACCTTGCCCGCCAATGGCAGACGAGCCCGCAGAGCGCCTTCACAGTGCTGGAGGTTCCTAGCGCAAAAAGGGCCCTGTACCTGCCGAGTCTCCACTGGGGAGCCAATAAGACACCCCCAGTGCCTCCCGACATGCGCTCCTGCCATTCGCCGGTCTCGCTATTGACAACAGACGTGGGCAGACGCGCTTACCAATTCGGGGCCGCTCATATCAACAAAACTTCGCTGCACGGCCCCTGGCGCATCAAATTTCGTACCCCACCCTGGCCTCCTCACCTCTGAGCCCAGTGTCCTTCTTGGCCTTTTGACCACCTGAGGAACCTGGTCCACGTCCCATGTCCCACGGTCCCGTCCTGAGGTCTCCAGTCCTCGAAGCACCAACCAGCACTAAGCACCACCATCAGAAAAGACACAAGCACGAGCCGCCCAGCACCTATTATTCTTTCCCTGCACTTTGCCAGGCCTAACCTAACCTTTTCAACCTCCTGTCCGACATCCTCTCGTGATAGCTGCGAAATCAACTCTTTTGCTTGCTTTCCTCCTCGAGTCCTGCTTCTCTGCTCCCACCCCCTCTTCCAGTCGCTAGCCCTTTTCTCACTTGTCTCCCAACCGCCATCATGCGTGAGGTCATCAGCATCAACGGTAAGCAAATCCTCATTTGTTTTGATTCCCTGACCCCACGCGTACTGCTTCGCTTCACCGCATCGTGACCACACCCGATGCGTACGGCTGCTGCCGTCACCTACCACGACGACATGCCTGCCTATCATCTCCGAATGCTTTACTGACTTCGTTATCTAGTCGGTCAGGCTGGTTGCCAGATCGCCAACTCCTGCTGGGAGGTATGTTTACCTCTGTGTTTACCCGATGCCACACCGTCGTCGAGTCGAGTCGAGTCGAGTCAAAAAGCTGCTTGCCCTGGCGACACTCAACAACACCAGCCAGGCATCGCTTGCTGCCGGGTTTGATGGCTAACCTATCTTCGTCTGTAGCTTTACTGTCTCGAGCACGGTATCCAGGTAAGCTATCAGCCTACTTCATTGTCCGCATACCCATGGTTCTAACGCGCATCTCTCCGCTAGCCCGATGGATACTTGACCGAGGAGCGTAAGGCGGCCGATCCCGACCATGGCTTCAGCACTTTCTTCTCCGAGACTGGTATGCTTTGGCCCGACGAGCCCTGAAGCATGGGCTGTTTGCTGATACAATCCGCTTTCTAGGCCAGGGCAAGTACGTCCCCCGTGCCATCTACTGCGATCTGGAGCCCAACGTTGTCGATGAGGTCCGCACCGGCCCCTACCGTGGTCTCTTCCACCCCGAGCACATGATTACTGGCAAGGAGGATGCCTCCAACAACTATGCTCGTGGCCACTACACCGTCGGCAAGGAGCTCATCGACCAGGTTCTCGACAAGGTCCGCCGCGTCGCCGACAATTGTGTCGGTCTTCAGGGCTTCCTTGTCTTCCACTCCTTCGGTGGTGGTACCGGCTCTGGTTTCGGCGCTCTTCTCATGGAGCGCCTGTCCGTCGACTACGGCAAGAAGAGCAAGCTCGAGTTCTGCGTCTACCCCGCCCCTCAGACCGCCACCTCCGTCGTCGAGCCTTACAACTCCATCCTTACCACCCATACCACCCTGGAGCATTCTGACTGCTCCTTCATGGTCGACAACGAGGCCATCTACGACATTTGCCGTCGCAACCTGGGTCTCGAGCGCCCCAACTACGAGAACCTGAACCGCCTGATTGCTCAGGGTAAGATTCAGCCTCCAAATTTCTACCCTCGATCATGAGTTAACGAGTGAACACAGTCGTTTCCTCTATCACCGCCTCCCTTCGCTTCGACGGTTCCCTCAATGTCGATTTGAACGAGTTCCAGACCAACCTGGTCCCCTACCCCCGTATCCACTTCCCTCTCGTCGCCTACGCGCCCATGATCTCTGCCGCGAAGGCCGCCCACGAGGCCAACTCCGTTCAGGAGATGACTATGTCCTGCTTCGAGCCCAACAACCAGATGGTCAAGTGCGACCCCCGCCACGGCAAGTACATGGCCACCTGCTTGCTGTACCGCGGTGATGTCGTTCCCAACGATGCCCACGCCGCTGTTGCGACTCTCAAGACCAAGCGCACCATCCAGTTCGTCGACTGGTGCCCGACTGGCTTCAAGCTCGGTATCTGCTACCAGGCTCCCCAGATGGTGCCTAACGGTGACCTCGCCAAGGTCAGCCGTGCTGTGTAAGTTCTGCCCGTGCCATCTGATTGTCTTGAATATTTGTCACTAACAAGTATCATAGGTGCATGCTCTCCAACACCACTGCCATCGCCGAGGCCTGGTCCGCTCTGTCGACCAAGTTCGACCTCATGTACTCCAAGCGTGCCTTCGTCCACTGGTACGTCGGTGAGGGTATGGAGGAGGGTGAATTCTCCGAGGCTCGCGAGGATCTTGCTGCTCTGGAGCGCGATTACGAGGAGGTTGCTGCCGACTCGCTCGAGGGTGAGGAAGGTCTTGAGGCTGAGTACTAAGATGTGTATATCCTGGCGATTGGATGCGGATTAAGTTGCGAAGCAACACCCCGATTCTTCTTGGGGCGCTGGCTCTGGTGTCATGGATCTTTCCGTTGAAGCAGTCCTGCGGGGCCAGTGGCGTGTTTACTTCAGTTGTTAGAATGAGAAAAGAATAGCCAACTTTAATGCTACGGGGATGAATCAAACTAAAGGTCCAAGATTGTGTGACGTGTGACAAGTATACCTTTCCTCTTGCCCACGCTTAGCAATATTGAATGATTCTTTTCTCCTCCTCCCCCCTCTCCTCGTCATCTTGCACTCCGTAGATGGCCATCACAAGAATAATGTCGGAAGCACGGAGCGGAGGAGTCGGATGTACAAGCTGACCGGGGATGTGAAGAGCGTCCGAGCTTATTATGGGCCCCTATCGGTGCCCGTTTACACCACAGCAGGACAGAAAGTACGTACCTCTTCAAGGTGGGTGGCTTGGCTTTCATTGCGAATTAGCCAGCCTGACGACCTTCCCCAGCAGAGCGACCAACCGACACCCAGCCATCCACAGTCGATCTGCCTTACTACGGAACCAGCGTCCAAACACGAGTTTCCTCCTCTACATCTCTCTCTGGGATCATAGGGCCGGGCACAGCATCTGTGCACAAAGTAAGTTATCAACTGCATCCTCTCCTCACTACTGTCCGGAGTCTGCCATCGATTCTAATCTGTTATTTCCTGGTAACAGACATACTGTCGATCACCCCCAGCCCCCGGAGGCTGTATTGAAACCGACCGACGACGACCGATCTTCTCCCCGATCACCTCAAACCCGATACTACTTCAAGCTGCGCAGCACAATCACTCCTGCTGCACGGAGCTCTGAGTCTCCAAAATGTCTGCTGAGGGCGTTGATGCGGGTGAGTTGTTATTCTTGAATGAATCCACGCTTGCGCGCGCAGGAAGTACATGAGGATGGTGTGCTGACGACAGTCGTGTCTCACAGCCGCGCCGAACCTCAACCTTACCCCTGAAGAGAAACGTCTCTATGGCCAGTTGTTCCGCCAAGCCGATACCGAGAGCGTAGGTGTTGTTACTGGCGAAACCGCTGTCAAGTTCTTTGAAAAGACTAGGTTGGATTCTAGAGTACTTGGAGAGGTAAGGACGACTACTACGAATATCCCAAGTCAGTCACAGTAGCTGATGCAAGCGACGACAGATATGGCAGATTGCAGACAAGGAGAACCGGGGCTTCCTGACCCCAGCGGGCTTCGGGCTTGTGTTAAGGCTCATCGGCCACGCGCAAGCTGGGCGCGAGCCAACAACCGAGATCGCCCTCCAACCGGGACCGCTGCCACGTTTCGATGGCATGCCTCCTCCAGCCGGCCTCACGTCTCCCACCGCCCCTCCCGCCGCTGCCCTGCAAGCCCAGGGCACTGGCGGAGGCCCTATCAGGATTCCGCCTCTGACGCCCGAGAAAGTTAACCAGTATGCTGGATTGTTTGAGCGCCAACCGCTGCAGGCGGGCAACCTCCTACCGGGCGACGCAGCCAAGTCCATCTTCGAGAAGTCAGGACTGCCGACCGAGGTGCTTGGCAGAATCTGGCAATTAGCCGACACTGAACAGCGCGGCGCTTTGGTCTTGACCGAATTTGTCATCGCCATGCACCTCCTTACATCCATGAAGACAGGCGCTCTGAGAGGCCTCCCCAATATCCTTCCAGCGGCTCTGTACGAAGCTGCAACTCGGCGTGGACCTGCCGCGCCCAGACAATCGCCTACCGGTACCGGTCCCGTCTCTGCCATTCCTAGACAACTCAGCGGCTCGGCCCAATTTCGTGCCGGTAGCCCCCTTGGACGGCCGCCCATCACCGCGCAAACAACTGGCACTCCCGCAAACGACTGGCTCATCACCCCTGATGACAAGGCACGGTTTGACATCCTTTACAATGATCTGGACAAGAATCGCAAGGGCTTCATCACTGGCGAAGAAGCCGTCCCTTTCCTGAGCCAATCGAACCTCCCAGAGGACGCCTTGGCTCAGATTTGGGATCTTGCAGATATCAACTCCGAGGGCCGCTTGAACAGAGATACTTTCGCCGTTGCCATGTACCTCATTCGGCAGCAGCGGATGAGGCGAGATGGCTCGGTCTCCCTTCCGACAACGCTGCCTGCCAACCTGATCCCACCTAGTCTGCGGACCCAAGCACGTCCCCAAACATCAGGCTCGCCCTTTGACGCGCCTCCCCAGCCTCAACCACCTGTCCCGGCGCCTCCTCCGGCTCCCAAGTCTGCTCTTGATGACTTGTTTGGTCTTGACACACCGCCTGCTCCCGCCCCTGCACAAGTTGCTCTGTCGACGGGTGGTTCTAATGCGAACGATCCGTTCGGCTCGGGCTCGGCTGTCCTGGCACCTTCTTCTCCCATTCGACCCTCGCCCACTGGAACTCAATTCAAGCCATTTGTGCCTTCATCGTCTTTCGGGCGCGGGCTTGCTGTTCATTCCACAGGAGACTCAAACTCCGGCAAGCCCCCCGCTCCCTCGGCATCCGAAGACCTCCTGGGAGATGGCGACCCTGAGGTCAGCAAGAAGCTGACCAACGAAACTGCCGAGCTTGCGAACCTATCCAATCAGATCGGTTCACTGTCTAAGCAGATGCAGGAGGTTCAGGGTCAGCGTACCACAACGCAAAACGAACTCAACCAAGCCAACTCACAGAAGAAGAACTTTGAGCAGCGCTTGGCGCAACTCCGTACCTTGTACGAGAAGGAAGCCAAAGACGTTGAGGCTTTACAGGTACAGCTGAACACCTCAAGAAACGAGACGAAGAAGCTTCAGGCCGAGTGCATGACGCTGGACGGCACCTACCGAGACTTGCAGACTCAGCACCAGCAAGTTTATGCTGGGCTGCAGGCTGATCAGCAAGAGAACGCAAGTCTTAAGGAAAAGATGCGTGCCCTCAACGCCGAGATTGCCCAGCTCAAGCCTCAGATCGAGAAGCTCAAGTCCGAGGCGCGACAACAAAAGGGACTTGTTGCCATCAACAAGAAGCAGCTGACGACTAATGAGGGCGAGCGCGATAAGCTTCAGTCTGAACTGACCGATCTCTCCAAGAGCAACGAGGAGCTCTCTCGCCAGGCGAACACTAGTTCTCCAGTCGCGTCATCGGCCCAGGTCGGAAGTCCTACACCTTCGACTGCCAGTGGAAACAACCCCTTTTTCAGGAGAACGGGCAGCACTGACATTATGGGTTCCTTCGCCTCGCCGCCGCCTGCCAAGCCCTCCAGTGTTGACAAGTCCTTTGATGATGTCTTTGGGCCAGCATTCCCTTCTGCCGGGTCTACTAGTACCCCACCACCCGCCACATCTTTCAAGCCGCAACACACAGGTGCGTCGACTGCCAGCTTGGGCTCGTTCTCGACACCCCCAGTCTCCACGCCACCCAATGTCAGCCGTCAAGCCACCCTCACAGCTGAGCCTCCTGCTCCTCCAGAGTCGAGGCAGATCAGCTCAAGTTTCCTCCCGTTCGCCGACGCAAGTGAATCTCTCAGCTCCTCTCGGGCCGTCTCACCGCCTGCCTCTCGAGCTGAAGGTGGTTTTGAGACCCCTCAGGCGAGCTCACTGCCTGGAGCTTTCCCCCTCGAGCCTACGACAACGGGCCGGAGCACTGAGTCGGCGTCGACCGCAAGCAACAAAGAGCCCACTATCCAAGGCGATGCGAAGCCTCCGAGCAACGGAGTTGCAGCTGCGCCAGACAATGCTGTGACGGACTCTGACCCGTTTGCAGCCATGGGCCCGAATGATGCCAAGGCTGATTTTGATGATGCTTTTGCTAGCTTTACTAGTGCGCACAAGAGCTCGGAAAGCTCTGGTGCTGACGCAAACAAATCTTTCTCAGCTTTCGACTCTGAGTTCCCGCCCATCTCTGAGCTTGACCGCGAAGATGATGATTCGGATACTGCAAGCGAGGGTGGCGGGTTTGGTGGTGGTTTTGAGGATGATTTCGCCCCGGCGTCCCCTCAAGCAAAGAAGACCGAGGCTCCCGAAGCTCTCAAGGAAGCCACTTCTCCCCCACCTGCCGCCGCAGCCCTTGCACCCGCCCCTGCTATTGAGGATGCGCCTGCGCCTGAGCCCTCTGCTGCCCCGGTTGCTACCCCTGAGGTCTCGGAAACTCCTGTTGCACCAGCGGCTCCAGCTACACAGCCTGCCGCACCCAAGGCAAAATCGTCCTTCGACGACCTAGACGATGAATTCGAAGGCCTTGAGGATGCCAAGGAGGGCTCAGCCGACGACGACTTCCAGACGATCTCTAGGTCCGGCCTGGACGACTTCAATCCTGTCTTCGACAGCAGCCCTCCGCCTAGCCAGGCCAAGACTGAGTCGACGGCGTTTGGACAAGAGAGCAGCTACGATTTTGGATCGGTATCGCCGAACACCGCCGTTGGTGGCAACGCCGGTGCACCGGCGAAGGGAGCAGGAGCCCCAGAGGCGCAGGACTGGGATGCCATCTTCGCCAGTCTAGATTCGCCTAGCGACGCCAACGCAAACCCTACCGCAGGTGCTCCCGCCCCTGCTCCCCAGGCTGAAGAGACTCGTCCGGCCCCCGGCCGAGCTCTCACCCAGTCGGGTGAGCACGATGACCCGATCCTGAAGAACCTTACCAGCATGGGTTACTCGAGGGAGGACTCCATTCTCGCTCTAGAGAAGTACGACTACAACTTGGAGAGGGTAAGTTGATGCGTCCAAGGCATTGTTATTCAAAGAGGTCACGGAACTGACGGTTTTCTCTCAGGCTGCCAACTATCTTGCAAGCCAGTCGTGAGGTTGGCAGTGAGACCATCGACCGAATAAGAAATAACAGACACGCAACTGGGTTTCCTTGAGGGAGGCAGAGTGGCGTAAAAAGCCCCATGATAGCAAGCGTCGTGATTTCCTCGCTTGACCTAGACGAGATACCTTGATGCTTGCAGGTTGTTGAGAAACCCTCTCCCACCTCCGTATGCCAGGCCGCCTCGGTTCTCCTTTGGACTACGGTTGGCCCGCTGGCAATTAATGTGTATGTAGGATGTACATGTTTGATTCAACACTAGCATAGCAATGTTGCCAGATTTTCTAACAGAACTTTTTAATACTCATGTTCCTCACTTTTGTTTTGTCCCCATTGAGGCTCAAGTGGTGAACTCTGTGATCCTGCTCCCTTTGTCCAGGCCACACAGCAAAAGCATTTTCACGCAATGTATTAGGGTCCATTCATGCCAGCACTCTGTGACTCTGTATCTTGTGCAGTGAATCTTCATCTTCAATTCTCATAGAGCCTAGACTCTCATATGACGAGGTCTCGTAACCACGCTAACACGCCCTATTAGGGCGTTGGTCTGTTCGGCATCATCTGTGCCGTCTGCGTGTGTGCTCACAGGTAATGAACACAAGGGTATTCGTCTTAGCCTACTGTATTTTCGTGAGTTACCCTTATTATCATCTCCACCCAACTCTCTCTCATCGCGTCTAATCGGTCGACTTGCGGAACTTGTTGACAACGCGCTCAATGCCGTCGCAACCCTTCTTCAGGGTGTCCATCTTGGGGCCGTACGAGAAACGGACAAAGTGGTGGCAGGGACTGTCGAAAAGATCACGACGTCTCGACGGGTTCAAGTCGAAGAAGATACCGGGGACGACAATAACCTTCTCCTCCAAGCAGGCCTGGAAGAAGTTGAGACCGTCGGCGATCGGGCCGGGGAGACCCTCAAGGTTCAGCCAACTAGAAACACCGTCAGTCCGGCTTGTGTAAGGCATGCTTGAGAAGGACAAACTCACAGGTAGAAAGTAGAGTCGGGGACGTATTTAATGATGAAGCCCATCTCGCGCAGTCTGCGGACAACGTAGTCACGCTTGTCCTGTGTAATTGTTAGAACATGTCAACCCCAAAGATCGAGGGTGTGACGTACGCGGAAGTGCTTCTGGAGAAAGACCATCTCCGCCTTGACCAGGGTGGGGTCGAGCATGGGAATGGCCGCCTCCTGGAAGGGGTGGTTGGCACCACCATCGAGGTAGCTGCCGCAAGAGCCGATGCTAAGATCTGTCAGTATGGATATCTTCAGTTTGGCGCTACTGCTACTCACGCCTTGATGTACTCTGCCCAATACTGTTAGCAAATGTCCAGTCAATCCAGGAACATGGTCACATACCCTTGGGGCCAAGGATCCACGCGATACGCCAGCCAGGAAGTCTGAAGCGCTTGGTCAAGCCGTCGATGATGAGAACATCGTCCTCGTCGACATCCTCGACGTTCTCGGCAGCAGAGATGGTGTTGCCGTCACAGTTGCTAGTGTAGTTGTAGCCAGAGTAGAACTCGTCGCTGATGAAGGTGGCGCGGCCACGGCAGATGTCTTGGATTTCGGCCAACTCGGGGTTGGCAACGACACGACCGGTGGGGTTACGAGGGTTCGAGGTCAGAATGACGGAGGAACCACGGGAGATTTCTTCAGCAATTCGGTCGGGGTGAATGTGGTAGCCATCCTCCTCGGCCAGAGGGACGGGAATGGCAGAGAACTGTTGATTTGGTGTCAGACGGTATCCAATGTTAGCTTTGTATAGGAGCACATACGTTCTTGAAGAGGGACAGCATCTCGTTGTAAGCAGTGTAGTCGGGCAAGAAGAAGGAGAGGTAGGAGTTTCCGAGAACGGCAGCGATACGGATCAGGCCAGCGCGACCACCGGGAACAATGGCGACGTTCTCCCAGGTGTACTTGCTTTCCTTGCCCTCACGATGCATGACATTGTAGAGGTTGGCCACGGCCTCGCGAAGCTCCTTGATACCCGCGGTAGGGCCGTATTCGCGACCGGCCATCGAGATGTCGATGGTGGTGGGGCGAGGGAAGCAACCGGCAATGTCATCTTCGACCTCGGGGCACCCTGACCCAGGTTGGCCCAAGAATCGGGGTCCTCCAGGAAGCCATACTCGGAGGCGCGCTCAGTGCACCAGACGACACCGGTGGAGGATCGGCTGGCATCGAGACCAGCATGGGCCTGGTGACCCTCGTGGGCGTTACGGAACTGTCTGTGGGTCTTGGATTGGACCTCTGGTAGCAAGAATGTCAGCGTGATTCAGGTAGCGAGACCATGGCCATCGACATTGACGCTAAAGAGCCAAGACTCGGAATGTCATCGAGCGCGAGTTGGAGCTGTGTGGGGAACGAGGGGCAACTGCTGGAGACGCAGCGTTGGAGCTGGGTTCGAGCATTTCAGCTCCTACCCCGCACCAACACCAAGCTGGAGGACAAGCTTTTCTCCTCGACTCTTCGCTGCTTGACCGCACAGCTCGGGAGCAGGTAAGAAGGAAGCAGAAAAGGATGCCATTCGCGCAGCTCAGGCTGGTTGTATAGACGAAAGGGGGGGGACTAGGCTTCCTACCGTTGCCTCCAATCTCGCCGACACTGAAGCGTCTGGGCTTGGGCACACCGGTGTGCCGATTGATCGAGAACTTGCGGTTGCTGAACATCTTGGCTGATCTGTCTTCAGCTGCGGGTGGCGCTTGATCTTTGGCAAAAATGGCGCTGGGAATCGCAGCAGCTGGGATTGGGAAGCTGCAGCTGGAAGCAAGAAAAAGAGTTTTGTAGTCGGTGGATCGGTCGCCCCGTCTGTTCACCAGGCTGGGGAATAATCTGGGGAAGGTGAGGAGGGAGAGTGTGTGAGAGACGGTGAACTGAAAACAAAGGGGGGAAATGCTCTTCACCTCTTCAAGGTGAGGCAGCGAGGGGCACGCAAAGCGTCTTATACAGGGAAACTGGGAAACTGCGAAAGGCCTCTCTTCACCGGCACTTGGGGCCCTGGCGTTGGCTTGGGAATCCCTGCAGGATAGGAATGCAGCTCTGATGCAGGCTCTTCCAATTGTGGGTTTTGTAGGGCGCGATAGAGATGCTGATAGGCTCAGAAGCTGCCTTCGTTCTCATTGAAGATGGACGTGGGACTGTCACTTGACGAATTTGGGTGGGCGGTCACCGAGTCTCAGAGGCGTGGCAGAGCGAGACGGGGGCTCGAAACAGGTCGAACAGGTCCAGAAGGAAAATGGAAGCAAACAGTGCTGTGGTCACAAATTAGCCTCGAGAGTGCCGTGCCGCCTGTGCCGTCTTTAGGACCAATGAGTCCGAATGTCGATCTCTGCTACATGTTAAAGTAGCACTCGGTGAGCGAACGCAGAGAGGCGGCGCACAGCAGCGTGGCGCTCGCTGTTTCGTGTGCGGTGTTCCATTTTAAAAGGGAACGCAACGCCAGTGCGAGTGTCTGTCTGTCTGTCTCTCTCACCCTCTGTGTACGGTTGTTTGCCCCTCATCTGCCCCTCGTTGCCCCTTGTCAACAACCCGTGTTGGTATCACCACGGTACGTAAAAAAGCGGTGTCTAGATTCAGTGTCCTACTCGAAAGCGGATCTCCGTATCTTTGTCTGGCTCGTCCCCGGCTTCGATTCGTGCCCAATCAGTGCAGGAAGGCGTCCTGTCCGGGACAGACGGCGACTTCACGGGGGAAAGATGCTTTCACCAAGCAGACTACAGCACCAGAAGCACAGCACATCCTCTTACCTTTTGCCCAGTAAGCGTCGAAGGCCCCTGGTGAATGTTGCGCAGCATATCTGGGATGTTGAATACTTGGCCCAATCACAGGAGGTCATTGGCAGGGTAGTCTGGTCGAGGCGGACCCCATACGGCATTTTACCGGGACTTTCAGGACGCTTGAGTTCTCGTCGTGGGTCGGCGCACCCGAGCAACAAAATTGACAACTTTCAGGAGATTTCCACAACGAAGTTGCTTTAGGAGATTTTTGCTTGCAAAATCGGCTGTGTGTTGCCAGTATTGTCGTCCATCGCATGCCAAACAACATGTCTCCTCGACATGGTCAGAACCAAAGGAGACCTGATGTTACGCGTTGACAATGGACTCGAACCAATGGATGCAGTGTTTCTAAATCATTGACGAACACGGCGACGGCGAAATGCAGACTTCGCTGGAACCCCGGGCGCCGAGACTCTAGCGCCAGATGTCAACCCCGTACCTTTTCGAGATTCGCAGCCCCTGGAAACGGAACACGGCCAAAGTTATAGGCCGGCCACATACGAGGCGACCGCTGACCAATCCCAGGCCACCTTACACGTGACCCGTCTCTTTCTGAACGGATACACACCTTTCTCATCTACCCCGCAACCGGGTGTAGTCACAACAAACTTGGGAAAAGGAAGTCTACAAAGACCATTATCATCATTCTGTAAGCCCAAATGCAAGGCATCCAGGGACCAGGCGGACCTGATTTTGGGACGGCGAGCCACGTGCAGCTTGCATAGCTAAGGCAGAATGAAAAGTCGGTTGCCTTGCTCAGCCTACCTAGAAATGCAGTGCCCCCTGATCCGGTGACAGGCCAGTCACATTGCCCAGCTCAGCATAGCCACACATGATGAAGGGGCCCGGGGGGGGGGGGGGGGGGGGGGGGGGGGGGTCCTCAGCCTCAACTCTTAACTCAAATGAGAGCGCCACCGAGATCCTAACATCAATGCCATACATCGACTTCACTCATCATCGCCTTAGGCTGACTGACAAGGAGGCAATATGAAACTTTCAAAGAGGTCCAAGAACTGACCCTTATAAGAATGAAGCAATCCGATGCGATAGACAAACGTGCAGGGGAGTTGGGCCAGAGCATCACACAAAGCCTAAGTTCAGTAAAGACACAATTCCCAGCCAACTCAACTTCAAGCATCTCTTTGTCAACAGCAATCTGAAGTGACTGAACAGCATCCCAAGTTTGCGTAGTACCAGGGTCATCGCAAACCTTCTTTCAAGAAGGAACAGCGCCACTATATTTCCTTCTTCGACAGACAGCCTCTGGCCCACTTTACCTATTATATCAAGTTCACTGCAACAGCAGTTTCCTTCCTTCACCATGCCTCACTTCGAAGAGCCAGCCCCTGCCTACCCCTCGTCGCCCATCGCGGACGACTACCAAAGGCCCGATATGCGCAAGTCATTCTTCGGCTCCGTCAAGGATAAGCTATCCCGCAAGTCAACTCCGTCGTCACAGAAATCCAAGCATATCGCAGAGTCCAATATGCCTTTCAGCAACAACCCCTTTGCTCACCATCCAGTCGTCAAGCAAGCCAACCGTGAGTCTTAGCCCAGCATCATAATCACTCCTCCAACTCCGACCAGTAATTCTCACTGTCGTCCAGTCCCCAATCAGCCTCCTCCCGCCTACACTGTGACAGCGCCTCCTCAGTCAGGCGCCGACTACCTGACGGCTCTGGATGGCCCTGTTAGAAGCCCGTCACCCGCCCCATCAAACGCCGACTCCATCATGTCGGCCGCCGGCATGAGGGTCTCAACGCCTGAGGACCCCTATGCCTTTCTATCCTCCTTCGATACCATTTTCATTGTCGATGATTCGGGTTCGATGGCCGGCCGCTCGTGGCCCGAGGTCCAAAACGTTCTCCGCGCCATTACACCCATCTGTACGTCTCATGACGACGACGGTGTCGACCTGTACTTTCTCAACAACAAGACGACGGACAGCGGCAATGCCAGGGCAGGCAAAGCTGCCGGCGGCTACTATGGCATCCGGCGTACTGAGACGGTCCACGAAATCTTCACCACAGTCCGTCCCCGCGGCGCCACACCCACCGGTCAGCGCCTCCATGCTATCCTCCGGTCTTACTTGCAGCTCCTCGAAAGTAAGAAGCACGATCTCGAGAGCGTCAAGCCGATCAACATTATTGTCATCACCGACGGCGCGCCCTCGGACGATGTCGAGTCTACTATCATCTCGGCGGCCAAGAAGCTCGATAAGCTCGACGCCCCCATGCACCAGGTCGGCGTGCAGTTCTTCCAAGTCGGCAACGAGCCCGGCGCCCGTGAGGCGCTCCGGGAGCTCGACGACGATCTCGTCGGTAGGATTGACGGTGATCTCCGCGACATGGTCGACACCGTCACCTGGGAGAACGGCAACCGGGGCGTGCTCACGGCGGACAGCATCCTCAAGGTCGTCCTCGGCGCAGTGGTCAGACGTCTCGACCGTCGTCGTACTAGTGGCGAGGGTCGTCGCTAAGAACAGCCAGCTGCAGCTCTTTCTCCTGTGTCCCTCTCTCTTCTCTTGTTAGTCACATTAGGCATCGATGGCGTTACTGCGGATAGAATCGGATTCTGGGCTCTTTAGCAAGATGGCGCAAGCCAATACCTGATACCCATGGGAGGATTTCTCAGTCGTCTTCAGAATAGATAGACAGGTGCATGGCTCACGCCATCGGGGGGATCTTCTCGGCCTGATGCACCTTCGCATCAGAGTATCAAAGGTGCAATAAACAAGCATTAAGCGTAGACAAATAATAGTCCTTCCAATCGAACGCGACCGTAAACTCGCAATATGAGAAGCGTGGGGGCCATGACCAAGTTGTAATCCTCGAGTCGGGGAGCCCGTTGAGTCCTTTGTGTAAAGACAAAGAGGAATGGAAGAACAGAAGGGGGGTCTGGAAATTACCAGAAGTCGCTTCACACCTTTGGCAACTCTTTGACGCCAAGGGGGACCCACTTCACTCTCATCTCTGAACATCGATAAACTCTCACAACTCACCGACGACCCCCAACTCCAGTTCGGCTTCCCAAAGCCCAAACCCTCGCTCAATTTTACCCAAGAGAAACTGGCAAATACGAGACATCATTACTCAAATGAGACTACAGGTTGGGTACATCCCACGCCTGTACGCGCCTCTCCGAACACTGACCCGCCAATCATTCGGACCGTCACCCGCCCTGACCACTGTCCGCGCCGCCACCGCGACGACAAAGTCGAACAGCAGGTCGAGCACATCATCGGGATCCCAGTCGAAGGCGATGGGGGCACCAGCGCCAGAAGCACCACCAGGAGCCGCCAATGGCTCGGCGGCGGCAGCGAGTGCTGCAGGAGGACGGCGGGAGACCCAGAACCAAAAGGTCGAGGACGGTAGCCACCGAGGGCACCACCCCACGGAAAGCACGTCACCGGCCCCTGAAAACGCGACATCCAACGCCCCCGCGGCGGACAGCAGCAACGCCGATTCTAGCCAGCGCCAGCCTGACGCGCAGGGCTCTGCCGAGTCTGCTCAGCAGAAGCAGGCCCCAGCTCTGCCGCCGCTTCCCGCGCCCTCGTCTGACGGCAACTCCGCTGGAGGCAACGGCACCATCACCCTCGACATGAGCGGCGGCGAGGGTGCCTCGACCAAGCTCGACCACCTGGGGCCCCTGGTGGTCAACCAGGACGGCACCATGTCGCGGATCGGCAACTGGGGCGAGATGACGGAGATTGAGCGTCGCAACACGCTGAGAATCCTCGGCAAGAGGAACCAGATCCGTCTCGCGGGTCTCAGGGGGAGGGCAATGGTACTGGGGACGGGGCCGACCGAGGCTGAGAGCTCGAAGAGGAAAAGCAAAGAGGAAAAAAAAAGGCGCGGATCGAGACTCAATCGGAAAGGAGGTGAAGTCAAGAAATATTTTCTCATTGATATGCGAGAAAGTGGACGCCCCCGGAGGAGTCCCAAGGCCGGGATGAGAGTGGTAGGGCCGAGTAATACTGCTGTGTATAGTAACAGATTGAACCCGAGGAAATGAAGCGTCTCCATTATCCAAGCCTTCTCCGTCTCGTCGTCCGCTCACGATCCAATCCAGCCCCCCCGTTCCGTATGGTCCTCATCCATCTTATCCCATGTTAAGCGGCTGTCTCGTCCTATCCCATGCCGTTTGTTGAGTCTTACCCAGCCCACCACTTTTGGAAGAGAACATGTCGTTCTGGATTAGCGGGCTTTGAGTTTTTTTTCTCACCCTGTCCTCCTTCCCCTTGCCCCTTCTGCTTCCAATGCCTGTCCATAGAGTCTTTCTAACAAGAAGCGGTGGGTGTCACCGAATCCAACAGGCAACGGTTCCGTAAATTTAGCCTGCCTATGGTGAATCGGACAGAACTACGTACCCGCGGGTTCTGGCCACCAGTTCTTGCCCTTTTTCAGTGAATGGGGCATGTCGGCGCGGTAAGCGGGGGTAATAGAATGGAGAGACACGGGGTGATAACCAACCTGACTGACCTAGCTTGCCCGTCAAACAAAGCAGAGTGGCCAGGGGGGTGCCTGTGCGGACTTGGGCGGTCGAACTCTACCTTGCGGGGACCGTATCACGCCTTCGACTTGCGGGATGTTGAGATCTGAGTCACTTTCAACGGCAGAGCCTCCGAGTCTTGAGTCTCTCTAGTGAAGTCTCTAGTGAGATCTTTGGAATTGGAATAATCGTTGTAGTCAATAGACGTAGGGTGAACAACCCCATCCATATAATTCATCGCTGTGATATACTCTCATCACGTTCCCTATATCATGAGTTCGTGCAGGTATATGTTTAAATCTCATCACATGTTGCCAGTCAACAAAAACAAAGACGCTCAGTAAACCCGCCCGTTCTTCACCCCTCTACATCTCGTCCACAACCCCATCCCGCAGGTAATCTCTTTGTCCCTTCACGGTGCCAAACTCCACCTGGTGCCAGAAGACACCAATGTCTTGACCTTGAAACGCATTGCATACAGTCCGCCCGAGGAAGTTGTGCCTCCCATTGGTGATCGATTTCCTCCCGTTTACTTTGCCTCCTCCGCCTTGACAGAATCCGAGGACGCCGTGGACTTGGGCTGCTTGTTCTGGAACTCTTTGAGCATGGAGGCGATGTCTTCGTTGCCCTCGTTCTTCTCCATGACGAGGTTCTTAAGCCAGCGGTTCTCGGTCTCAAGGAGATTGATGCGCTGCTCGAGAGCAGAGACCTTGTCGGACATCTCCTTGGCGCTCTTCTCGAGTGCCTGCTCGCGCTGCTTCTTCTTGATGCGGAATCTGGCGGAGGCGGCGGTGTTTCTCCTGCGCTTGTCTTCCTCAGCGGCGACGCGGGACTGCTCTTCGAAGCTCTGGCCGGGTCTGCTGACGCCGTTCATGGACTCGGGGGTTCTAGTCTCGGCGGCCCTCGGTGTAGGAGCGCCATAGTGGTGGTTCTGCTGCTGGGAGACAGGAGGCGGCGCGTAGGTAGGTTGGGGGTTGGGCTGGAGAGGTTGGAGGTTACCCAGGCCTTCGGCGAAGGGCGGGACGCCCGAGGCAGGGTAGGGGTTGGTAAAATCGTGGAAGTTGAATTCGCCTGTCATTGTTCATGGTCAGATGGATGGTTCAAGGCAGGAGTTATCAGTTCCTGGCATCGTGGCGCCGGCGAGACGGCGGGATGAGGGGGAAGACGGGCGGATAGCGCTTGTTCAAAGAAACAACCGCATCGACGAGCCTAAATGCTAGAATAGCAACGCCGTCGACCATAGCACTTGCTTAATCGGTATCGGATAGCGGCTGCCCAGATGGTCGTTACCCCCCTGCTAGGGTCGATGACGATAAGTCACGGGGTATTGCACCATCCCCCGGCAATTTGTAAGCTCCAATCCTGGAGTCGCGCCTCTCCCTCAACAGCGCAGGCCGGCCAACCTGCATAAAACGCAGCAACGGAGCCTCCCAATCAAGGCCACTGAATGAAACATGGACCGCGCATGAACAGGGTGGGGTAGGAAACGACTGATTTGGAGGCTGGCGATAAGTCGGTCGCATGTGCTTGGCTGCGGCCCTGAAGGAAAGTTGAGCTGATCGCTGGGGATTGGAGGTTAAAGTTCAGAGAAGCCACTTGACTCGGGTGTTTGAATCGTGAATCACCACCAGTTTCCCAATAGCCCGATGACACACGCGGAACCACGGCTGATTGGAATACTCCTGTAAAATCCGACCTCTTCGAGGTAGCCAACGCGTGGTGTTGTAGGGGGGTTGAGATGGTGAAGCAGGTGATGAACGCATGGCGTATTCGGTAAACTCAAAACTCGCAATAACAAGAAGAGGGTTCCAAAACCGATTGGTCAGGTGAAATATGACAACATAACCGAAATCCTCGTCTCACCTGGCATGGAAAAGTCGACGTTGAAGTCGCCAATAGGGGAGGTCAATTCTTCGGTAACGGCGCTCGAGGGAGCCTGGGGCTCAACGGTCTCGGGCTTCTTGGCCGGTGCCTGGTAATCGGTGTGCTGGCCGGTCTCGAAGTCGAAAAACTGAGTGTTGGTGAAGATTGCGAGGTCCTCTTCAAATGTGAAGTTCTCTTCGGCAGAGGCGGGCTCCTTGACGGTGTTGAGGTCGCGCAGGTAGCGAGAAACGTTGGGCGCACGCCCACCGCCAGTGCTGGTGTAAGGCGACATTATCGCGAGGCCGGTGAAGGCTCTGTGTTGCGAGATCGGGTTCTTCTGGTCAAGGCGACAAAAAGGCAGAGGAGCGAAGGGGCTCCGTCAAAGTCGACTCCAGAGCGAGGACGTCGAGTTGTTTTGTGGTTGTAAAAAGCTGGGTCCCTGAGGTCAAGGACGGCGGCGATGGCGTTTGGAGGGGGAGAGTGGGCTCGTTGTGGCCGTACTGGAACCCCCAAGCAATTCAGTAAAGTGCGCGCGGTTCAACGACCGGGATCGATTCCAACTTTTCGGCACTGAGGTCAGCGAGGATGGAGGGGCAAATCTGGCGCCGGTTCGGGTAGATGTAAGACGACAGCTGGACGAGGGCGCAAGATGTTGAAAGTGTCGATCAAATGTTCTCGTGGGCGACTGGCTGGTTCGTGAGAGCGAGGTTCGTCTCAGTCGCGGGCTGGATTGCTGCGTAGTTCAGGGTGAAGTGGATGAGATGGGGGAAGAGGAGTCAAATTGGGCGAGAATGAAGCCTTTGTTCGGAGGCCCATGTTGCGGACCCAGGCCGAGTGGATAGTATTAGTCAACTTCTTTACCCGACAGCGCGACTTTCTGTGCCCCCCAGGAGGGGCCCCGAACGTGCTCCGCGGTGTTGGCTCGCAGCAGCCATTGGCCGATAGTCTGTTCATTTCCCTGTAGACCACCCCACGCATCTGCGTGCCGCCGCTGCAGGCAGGGCAGCCCAGCAATGGAGCAACTGGAAGGGTTGGCAGCAGAAGGGTGACCAGGTGTGGCCAGGCATGCTAGCCTTCCAGGTCTGGAACCTCCACCCACACACGACGCCCACGCCCACTCCCACCACTTCGAATCGAGGTGTTTACCCTGCGGCATTCAAGCCAGATGAGTGCAGAGTACCGCTGGCATGGCGTACACATGGCCTGGGCTGGGAGTACTCGGTACCGCGACAGCCAGATGAGCCCCCACCAGCCGATGAATGGGGTCGTGCTCCATCAGACTTTGTGGCCAATCACATGCGGAGACCTCGCCGTCGACGTGTGCTAAGCTTCTACATGTTCCGGCAATGACGATACGGCCAAGCATGGGCGACAGGGCGGTTCGGATCACTGTACCCTCGTAACCTGCCTTCTTGCCGAACACTCTTTCCTGTCTCCCACTCCTTTCCGTCTGCCCTTGCCGGCTCCCAGGGACCGCGAATTATGAAGCATGAGCCCTCGACTTCGAGCCCCTCTCTTCACCCATCCGTCATCATTCATCCACGTCGCACCACCGAATCAATGCCTCGCTAATGCGTTGGTGCCCCGCGGTAACTGCGCATCTCTGGACTGATATGCTCGTTTTCGGAGCTGCGTACGATTGACGTCTTTTGTTCGCATCTCTGGGCTGATCGACATGTCCCTGGGCGTCATCCTTTGTTGTTGGCATAAGAAAAGTCTGATCTTTGGAGACAAGAAATCAACGGATTTCCCCTTCTTTCCGTCCTCCACTCTCAAATTTCATTTTCCGAGGGTCGAAGCGCACAGTTCGACAGAACCCGATGCGTGATAGAGTTTTGTGCGTAGCCTGTGTAGATTACGTCGTGGCTTCACCTAATGGACCACAGTACATCTCGATCAAGGTGGCACCCAATACCGACGGTAAATTTAATACCCGCGCTACGACCAAATAATGGCTTGACTAGTTGTCGCAACCAACCACGTTGTCGTCGTCAACGATGAAATCCCGGGACCACCATGACTCGATGGGGTCTCGTTTGGGCTTGGTCGCGGGTTTCTGGCGCCAACCTTGCCGTGTTTCTTCCTGGCGTGAGTCTGGGCATCGATGGTCTTGTGGAAGGACCCTTAAATCTGAATTTCTAAGCAACGCTGCAGCCCCTCCGACCCTCGGAAGCACCACCGACCTTGTTCGGCAAGTAGGCCCGACTGTGCTTGTAGCCGCTGCAATCTGTCACTGAGGGCCATGCCTCTTCGAGGAGTTTACCGCGCAGCCAGGCCTCAGCACCTGAGGACAGGGAGTCGTGTTCAGGTCCCCGCCGGCTGTCATCGCCGGCCTGTCATTGCCATGCCATGACCTTGCAAGCTCCGGACTCCAAACTCCGTCCCTCTCGTACCTTTAAGCACTCCACTGTCAGCATTTGGCTTGTTGTTGGGCGGGCTGTTGCTGCTGCCTTCGCCGCCGGCCTCACCTGGTCAGTGCGCAACTTCGGATCGGGCGCGCATGTCCACATGACCCCGGCTGGGAGACCAGAACTTACCTAAGCCTCGGATTCTGGCAGCTTCCTGCCTCCCCTGCTCAACTTTAACGTAGGTGTCACCCACATCGAGGAGCCACTGCTCCGTGCCCCTCCTGTTAGCGCGCCCGACCCCATGAGAGAGCCTGTGCACCACTGCCGCATTTGCGACGCGTGCTTCGTTCTGCAACAACGATGGTAAAGCGCGTCTCCGCTTAAGATATTTCAGCCTCAATGATTGGGAGACCGGGATAGCTAACGACAGCCTCACTCCCACATTAGTATTCCCATTGCCATCCGAGATTTCGCACGCAAGAGAAGATCTTGATTGATCCAGGGCATCTCTTACCACTGCGCATCCGACGTCTCTCAACCTGCCACGATGTTTTGATGGCCATGGCACGTTTCTCCATCCCGACCAAAGGACGCTTGTCGTCAGATGTGCGACTTCCGCCGTCCAACCCTGCGGTTCAGAAAGCCTTGAGTCGCCTCTCACGCTCCTCCCTGCTGTCGTTGGTTCTCGAGTGGCTGAATGACGACAATGCTCAGCTGTGCGCACCGCTTTTGGGTGAGGAGGACGATGACGATGGGCTTTACCCCCCCGCGTCGTCGATAGAGGGACTGCGAGCCATTTACACGGACCTGCAGTACAGAAAGGGGTCCAAGAGAGAGGTTGTGGATCGCATCACAGAAGGCGACTGGAAACATGGCCTGACTCTGTACCAAATGGCCTTGACGGACGCTCAATATCTCCAAGACCATCCCACATCACAGAAATGGACCGCCTATCGAATCATGCCGCTCAAGGAGGCTTCGTACGTGGACGATGAAGAACAACCTCCGGAAGTCGACAGGGAGTCCCTTACCCTCCCCCGTTTTCACCCGTCGTCCTTCATCCAAAACCTTCAGGCTCACGTCCTACCCGACGTTAAGGCCCATTACCACTTTCACCGGCCTCAGGGGCTCACTCTTTCAATACTGCGCATCTTCATCATCGAGTCCCCTTACAGCATGAGCATGATACATTTAGGCAACGGTCTCCCGCCAACGGACTCCGATTTTGACAGCTCACGGACGCTTTATATTGCCTTCCCCGATGCATCACCCTTCGTCTATCTATCCAAATCCCAAACTGTGGGCTCATTAGGAGCGAGTGAGTCCAAGAGCTTCCGCAACTTGGTTGTGGAGGGAATACCAAAAGCCCTTTCGAGGCCCCGGGAAAGGTACACTCTCAAACCCACCAATATTTCGACCAAAAATCTAGATGCACTGCTGCATGTTAGAGGTGTTGGACGAACAAACGCGGCCGGTGGGGGGTGGGACATTTATGCCGATAAGAAGAAGAATGAGTCGCCGCTTGATACCATTTTACCAACTCCACCACTATCGGAAGAATCATCAGACGACACCTGGGAGCTGGCTACAAACGCAGGTTCGAAACGGAAAGCCGAGGGCCTTGATGGCACCGAGAAGTTTACCAAAAGAGCTCGGCTGTGTGCCCAGGCGAGGTTCGGAGATACCGCCAAGATGGACGACGGCTTGGGTATCGAGCGTGTTGATATCGTCATTGAAGACCCGTTTCCTAGCATCTCCCAGAGTGGATCAATGGGCGATGAGGGAGACCCTGAAGGCGAGACAGACGGTGACACGAGGAAGCCGAAGGCTGGTCGAAGAAGCAGCATTGAGATGTCTTTCGGAAACGATTCGGATGTTGAGGAGATTCAGCCCAGGCAAGACGCCGCGACCTGGGTTCCGAACGTAAAACTAACGTTCCACGGACCCCACGTGTTTGCTGGCATGCGGCAGCTCGTGGAGAACGGCATCATTGACGGAGAGCGGATGCCGGGATGGCTGACGGGCGAAGAGGGTGTGACAGTGGGCGCTGTCAGGCATGGCAGAATCCGGGGGCACAAGGGTTCTGGTATATAAGAGCAATGTCTGGGAGTCATAGAGGGAAATACCCCTGGGCCGTGTCCTAAGCGCTTGTGTCTTCCAAATGAGCCTGATACCCCCAATGAATTTGTTTAGCCATCTATGCGTCTATTGGTCTACATCGAATACCTTGACAGTGTTCTTCCAAGCTGCCTCGCATATGTCCTCCACTTCTACTCCCTTAATGCCCGCTACAGCCTTGGCGACACGCTCAATCATGCAAGGCTCGTTCCGGCCCTTGATCATGGCGCCCTCCTCCCACTTCTCCTTCTTGACGACCTTGAAACGTTCGGGAACTTCGGGCTCCTTCTTTTGGTTCTTCCTCTTGCCCTGAGGCCCCTGAGCGAGTCCCGGCGTTGCAGCCCCGTCCGCGGTACCGTTGGTCTCGGGCTTCTTTTCAATCAGGTATTTGTAACCAAAATGGCTCGGCCGAATTTCGCACCACGGGCCGTCGGTCTCGATCATCATCCTGTCGAGCCCGATCTGCTTGACGACCTCGCAGTTCTCTTCGGTCTTGAAGCTACAGCCGTTGATGCCAATGTACAGGCCGAGGTCCATCAGCTCCCTAGCCTCCTCGAGGGTGCCAGTGAAGCTGTGGACGACGCCGCCCTTCTCGAGCTTCTCTAGCTTTTCGCCGAACTTCTCTTTGAGCAGACGGACGAAGTCCTCATGGGCAGCTCTCGAGTGCAGGAATAGAGGCAGTTGCGGCTTCGTCTCAAGAACGAGATCAAGCTGTACAGCAAAAGAGTGGAGCTGGATGCTCTTAGAGCAGTAGTGCAGACGGTCATAGTCGAGGCCGAACTCGCCAAAGGCGACGAGGCCGGACTTGGAGGCGATAGAGTCTTTGATGAGGTCACGGAGCTCGGCGATGATGGCCTCCGTCTTGGTGGGATCCGGCTCATGGTGGTCCGGGATGGGTTTGGATGGGTCCGGGTCAGTGTGCACGCCCTCGGCGGCTTCGTCAGAACTGCTGAATATGGCACTGCTACATGGGTGGATTCCAATCGTTGTGTAAACGACGCCGGCTACGGAAGGAGATTAGAAGTGTCCGGGCAGCCTATTGTCATGAGTGTGACTCACGATACTGCTTCGCAATGTCCAAGGCGTCTCTAGAGCTAGTGAAGTCGGAGCCAGTGACGATCAGCTTGGAGCACCCAACCTCCTTTGCTCTTGAGATGACACCGTCTAGGTCATCGGGATGACGCTGCTTGCCGTGATGCAGACCTCGAAAAATGGGATCGGCTAAATTGATGCCAATCTATTGGGTGATGGAGGTTATTACGCTGGAGTACAAGAATTCAAGTTGGTGGTGGCTACACACATCAATGTACCTAGGCTGGTACGCCGGCGTGGGTGACTCTGTGGAAGTTGCCATTGTGACTATGGAGGTTGATTGGAGAAAGGCCCTTCTGGGCAGGGACTGGATGAAAGTATGCGGCCGTGCTCTGATGAGACTAAGAGCTGGGACTCTCATGAGTTTCCTATGATAGTGATTCTGTCTTTGTAGTATGATCCATGGGAAGACGGGAAGAGGCTGGTTAATATAGCCGTGACGTCGTTTGGCCTCATCGTCAAACAGAGGCCATTTAATTGAATTTGGCCTCCCTCACGTGACACCGTGATGCAGCGACCGCTTCGCGAGGCCGGCGGGGGGGCAGCAAACAGTGGACGCGTAAAGTGCCTTCAGAAAAACCCATTTAAGTGCATCGCGTCACCTGAGGTGGGGGTAGGCTTTCAACGCGCGCACTCTCAGACATCAAATTTTCAATTAAAGATTCTGGATGCATTTCAAGCAAGACAATTACCTCGAGATGGAGTGATCTCATTTCTCGTTGCGACCGGCAACCCGCATCTGAGAAGGAGAATGGACAGACATAACATCCAAAGTGGAGTTTAGGCACTGGACTTTGTCAGAGTTGATTTCCAAGCCTGTCGCGAGATTAGTCAAGTGGTCGCAGCTGCAAGAGCCTGCCTGCCACCGTGAAGAGATGAGGTACCTTGCGTTGCAAAGAGCGTCAAGCGTGTTCCATTCATTGTTGGCTCGGGGATGCGAACGTGAACCGAGGGGCACGGGCGGAGATGCCTGGCATTCGAGGCCTCAAGTCCCTTTTTCCCAGCCAATCCGTTATTGATGCCTTGAACCTGCCCCCCGGGGCCCCTGTCCAGTCGCGCTAAAATCCATTTGGCGTCGGACGCGTTTCTACGCGAACCCAGCCTGCCATAAGTATCTGCAGCACCTCCTGGCAACTTTCTGCTCCTCTCTCTCCCCTCCTACACAACCCAAACACCAACAGCCACTCTTGACGCCTACTTCTTCTTGCACCAGATAACATTGTAATCTTTGGTGCTTCTAATACCCTCTTCTACAGATATCCTTTCGTATTCGTGCTCTAGAGTGGTCTACGTCTCACGCAAGACAATCCAACAAACCCCCTTTCCCACATTCTCACAGCCGTACTCAGGCACCATGTTTGTGAGAAAGCGCGGTATGATCAGCCCAGACGCGTAACGCGAAGATTCCAGAGGCTAATTGAACGTAGACGGGCGCCAGGAGCGCGTTCAGTTCGACAAGATCACTGCCAGAGTGTCGAGGCTATGTTATGGCCTGGACATGGACCATGTCGACCCGGTTGCCATCACCCAGAAGGTCATCTCCGGTGTCTATGGCGGTGTCACCACTGTGCAGCTTGATGACTTGGTAAGGATGGCTCCCTCTCATCTCACAGATCGATTGTTAACAGAGTCGCGAACAGGCCGCCGAGACTGCCGCCTACATGACCGTCACCCACCCCGACTACGCCATCCTCGCTGCTCGTATTGCAGTCTCCAACCTACACAAGCAGACCAAGAAGCAATGGTCTTCGGTTGTCAGCGACCTCTACTACTACGTCAACCCCAAGAACGGCAAGGCGTCGCCCATGATTGCCAAGGACACATACGACGCCGTCATGAGACACAAGGAGGAGCTTGACTCCGCCATCGTCTACGACCGCGACTTCAACTACCAATACTTCGGCTTCAAGACCTTGGAGAGATCATACCTCCTCAAGCTTGACGGCAAGATTGCCGAGAGACCCCAGCACATGATCATGCGTGTCGCTGTTGGCATCTGGGGTGACGACGTTGAGCGCGTCATCGAGACCTACAACCTGATGTCGAGCAAGTTCTTCACCCACGCCTCCCCCACACTCTTCAACGCTGGTACCCCTCAGGCCCAGCTGTCGTCTTGTTTCCTCGTCGACATGAAGGAGGACTCTATTGAGGGTATCTACGACACCCTCAAGACTTGCGCCATGATCTCCAAGATGGCCGGTGGCATTGGTCTCAACGTCCACCGCATCCGCGCCACTGGCTCTTACATTGCTGGCACCAACGGTACCTCCAACGGTGTCGTCCCCATGCTTCGTGTCTTCAACAACACTGCTCGCTACGTTGACCAGGGCGGCAACAAGCGCCCCGGTGCGTTCGCTATCTACCTTGAGCCTTGGCACGCCGACGTCTTTGACTTCTTGGACCTGCGCAAGAACCACGGCAAGGAGGAGGTTCGCGCCCGTGACCTTTTCCTCGCTCTCTGGATTCCTGATCTCTTCATGAAGAGAGTGGAGAAGAACGGAGACTGGACCCTCATGTGCCCGAACGAATGCCCCGGCCTGGCTGACTGCTACGGCGAGGAGTTCGAGGCCTTGTACGAGAAGTACGAGCAGATGGGCAAGGGTCGCAAGACCATGAAGGCCCAGAAGCTCTGGTATGCCATCCTCGAGGCTCAGACCGAGACCGGTAACCCCTTCATGCTTTACAAGGATGCTGCCAACCGCAAGAGCAACCAGAAGAACCTTGGTACCATTCGCAGCTCCAATCTCTGCACCGAGATCATCGAGTACTGCGCGCCCGATGAGGTCGCTGTCTGCAACTTGGCTTCGCTCGCCCTGCCCACCTTTGTTGACTACAACGAGGGTGTTTACGACTTCCAGAAGCTCCACGAGGTCACCCAGGTCGTTGTCCGCAACCTTAACAGAATCATCGACGTCAACCACTACCCTGTCCAGGAGGCCCGCAACAGCAACATGCGCCACCGCCCCATCGGTCTCGGCGTCCAAGGTCTTGCTGATGCCTTCCTGGCTCTCCGCATGCCCTTTGAGTCTCCTGAGGCTCGCGATCTCAACAAGAAGATCTTTGAGACTATCTACCACGCTGCCCTCACCATGTCGGTGCAGCTGGCCAAGGAGGAGGGCCCCTACCAGACGTACGAGGGCTCCCCTGTTTCTCAGGGCATCCTCCAGTATGACATGTGGAATGTCAAGCCCTCGGATCTTTGGGACTGGGACAGCCTGAAGGAGCAGATCAAGCAGCACGGTGTCCGCAACTCTCTGCTCGTTGCGCCCATGCCGACTGCCAGTACCTCGCAGATCTTGGGCAACAACGAGTGCTTTGAGCCCTACACCTCCAACATCTACCAGCGCCGTGTCTTGGCTGGCGAGTTCCAGGTCGTCAACCCTTGGCTCCTGAAGGACCTCGTCGACATGGGTCTGTGGTCCGATGCCATGAAGAACCGCATCATTGCCGAGAACGGTTCCATTCAGAACATCCCCAACATCCCTACCGAGGTCAAGGCCCTGTACAAGACTGTTTGGGAAATCTCTCAGCGTACTGTTGTGCAGATGGCTGCCGACCGTGGCGCCTTCATTGACCAGTCGCAGTCGCTCAACATTCACATGAAGGACCCGACCATGGGCAAGATCACCAGCATGCACTTCGCCGGCTGGAAGCTCGGTCTCAAGACGGGCATGTACTACCTGCGCACACAGGCTGCTGCTGCGCCCATTCAGTTCACCGTCGACCAGGAGGCGCTCAAGGTTACCGACGCCGCCGTTGGCAAGGTTCTCAAGAAGCGCGCGCCGCCCCCTGGTCACGTCGCTGCTCCAGTCGTGAACGTCCCCAGGCCCATGTACGCGAAGAAGGACTCTTCTGCGCAAGACAATGGCATTCCCACACCCAGCGTCACCCCCCCTCCCCCGCGAACTGCCCCTGCCCAGAAGCCTGACACCATGAAGGCCGATGTGGCTGAGGGTGACAGCCCGCGTGCTCTACCCACTGAGCCTGCGGAGAAGCTCAAGATCGAGGAGCTTCCTGTTGCCGGAAGCAAGACCCCTGATGCTGAGGACAAGACTGAAGACAGCAAGGAGCGTGAGATGGACATCTACTCTGAGGCTGTTCTTGCCTGTAAGTCATTATCAAAGCTACACATGGATCGAAACACTTGCTAACATCCCCAAAGGCAGCATTGAGAACCCCGAGTCCTGCGTCATGTGCAGTGGTTGAAGAGCATGAGCAATAGACATGATGGATTTGACGGCTGATGACACGCGTTGATGGCATATAAAGGGGTTTGGGGCATTTCACTACGGGATCACGTTGGTAATTTGTTGGGTTTGGGCTCACGGGTGGCATTGGTCATGGACACTATATCTGTATTTGTTTTGACGCACAGCGGTCTGTAGGGGCATACTGGCCCGCGGACTGGATTCTCGTGCTGTACATCTTGTATTGTCTGTGTGGGATATCCCGGCAACACACAGTCTGGCGTTGGGACGAAATCCTGGTCGGTCACCCGTCTTTAGCAGTAGTATAATCGGTTTGTTTTGATCAAACGGCTTCTCGTGGTGACTCGCCTGCTGAACTGGGGTGAGTGGCGACACTGCTTTGACGATTCGGAAGGCGTCCTGTTGCGAGGCCTCCTCGCCCTGTCATACCGGCGAAAGCAGCAACCAAGGCGAGACGGGTCGACGTTGGGCCTGGCCAAGCTTGTTGCGCGGAGACGACATCCTTCTTTCGCCCCCGCTTTTTCTTCAGTCTGGCTCTCTGCACGTTGCGCTACCTGCGCTAGCCTAGACACCGCATGCTGCGCGGGGCATGCCGGGTTGTGCCGATCGTGACAACATTAGGCTGGATACTCAGCTGGGCTAGGGCCCGACACAGTCGTCGGCCCAGCGATTGGAGGCCGCGCTTGAACAGGCTTCGCGGCCTGGAACCTTTGCCCAAACGATGTAGACCGCGCAAATTCATGCCTTGGCCGGTAGCAACAGGGCACCGTGGCCGGCCGGCCGACACAACACATCACTAACTACAGGTGTCACTCGCATCAAACCACATTTCTAGTTTACGTCAGTCGCGTCTACGGGTTCTCCTGCGTCGTAGTGTGCAGGAGATGATGATGGATTCAAGGTTGTTCAGCCAGATGGGTCAGTCAGTCTCTCGCCTCCGCACGGCCGGTGGAATGGGGCCGAAGACAAGACCCGTCACCGGCTGGTTTATTGGCTTTGAGATTGGAGACTGTTGCGTTCCCGCTTTCGGTGTCGCTGACCTGGCAGAGTGTGGGCGAGGCGCGACAGATCTGCGCAGAGTCTTTCCCGTGTTGCTTCGATTCACCGACAACCGAAAGTTCATCGTCGTCAATAGCGTCACCCGCCGACCTGTATTAGCCAAGCGGCAGGCCCCGTCCGTCCTCGCTCGCAGTGCAGATACAGAGTAGACCCGCCCGTCCCCTCGGCCCTTTCCTCTCGCCAATCCTTCTCCAGGTACAGGACCCCAGGGGTCCTCGAGCTGCCATGTCAACAACGCAATTTGCCAGTAATTACCCGGCCCCTCGTCTGGCTGCAACTCTGCAACTCTCGCAGTATCTCGTTCCCTTGGCATGTCGCAGTCGGGACATTGCTTGTTTGTTTCACACTCTCGTCGGTTGCTTTCGTTGTATCGCTTGGAGAGACAACACAGCTGTCGCACCTTCTCGGATGACACGAAAGGGGGCGGGGGGACGGGCGGCTATCTGCCTCCTATGTGACTCCAAGGGGAGAACACATTTGATGAGGTATGCGGATGGAAGCGCACGAAGGGACGGTCATTTGAAGGAGGAACGCGTCGATCGGCACATGGATTGTAAGTGGTTCACGCGTCGGCAGGGATGACACGTTCTACTCGATCTGTGTCGCACGCTCGCTTCCAGCATAGCAACAGTCCCGGTGGCAACAAGGGCTTAGGTGCGGTCGGTTAGTGATGCTTTGGTAAGAGCCAGAGGAGGAGGAGCAGAGTAAGAAGGGATGGGGTTCTAACGCTCTCCATCTTCTGGAGAAGCCGCGTTGCGTCGTTAGCATTTTTCCTTGATTTCTTTTTAGTTTTTTCTAGGAGGGGCAGTGGAGCGAGTGGCTGGTGTCGTGAATATCGTTAGTAAGGCAGGGCGCGATGTGGATGAGTTATGGTACTGGAGAGTCTACTACGTCAGAGTCTCCTCACATCGTGGCTCGTACAAGGGGCTGGATGAGCAATAGCGCGATGGAGACGTGTCCAGGACGGGTGTGACAGTCACCTTGTTGACAGACTATGATCCAACGATGGCCAACTTGGTCTGAATGCGATGTGCCTGAGCAAAAACATGTTGGCAGACTCATTCTGTTGTCTCAGAGCGCATGTCGCGAAATTGCTTCCCTTCCCCTGACTCTCAATATCACCTCCATTCAACGGTGGTTGGGTAAAGCAGAAATTTGCTTTTTTCTCCATGTGAGAGGCTAAATGCGCCGGCCTAGCGTTGGGGGTGGAAAAGGCTCAACTGGCTAGGGGCTGCCTTTAATTGCGGGACAGACCCTTGGCAAGCTGAGGACGGACCTTAGACCGACAAGATTCGACCTCTTGGAGGCCTTGGCGATAACCCGCCCCTGGCGTGGCCAAGGGAACAGCACAACGTTGGGCACACGAATGGCGGTGTTGCTGGGACGGGACCTGACGGATGTGCCGACACAGAACGAACGATGCAGAGCCTGGTGCCGGGGCTACTGCATAGGATGGCATAGATCTCCAGGTTCCATGCGCCGTCAATGTTCTAGAGGCAAATAGTATGTAATGCAATAAAGGGCATGTATTCCTCTAGTGTCCTCGTCCACACCTCGGGGCTTGGAATGATGTGTTCGTATGTCAGACCACGAGAGTCGATCCTCTCGATTCGAAGCAGGAACTTTGGACGCGCCAGCAGTCCCGGCTCACGGGAAGCGAGTGTGCTGTGGGAGAGGACGGACGGGGTTGGAATGTGGGAATTGACTTTTCGATTCCCAAGTAGCCCCCTTGTTGTCACCTTCCCGTCGTTTCCTTTTTGGCCAAGCCCGCCCAATCAAAAGTTATGGTCCAGGTATGGCGCGCCATGATGCCACAACAGACGGCTCCGGGGGGTCATTGACGAATCAGAGGCGGTCTCTTGCGTTGGATTGACCTCATCCCCCTTTGGTGCTGGGATAGCCACGCAGTTACGCTCCCCGCCCCCAACCTTGCCAGCTAGCACCTCGTTCCTTGATTCCAACCGCTTCTTCCCCTCCGCGGCCAAGCGGCACCTGCCTGCGATGATGGTCTTCTCTTACTTGCCATAACCTGTTGTGCATCTTGTAGTCGTCACTCTCTGGGCCAACTGCCGATTTCCGGCTTCCTGTTCCTAGGCCATAAGTTGCCATACGTGTTGAGGTTACACTAGCCATCACCACAATGCACTCAAATCAAGGCGGTCGCGATGGGAAAGCTACTACGGCTGCGTCCTCAAACTAAATGAACACCCAACGCAAACCTGAAGTTTTGGTGCCTCCTGGTGTGCCTCATGCTATCTCTGCATGCTGAAGCCCCGAAATTTGTTTCGATGATGTTCGTCACTTTGTCCCTGGTGCTTCTGGCTCCTAAAGCCTGATTGAGCGTTGCAATTACAATCGGACCTACAGTACCTGCTTCCCAGGGGTGCCAGAGGTGGGAGGTACGTAGGTTGGTTGACATGAATGGATTGGCAGCTGAGCATGGACGCGACATCTGCCCCAGTAGTGCGGTACCGTTATTCACTTGGTTTGCGATAAGGACGTGCAGCCTTCTGGTTGCCGGGGAGCACGGAGCTGTACATAGACAGTAGACGACTTCACTTCGCGTCTTCCCTCGACATAGCCCGCGCAGTCGCACATCCCCCAGCCTTCCCAAAAAGAAAATGTCCAGTAGCGTTGCAGTGGGGGAAAAGTTAAAGTGCGCCAGAGCCCAAGCCGGACGATACCACATGGCATCGCGTATGGTTGAGACTTTTTTGGAAGCTCGGATCAGAATTTTTGAAGCTGCATCTGGGAGCGGCATCTACGTAAGGTAGGAGCTGGCTGGGGTTGCATCAGACGACCACATCCTTGCCAGGATCGCATTGGATCCCGAAATTACCTAGGTCACACCTCTCATCTTACTCTGCGATCCAGCTCATGTTGAGCCGCGAGAGCAGGGCTTCGAGGCATTGCCCTGCGACGCCTTGACAAGAGCTAGTCGCTCCGTTGAGATAGATCGCGCAACTCTGGTCGCTTACGGTGAGGTATCAGCTGCCTATCGAGGGAAAGTGTAGTCGGTTGCTAGCTGAGCTGGCAGCCACCGGGCCGATGGCTCTCAGATCTCGGTGGCGGCTCTGAATCAAGATACAGCTTGGTGTTTGTGGCTGATGTCTAAAGTCCAATGTCTTGAGCAGGGTTTTCTGCTGGAGCCGTCGACGTGGAGCAACAAGCTTTGCATGGGGCCGAGAGCTGCGAACGTCAATCCGGCGCCATTTTGCTGCAGCACTAGACGAATCCCATGTCAAATACCCACACACTGGTAGACTGCCTTGGCTTCGGGTGGCTTGTCATTTGCTGGCTAGCGCCATGTCAACGTCAGGACAAGCGTGAGAGTCAATACCAGCTACGATTGGGGTCAAGCGAAAGAGGGCCACGACGGCGGCTTCTCCAGACTCCAGGTGGCTAGGCAAGGCAGTGAGTGCAAGGGTATCCAGCAACGCTCATCAATGGCAGATGTCAAGGTACTGACTGTAAGTGCTCCGCCCAGGATGCGCCAGCTGGCCAACCAGGCCGGACGGGCTCAGATCAACAGGGTAGCAAAAGTCGGTCGCAAAGTGGGAAGGAACGACACCGGGTTCGTACGCCGTGCTGCTTCCAGTCTGCAGTCGGACTGCCTGCTTTCCCATGTCTTCCACCCCAATTGACTTTAAAAACTGGAAGGCACCTCCGTCTTGTTAACCTGCTCCTTCCTTTCTTCCGCACTTAAATCAAGGTACTCTGCTCCACGTGACCATTTGTTTGGCGTGTTAGAATAAGAACTGTTTATATCAACCAGAGACACCCCGACTACCACCTCCTTCACATAACCCACACTTCTCCCATCGTCAACACCCTTTCGTCGCCGAGAATCACTTCAGAATACGCTTCCCGAAAATCTCCAGACGCAACCAAACACCCAATACATCAATACCAATCGTAGGTAAGTCGACATGTCATGGATGTCTCTATCACGAACTCCTTGGAATCAGTCTCGGCACTTGCACACTCCCTTTGCATTCTCACTCCCCTTTTCATAGCGTACCCGCTGGCTTGGCCTGGTTCTATTTCCGCAGTCGGATCTCCAGGCCAATGAAAACCAAGCCAGAAGGAGTACAGGAAAGTGCGCGTTCTTGTGCAATTTTGGGCTCGTCTCGTTCTTTCTCCGGTCACACTGCGCCTCCGCTCATTCGCGGCTTCCCAAATTGGTGTAACACCTACTTGCCTTCACAACCACCTATCCTCCACCACCTTTTTTCCTTTTCCCTTTTCCACCACCCGCAACAGTTCTTCTTTTCCCATTTCCACCTCACCACTCTCGTTCTTCAACATCTCCAACCTTTGCGCTTTCTCTTTCTCAAGCACAAACGCTCTTTGACGTCAGGTATTCCTACATCCTTGTCATCATCGCCTTTATGATCGCACTTATTCTACTTCTTGGTCGCGATATTCGGAATTTCTCTGACCGTTTCTTCTCACAGGTTCATATCGTCGACATCAGTTGTCACACTTCACTCACTCCAATCAGATTTACGGATTCACCCACCGACAATCATACACAATGAAGTCCGTCATCTACCTCAGTGTTGGCCTTTTGGCTGGTGTCATGGCCCAGGACAGCCTTGCTGGCTGTGGTGTAAGTACTATTTGCTTCCTTCATTTGGCCCCCAACTTGGGCGTTTCTGTTCCCCAGAAACGCCCATGATTAAACATCCGAGATCCTAACTCTCCTTCACAGAGTGGGTGCATCAAAGGTATGCAGGCCCTCGCCTCCGACCTTGGCTGCACCGCTGGTGACACTGCCTGCCTCTGCCGCAACGTTAACTTCACCTACGGCATTCGCGACTGCTCTTTAGAGTCTTGTCAGCAGGCTAGCGATGCTCAGCAGGCTGTTGCCGCTGGCGTCGACCTCTGCCGTCGTAAGTCATACTCCACATCTGCAGCTTGGTTCTCATCCACTAATACCCGACTCAGAGGCTGGTGTTGCTGTCCAGGTCAGCCCCGTTGTCACTGTCGTTCAGCCTACTGGCACCGCGACCGCCACTGCCTCCGTCTCTGGCGGAAGCTCGGTTGCGACCCCCAGCGCGGTCACCACCTCGACCTTCTCCACTGTCATCACCAGTGGTGGCTCTACCATCACCTCTGTTGGTGAGACCACCATCTTCGGTGTTGGTGGCGTCCCTGGTGCCTCCTCGGCCCCTGCCTCGGCTATCACCACCGCCCCGATTGTTAGCACCATCACCAGCGATGGCACTGTCATCACTTCCACCATTGGTTCGACCACCATCCTCTCTTCTCTGACTGGCTCCGACGCCTCCAGCGCCCTCTCTAGCCAGGCTAGCGATGCTTCTGAGGCTTCTACCGCCACTGCCACTGACTCTGCCACCGCGACTGTCACGGAGACCCAGAGCGAGACTGGCACCCAGACTCAGACTGGCGCGGCCACCAGTGCCTCCGAGAGCGGCAACGTAAGTTACATATGGCCCTGACATGACTTTCTATCGATTGAAACTGACATTTCTCGGTCTAGGCTGCCAAGCAGACTGCTGTCCCGATTGCTGGCTTCTTGGCCGCTGCTGGCCTAGCCGCCATGCTCATCTAAGCTTTCTGCTTGGATGACATGATCTTGCTTTTCTACACGCGTGTTGCGTCAAATACCCGCCTGGACCCATAATCTTGGTTTCGACGTCCCGATTCATTCTCACCTTTCCACCAATTCGAACCTGACACGGCACCGTCGTGATAGGCACATCTTAGGGAAATAGAATGGGCAGATGAGGCGTTAGGAACGTGGACAGATCGGAATTTTCCCCAGGGGTCCAACAGGCACACAATGAGTTTTCTGGCCGTCATTTTCAGGCGGCAACGAACGAAGGATTGATGATACGAATGGTTTTACATCAGGGACGTAATGACGGAACGGATGATATCCACAGGTTTTGCTAGCCATTACAGGCACATCACAGGCATTTGGCCGTAAAATGGTGGTAAAGGTAGTTGGGGACGTCTCGTCCATAAGTAGCAACACGTTTTCACCTTGCCTGATGGAGCACTTGCTCTCATATACCTTCGCCATGTCGTTATACCCCTGGCATGCACATCTCGATACCGAATCCATTTGTAAGAGAGTGGTACAATAGGCTGCAATGCCTCAAGGGTATCATGTTACATCTACACCACACTAGCTGCTGTTTATAAATAAGCCATCTTACGCCTGCTGCTTCTTGAGGAGAGCCAGCTTGGCAGCGAGGCTGGCCTTGACGTCTTCATCGCTCTCCGAGTCTGACCCAGAGCTACTCGTCGTACTATCGTCATCCTCCTCGCCCAAACTCTCTTCGGCAATGATCTGCTCGACGGCGGCGGCGAACCTATCGACGTCCTCGTCGGCCACATCGCTCTCGTCCCCTTCGCTCGGCAGCTCGCCCTCCTCGAGGTTGCGGCGAGCTCTCTTGCCCCCCTTACCGCTGCCCCTCTTGCCCGGCATTTGAGGTTCGCGTTTCCGCTTCTGCGTGAGGCGCACCGGCTTAGGTTCCTCCAGAAGGGAATCGGGCAGCACGGCGCCAGCCTCGACAACGTAGATCGTGGGGAACTCGAGCACCGTCATGTCACGCAGGGCGTCGCCAAGGGGCGCCGTTGCGTCGACGGCGTGGACGACCGTCTTGCCCGCCGCCGACGTCGCCGCCGACGTCGTGCCCGCAAGGTAGAACGCGTACCTGCTCTTCTGAGCCTCCTCCTCCTCCGTCGTGCCCGTGTAAGGGGCCACGCCGGTGTGAGGCGTCCAGGTGCCTCGTGCAGAGGTCTGCATGCAGAAGCGGCCCGGGTGCCAGGCGCCCGTCTCCGTGTCCTGGGCCGTGGCGAGGGACTGGCCCGGCTTGTGCTGATGTTTGCGGCGCTTTTTGTGACGGCTAGTGTTTGTGTTGGTGCCGTCCTGCGCCTCGTCGTCTCCATCGTCGTCGTCGTCACGCTGCTGGCGCTGCTGCTCCTTCCGCGCCTGCTCGTCGTGGAAGAATCTCTGCCCCGTGGCGAAGGCCTTGTACAGCGGTACATCGTCGAGCGCCTTGGCCAGTATTCTCGTCGTTTCCTTCCTGGCTTCGCCCCCTTGTTTCTGTTGCTCCGGTGTCCCGGTCTCGGTCTGGGATGGGACGAGCAGCCATTCGACCTGCCAGTTGATCCGGCCCGAAGCCTTGCTAAAGTTCGTACCGTTCTCCCTCTGCCTGACCATGCCCACCGGCGCGCGCCTCAGCAAGATGCCAAACCTGCTCAGCCTTTTCTTAAACGGCATCGACAAGAGCGCCTCCTGTCTCGCGTTGCCGCCGTCGCCCTTGAGCACCTCCGTCACGAGGACCCTCTTCTTGCGGCCATCCCGCCCGGTCTTCCACTGCACGCTGCGGACTTCGATGGGCCTCAGGTCCTCCGGACGCAGGAGCTGCCTCTCCTCGACGATCTCCTTTTCGGAGCGCTGCACGGCGCGCTCGATGCCCGAAAGGAAGTTGAAGTCGTGGTCGACGCCGGCGGCGGTCTTGAGCTTCGAGGGCGGGACGTAGGCCGTCGCGTCGCGGATGCCGTTGCACGAGGACCACGCCTTGTGACGCTTCGTGCAGGCGAGGGAGCAGGTGCGGATCGTGCAGCGCGGGCACTTGTATCGGGGGGTTCGATGTGGCAGATTGCGCACAGGCTGGTGAGGATGGGGTCGGCCATGGCCGCTTCGTGTGAGGTTTGCTTCGAGAGGAAAGTGGGATATATAAGAATGATTATATCGGGGTAATGTACTGGTATGGTTTGATAAGGTTGAAGAAACTAATATACAAAATAATTGGTCGTCGAGTACGCTGTGTTGGAGGATGCGATGTTGGTGTAGACCAGGATGTAGATCGCGGGAACTTTTTCTGTTATCGCTGGCTTATCGGTGACGGGCGACCAGGATGTTCGTTCCCACTAGGGCGAAACTTTTTCCCGACCCCGTTTAACGACAGAGTCCCCCAGCGTCACTCCTGGCTGCAACTTGCACCAAATAAGCATCCCCTGACGCAGCCCAAGGGATATCCAATCGCCAATGGTCTAATCGTCCTTTCATATGTCTATGGTGCTATAACTGATTGAAATTGAGTTTGTGAATGCCCAGTTTGATACGGTAGCTTTTTGGTAAAGACTAATATACCTAACCTGCCAGGAGCAACTGTTAGTCACTTACCACACAATGCTCCTATGTTGTAGCCCAGCAGTATGTCTCCAGGCCGACGTGCGCCTAGCTGGCTGTTCCATTGGGATCTCCGCCTCATAATTCTGGATGGGAGAGAGTTTCCATTGCCGGAAACGGTGCTGTTGTCTACGGGAAAGGTGCGATAGCGGTATCAAGTTGTCAGGATAAATCACCAGACACATGTATGGATTCATCTCCGTCGACATGCCTGCCCATGTCACCACCACCTCTACCCCTTGACTCCACCTTCCTTTTCTACATGCTTCATGCAATATCATTTTCACAACCATTCTTCGTCCCTTTGTTTTCCACCCGTACGCGTACAGTGTCCCTTTGATACCAACAGATACCCTCTTGGTCTAATTGATTCATCGTCATATAAGTCCAGGAATAAACCTCTTCGTCGATGAGTGCCATTTAACCCACTCCGCCCCAAATGCAGCTCTTAACATATTCTCCTCATCCTTCACCCGCATCAACAATCTTCTTATGATACCAAAGGTTACAACACAGCAGCATGTGAGTCCCCAACCGTTCAGGCGAGAGTGCAGACTGCCGGAAAGCCAACAACCAAGTACACCATCCCAGCGAAGGAAAACAGCCAGGTAACTCACTAGTACAATGACTTGTCCTACATAGCCTGGGTGCTGAATGTAATAATAGATCCCGGTTGTCGTAAGCCTACTAGGAGGCCCAAGGCGGAAGGTGAAGTCGCCCCTCAGGTGCATAAAGGCGAGGAGGCGAAGAGGTGCTCCGACACAGATGATGAGGAAAAGACAGACCGATGTATAGGCGTTCCATCTGAAAAGTTTGTCATTGAGATTGTTGAAGGTTTGGCAGATGAAGCTGGTGTCGGGAACCTTGAGCGCCACGAGAGCATGGGCAACCCCTAGGGTTACGGCGACCATACGTCGAACTAGTGCTGCAGCGGGACTGGCATAAAGACCGAGTCGGTCATTTTTCCATCTGCCCCGTGGAGTGTCGTTCGGTGCTTTAGAACAGAGGGCTGTGAGGATACTGGCTAAGAGAACCACCAATGAGAATGATAGATTTTGCCAAAAAGCCATTGCGGTTTTGCACTATCGTACAGTATCTCGAGACAAGTTTCCTTTTTCTTGTTTTTATGTGATGCACAGCGCAGAAAAGCAACGAGATGGGTGAAGAGCCTCGCAGCGTTTTAAAGAGTTGCTGTATCGAACTATGGACCGGCATTCGGAGATCTGAATGCCGATTGCGTCCGGCATTTTGATCGACGAAAGCCGACCATTTACTTACTGGCCACTACCATCCACACTCTCATCACTCTCATCACTTTCAGACTTGCCATCCCAGTCTCTTCTTACATTTTCATCTCCTATTGTGTCTCCGCTTCCCCGGCCATTTTTTTCATCGCCGTCTTTCGTGGCGGTTTTAAGGGTAGCTCGTTCGGCAATTAACGGCTGAAGCTCCCCTCACCAAATGCAGCCTCACACTCGGCATGCTCCGTATGTAACAGCCTGCAGTCATTGCTCCCGGTCAAAATCCCGCTGCGTCTCAACCAACCCCGGAGACCCATGCCAAAGGTGAATAGGCTCTTGACACCCTCTCAGTTCACCTACTCACTCGTGCAGATGCCAACGCCTTGGCAAAGATTGCGTTTCTCCAGGCAACAGCAGGAAGCGAAGATTGAGGGCTGCAGGCTCTTCCGCCAGAAACGATCAACTTGAAGCCAAGATAGATGGACTGGTCTCCCTACTTACCTCCAACAGTCATCAGCCCGCTGCTACATTCACACCTATCTCTGCGCCGCAAGCCTTGAGCGCATCGTTGCACTCTAGTAATGATGAGTTACACTGCTTCAATGCCACCGTTTCCTTGTCAGTTAACGAACAGGATATCATCAAAGACTTTTCCCAACAGAAGCAGCCACATCTTCCCTTTTTGAAGCTGCGACAAGAGGATCCCGTCAATTTGCTGCGTGAAACGAAACCATTTTTATGGCTCTGTATCGTCGCGGTTTCAGTGAAACCTACCATCCGCCAACAAGAGCTAAACGCCAAGATACGGGCCATTGTAGCACAGCGCATTGTAGTTGAGCTCGAAAGAAGCGTTGAACTGCTACAGGGGCTCCTGGTTTGCATTGCATGGTGGGTGAAATCCGAAATACCGTTCCAGACTTTGGTTACACAAGCTCATATACACATAGGGGCAACTTTCAAGTTGACAGAAAACCATTCTTGACTCTGTTCACGCAACTGGTCAATACATTAGTCTTTGACCTAGCCTTAAACCAGGCACCACAGGCAGCCTCCGAAAGTGTCCCTGAACTGACATTGCACCGGCCTTGGCTATCGGATACCAGGACAGCCGAGGAACAGCGGGCTCTGCTGGCAGGTTATTTCTTGAACTCAGTGTAAGTTTCATTGCCTATAAAATATACACACCTGATATCTACTGACTTTGTCAAAGCGTATCATCCTACCTACGCCGAATAGATAGGCTGACCTGGACTCCTTTCATGAGTCAATGTCTTGACGACCTTTCAACCAGAAAAAACATTGACGAGGATCTTGTTCTTGTGACTATAGTCAAAGTCAGAAGAATTCTTGAAAAAGCATATTACTCGCCAGCAAAGGGTCAAGAGCTGGAAAGTGCTCTAGTGCGAGGAATCCCAATTGGCTTTGTCGCTGGTATACTGCAAAATGAACTGGATACGGTCACCAAGTCAATCTCAAATCTCCCCGAGAACAACAGTGAGTAACCATGTTGATTCCTAGGCTATGAGCTCGCGAATGACTAAAGACGTACAGCAATTCTCTGCCACATTCACTACGCATCATTTGCCATCAGCGAGTTTGCCATTTCTAAATCAAAAGAGGCCGCACCTACAGAAAGTATGGCCGCACTGAAAGATTTGTACACATGTTGCGGTGCTCTCGAGTCATTCTTCCAGAGACTGTTTCTATACCATCCAAGTCAATATATTGGCTTCACCTTGGCTTCCATATATCAGCTCATGCACTCAACCCTTTCGCTCCGCAAACTTATCGCCCACTTCACGACAACGTTCTACAATCTAGAGCAGTATAGCAGCCTAAAGTCTCACTACGAACGAGTCATACTCAACTTGAGAGAGGCAGCATTGACAGTTTGCCAGCAACAAGACGAGCCGGCAGCCCTCTTCACCAGGCTTGCTAACATGCTCGAGGATTCTAAAATTGACGAGGATTCAACGTTGAGCGAGCATCACGGAAGGAACCCTACCACAGACTTATTGAGTGAGGATGCGGCATTTGATAACGAGCTGTTCGAATTATTGGGTCCTTTTGGATACTCCATATAAACCTCCTGATACCAGAATTAGAAGTCAAAGATGACCCGGAGCGGTGGTTTCGACTACGTGTGCGGCCTCATCCGCACGAGCGCAGACGGGGGCATTCTCTTCGGAGACCCCAGAGCATCAAGGACAAGACTCTTGTCGAGGACTTTTGCTGTCAACAGCCTCATGGGTAAACAGGCTGGACGGAGCACACACATATCCGCACGTCGCGACAGACACAACTGGCGAAACGGCATCAGTTGAGCCGAGAGCTCTCTCGTCGCTGGGCTCAAGACACCTCTTGGCTCCGCGCAGCAGCACTTAAACCTGTTAAAACAACCCGAATCCATGTTATGAGGAAGGATGAACTGTACATGTTAATAGCGAGTACACGGTTGGCACGTTGAACCAGATAATGAGTGTAGTGAGGCGAAGCCTTGCCATTGCATAGTGCTGTTGAATGGTATCTAAGTTTTGAAATGTGAAAGATCTTTCACATACGACCATACCCATTGGAAAACTCGGGATCCCGTCCGCTCTCCCATAGATAAGCCAATGAGGGCCGGATTAGTAGTTGGGTCGGTGACGACCAGCGAATACCTGGTGTTGTATGTTTTTTCTGTGTTTTTGCTCGCGCATGTGGAATGTAGGCCTCAATCCGGCGGTAAGGATCGCTATGGTTATGGTGTTTGTAAGTTTCTCAACATGGTGGTTGCACAGTATGTACCTCATAGCAACTGGCTTGAAAACATCGAAGGTTGTTCGCTAACAGGCGTGTAGATGGTCAGGAGAGATTGAGGCCATCGTGGGATTTATCAAGGCCCTTTTCTTTCGCGGCCTCATGTTGGCTGCCTTCATCTCTCCTACTACGTTTTTGGGATCATCGTCGTTGGTGCTCGGGCTCCTCAAACTCTCGATCTCGGGCGTCCTGCTGGCGCTCATCAATTTTATGTCTGGGCTGTCCTGCGGGAATGTGTTCCTCCACCCGTCCAGCCGCACGCTGTATAATCTTGCTCAGAATGTGTACAATGTGAGCGAGGTCTGGATTGCCGCGGCAGCAACGTGAAGCGTCACGAAGCGGCATTGAAGAGATAATGCGATAACTGAGGAAAATATTATAGCAATTGACGAGCAGAAACAGATGACAGGCAAAATATGGCATGGGAGAAGATAGTCTGAGTAAGATTGACGTTGCCTCTAGGTGACGGCAACGTTGTGAGAGACTATATACTCCTACGGCACGTGTGACAGCACGTAAAAGCAGTCAGGATGGGTTTCCGGCGTGAGACAAGTGCCCCTTCTTGAAGAAGCGATCTTTTGCCATCGGCAAGTTTGCTATTTTGAAATCACGAGAAGTCGCACCTATAGATATGGTGACTACACTAAAAGCTTTGTACAAATGTTGTATTGTTTTTGAGTTATTCTTCTAAAGACTATTAATACCCTATTCAAGTTAGTACAACTACTAGCTTTACTTTAGCTTTTATGTATTAGCTTATGCACTTAACTCTCTTCATAAACTTTTTACTTACCGTTGGTCTCACAGGTGGTGATACTCGTACGAGTGGTAGCAACGGTTATGTCAAGTGATATTGCTTGTTGGTCGTATTGTTGAGATATGGAGGTGGAAATTCTAACTGCGTAGCCAGCGGCAAGGTGAACTGGGATATGCCCCTCTTTGTGGCTGAGTGGCTGACCGGCCTGTGCCTTCCCATACTCCTGTTGCCTCCGATTGCCCTTGTTCCAACACTTACTTTATAATCATATTTTAGAATTCAAAGCTGTAGCAGCCGGGCTGACAATGACTGCGTCTGAATGTAACCAATTGAGCCACAAGCCCAAAATTTCTGCCAGTGCTTGCACGCTTGCAGGCGCTGCTGTCAACATTTTTTTACCTAGGTAAGAGGTCTACGCTCGCCTAGGCGCATTTGGTCCAGCGGAAGTGTCCTGTGACAACATAAACCTCTTGGTGCCAAAAATACAAGTCACGAAAATGACACTGGGCGGAGGCTCGACTAGGTACGCGGCGTCATTGTCACGAGCGTTTTTAAACCTGTCGTTTCCATAATAGTATTATGTTCTTAATAATCAAATAATCAAATGCAATCCTGTTCCGACATTCGACTACCAGCATATGAAGAAGACACTTGTATCAGGCCAAGTCCACGATGGGCAGTCCGTCCCGAGTTAATAAATGAGAATCGACTGTGTCAAACTAAGTTTGTGCAGCGTGGAAACCTCATAGATGGTGAGCTTCGCGTGCAAACCTCTTGTCAAAGTCAATACCTAGATCCTCAAGAACCCTCTTTGCTACGGGCCGACCGCCACCCCAGACCCCGCCGCCAGGATGCATAAAGGGCCCAGCAAGATACAGACCCTCGACTCCGGGCACCCGATACTGAGCTAAGGCAGGTGTTGGTCGGTTGATTCCCATCTGGTCAGCTGCCATGGATAGGCCGCAGATGTCGCCGCGTTGGAAGCTTGGACTGTCGGATTGGTGGTCAGGTGGCGTGACAACGTGATAAGAGCGGATGATATCTGGAGTGAAATTGTCGAGGTACTTGGAAAAGTAGGCAAATACTTTCTGCGCCCAGTCATCTTTAAGCTTGTCCCAAGCATTCCAGCCTCCCTCTGCTGGCTCCGCTTTGCACATGACGACACAGTGCAGCAACGATTTCCCCGGAGGACAGCGTGTGGGATCGGCTGAGCTAACACACGAAGCTCCGATCATAATGTTGGCAGGGAGGAAACCCTTAGCCATCTCATCGTAACTTTGAAGTAGGTCCTTGAGGTTTCCGGGGCAGCAGGTGTTCATGACTGCTTTATCGGCGATGGGTCCAGCCTTGAATTTCAACGGGCGATCGAGGGCTGCATGTATGGCGAAAAGACTGAACTCGGAGACGCGTGTATCGATAGCCGAGTTTGTAATGGATTGGTCCAATCCATCGACCAGTTGAGCAAGGTTATGCGGATGGATCTGTCCTATGACGGCCTCCTTCGCTCTCAGCTCCCCGAAACGAGTACGGACTCCAACCGCACGCCCACCCTCCGTGACCACTTTGACTACTTCAGTTTCAAGCTTGATCTCGCCTCCATGGTCTTTAATACAACGAATGACGGAATTGGTAAACGCAGAACCGGCTCCCTCGGGCACGCATAAGCCATATATGTCCAAGAGACCAAAGGCGAGATACACCATCAACCCAGTGCCCTTAGTCTGAGGATGAGCCAGTTGGATCTCAGTAACAAATCGCAAAAGTGCAACTTGCAAAATCTCGTTCTTAAAAAATCTCTGGATCAGTTCCAACGAAGAGCCGGCAGAGCCAATTGCGATCTCCTCGGCAAGCGGACTGCTCGCGATCTCAGCAGAAATGTCGCGAGGCGGTTCAAACATGGACGGCATCAGAAGCTCCGTGATCTGGCGGCTCAATCCAACGAATTTGTTGTAGGACTCGGCGTCTTGTGTTGAGAACTGTTTGATGGCCTCAATTGTACGATGACGCTCCCGGTAAATGGGAAGGACCCTGTCCTGCATGACAATGGCGTAGCATGGATCCAGTTGCAAGTATTTTAGACCATAGCGGGATTGTAGGCCTAACTCGTCGTTCGTTATCATCGGGTTGGCGAGAATCATTTGATGAATGGCACTGTGACGCTCGCTGATGAATCCAGGCTCGGCCATGTGTAGGCTAGCAACGCCGCCGCCTGGGTAGGAAGCGCGCTCTAAGACAAGAACTTTTTTACCGGCGGCAGCGAGGTATGCGGCTGCTGTCAAGCCATTGTGTCCCGAGCCAATGACGATGATGTCCCAGCTCTTGCGTTGGGTTTCAGACGTCAGCCTGCCCAGTTTTGTAAAATCTGGATTCATGATTGACGTTCGGTGGTGTGTTTGGTAATTCCAGAAAATGCAAAGACGGTTGTTGGAAACCAATCTTATATAGAGCCAGAAGGACTCAGCAAAAACCTGTAATCATTGTGTGAAATGAAAAAGCTCCGAAATCGTAGCCGAATTCAATACCGAGTAATGGACCCTTCCCATGACGGACTGTCAAGTTAGGCGGGGGAGTGTTCCATCCCAGCTTCAGCAACATGTTCAATAGGGCCCACCACTGGGGCTGTAACCTGGTGTGAGCGGCATCGGGAATTAACAACGGCCCGCCTTCATATCCTCCTCTTCTGATGTCGTTCATCACTGAACTTCGGCCCCATGAAATCCTGTTCCGCAGCGCTTTGGTACGTACAGATAGCTCTCTTGCGAGTGAGTATAAAGCTGAGCCCCGCCCCCGCATTGCCCGAAATAACCTTAGCTCGCTCCGATATGTTCTTCGTTCGATTACCCCACACACTCCGACCCAACAACGTTGCATATTGCCTTTTTCCATTTTAGTGTCTTTTTTTGGGAGAGAAGAGACTGACGCCGCAGAGTTGTGATCTTGCCAACATACGTTTTGGAAGGGCAAGGTTGCAGGCATGATTGTCAAATGTGACGTTTGTAACGCCGAGTTTCGTCGTTCCGAACACCTCAGCCGTCACATCCTTCGTCATATCGGCGTACGGCCTTTTTCATGTGCGATATGTGGCGCTGACTTTTCCCGAAGGTGGGTTCCGCAGAAACCTTCAAGGGATCTTTACCATGCACAGAACAAGGAATAGCGTTAGCTAGTCAATAACGCTTCCCAACATGCTTAATGTTCCTCAGCATGGCGCCATAACTCGTGCTTACCGCTTACTAGGGACTCGCTGCAACGTCACATGCAGAGCCACGAAGAAGCTTCATCGGAGGCAAACGACTCGAACTCTTCAAAGAGGACACGCAGATCTTGCGTATCGAGGGCATGTCGCGATTGCGCACGTTCAAAGCAGAAATGTGATGGACGGACACCCTGCGCTAGATGCAAGACACGGCAGCGGAACTGCGTGTATGTTTCCAAAAACCAACGGAGAGACAAGAATTTTAGTGAAGGTGTGGCTTGGAATGTCGATCAAGCAACGGATGTCCATGTTACGCCAGAATCTACTGGTACACATGTCCATTCGTCAAGCTTCAGTGACATCGAAGATGTGAGTAAGATGTCTCTTGCAGAGTTCTCAGGACGTCTAAAATCTCCCGTACCACATACTCCCCCTATACTTCGTCGATGTGTAATGAAGATAGATTCAAATGCTGACATACTATAATTGCTCCAGCTCTTGGAACACCAAGGTCACTTCACAAGTACTGTGCCGTCAGGATGCGATGGCCAGCCTCTTAATCCTGACGGCTATCATAGTTGCCTAGGGTTTACAAGTCATCTCGGACCTCAAGCTTTCGAAGCGTCAGACTCACTGCTTTATAATCCAACCCAATGGTGTTTTCCAACCTCCGACAACCACAACTGGTTGAATGGCGCGGTCAGTGATGACGTTTGGAACGGTGTAACACAGATTGGTGACACTTTCGATACTGTACAATGGTCCAGAAGAGAAAGCGACAGCTTTCAGGAGCGGCTTCCGGACTCTTTGTTACAAACGAAAGCACGATTAGAAGCGCCAGACATTGCCACCAATCTCCAGGATGCTGCGACTGACGTGGATCAGGGAGTGTCTTCCACGGAGGTTGCAACACCACTACTGTCAGATGAGGCCCCGAGGCCCAATTTCACAAACCATTCTGAACTATCAGCTACTTTCCAAGATGCGCTGAGAAAACCCGCAGCACTTGGAAGAGACTGTGGGAACAATGCGGCCAGTGAGGTAGCCAGAAGCAGACGGCAAGCCCTTTTTGTCACAGATGATCTTGAGGGGCTCTCCTATATTCCACGATCCTCTTTCCTAGGAAAAGACCCTAGCAATAATCCCGATGCTTGGCGTCTCGAGGACTATGAGCATGTCCCGAATTTGAACACAGATGTCTACGGCTTCATCAGTACGCAATTTGCCAAGTTGAACACTGGCAACTCCTTCTATCTACCCTTTACAGACCAACCATTTCCCTCTTTTGAGGCCACAAACGCCTTTATACAATCCTATTTCGAGCATTATCATCCTGTTTTCCCGCTGCTTCATCAAGCTAGCTTTGACCCCAAGCACTCAAATTGGGTCTTAGTCATTGCCGTTGCGGCGGCAGGATGTGGGTTTTCTGTGCTTGGCACGACAAGAACAAGTTTTATACTTCAAGAGCTGCTACGCCGTTCAATCAATCTCTACGTAAGTGAGCACTCTCAGTTAGCATTACTGCTAGAAGTAACAGGCAGGCAGCAAAATCTCAACTGACTAGCATTTTAGCTCGAGCTGGAAACCGAGCCAGATCTCAAGTCCGAACTAAGTATTGCTCAAGCTATTTTGCTTAGTCAAATTGGCTTGATGTTCTCAGGCAATATGTCGTTTTCTGAACACGCACAGAAGAGCATGTCTTTGTTGGCTACATTTTGCAGAAAAGCCAACTATTTCATAGAGTGTCCACCAGTCGACCATTTATCTCCCACAAGACGAAATGATTGGTCAAAATGGATCTACACAGAATGCAAACGGCGCCTCGTTCATCTATCCTGGGTGCGTAACGCGGGCTTTTTTTTTTCTTTCCAAGTGTCAACTCTTGTGGCCTCAAGCGATGGCATTCTATGTCCCAAATGCTCGACCGTGATGCATTGGACGATCATCGTGAACATCTTGACAGAACTTACGTTGACCAATTTATCCTCCAGCTATTTGACAGCCAAATTTGCGCTTTTTTCGACTTGCCTCCTACAATACCGACTGATCTTCTCCGACTACCCATGCCATCCGTTGATTCACTTTGGATGGCACAATCACCTGAGGAGTGGAATGAAGAGCTTTCAGAACTTTCAAGTGCGTCGTTGCGCATTCTACCTGCTTTGGATACCCTTTGGATTTTCTAACGTAGATAAGACCTTGGCAAGCAGAGATCCCTCCGAGAAGAGGTCAATAGCTTTTATAGGACACAAAAGCTTCCGGAAGCAACTAGCGAACTCAACAAAATCCTCCTCACTCTAGCAGTGTATCGCGACACTGGGAGCGGATGGGACACCGTTTCTTACCTGAATCTTTTACGAAACGATAAATGCCAAAATCACCCGGAAAACCCACTTGGCTGGGTCGCCTTGCAGCACAATCATCTTCTGAGCCTCCTAACCCACTTGTCTTTACGGGATCTCATGGCATTCTCGGGCTGGCGGGTCAGTAGTCATGAACATAAGGCAGCATGCCTGAGGCTGGCTTCATGGCTCGCGCAGAATCCGAGAAAGGCTCGTTTGATCATCTACCACGGCGCTCAACTCTTCAGCTCGATACGGGATCATCCCACCCAAGGGCATCATGAAGCAAACAGTTTTTTGGTTGCAACTCTCGGAATATGGGCATCTACAGCAGTCAGAATAGGCGATGTTTGCTCGAACCCCGGTTTGGAGCCAGGTCGAACTGCAACCCCCCACTCCCCAACGAAAGCAGTGATTTCAGTGACTATTCCGCAGAAAACCTACGAAGTAGGAGAACTATAAGACTCGACAAGCCAGTCCCTATTGACCAACTAGAGCCATGGATCTCAGGGGCTTCGGTCTATCGGCCATACCTCAGTGGAGTTGGTGAACTCACGAGCCAGGATGTGTGCGGTCATCTGCTGAAAGAGAGTATGCGTGTTCTCTCTTCTCAATCAGGTTGGTCTATTGGCTTGGCTATCAGCGTGGTCCTGCGGGCGCATTGGACAACAAAACACAAAGGACAGGAGTCGAACCTGTCTCATAGTGACCATGTTTCTCGTCGCAACATCCCTACCACACACCCCACTCAACGGCCAAATGAGGAGCAATGATAGATCCAAGACAATAAAATATGGTCTTCCAAGTGAATTTATGGCTATACTACTTACGTGAAGTGTTTTCCGTTACTATACTCTGCTTGGTCTGTAATCTGAACGATGACATACGTTAGGTTCGTCAGGGTTTCTCTGTACATGCATGTCCTTGAAGAAATTCCTACTTAGAAAGATAGTTCCTTTTCCACTACAATGTTCTCGTCGCCAATGACAGCAAAAGACTTAATCAAGTCAAAAGACTTGGGCAGAGTACCAAAGATCTTGTTGGATCTCTCGTTCTCGGCAAGGAAGGCAACGACCGACTTGCGATCAGAGAACCAGTACTGCTCGAATGCCGCCATGGTCGTCCAGTCAGCTGTGCTGAAGGGAGTCCCCTCGAAGAAAGATCCAATATTTGAAGGAACGACGGCTCGGTTCAGAACGTATCTCAGCAGACCAGTGCCGGCTCCAACTTTCCCAATGTGATCCGAGCGAGCTTCGAGGTCCGCTTCGCTGGGATCTGAGTTTGCTCCGGCGCGTGATCTCGCCAGTAATACTAGAAGCATAGCTGCTTTCTTACCCCGCCTCTCGAACCCAGTGGGATCGAACATGATCTCTGCAAATGACTGGCTGAGTATTCCGGTCTGTGATGAGATATCGGCAAAGACGTGGCTGCCGGCCGAGGCTTTGTACGACGGGCTTTGGAATGACCCCCAGAGGCCATCCAAGGTTGTCCAGCCAAGTGTTGTGACGGCATCCCAGGCAGCCAAGCCGCCAGTGGGTATGCCTTTGACATCGACATGGGGGAGTCCAACGACTTGAGTGTAATTGCGTAGGATGGGTACCACGTTTGAAATGTGTCTTGTCATTCCCGCATGAACACCAGTGTATTCTTCCAAAAACCTCTCTTCGGACCAACCTGGAATTCGTCTGCATGCGATGGTCATTTTGATCAACGATTTCTTCTGGCTGTAGGAGTTTTTGACGGCAGGGATGACAGGGAGCAGGAGGTGCGAATCGTATTTGTTGCCGAAATGAATGATATGACGTCCTTTGTTTACCGTGTCGCTGTGACGGGCAATTGGAAGACCTGGGGGATATTTGCCGTAGTCGTGACCGGAAATCACGAGGTTCAGTTTATCACCGGCTCTGAAACGGCAGCTGGTAGGTTGTATCTCGATATCAACGCAAACCACATCGCCGGGCTTCAAGGGCTCCAGGTCCCGGCGGTGTAGGTGCACCGGACGCCAGGGTGTGGACTGAGCCTCGTCGAGTTCTCGGCGTGAAGCTCGGAGCCAACCGAACCCAATCGGTCCGTTGTCGATAATAGTAAGCCAGGGAAAGTGTACGTCATTTCCCTCTCTGTCCTTTTTGCGTAGCGTGATAAAAAGGTCCATATTGTCGCCCCCCTCTGCAACTTCCACCCAAAGCCTGAGTTTTGCATGTCCGGCAAACTCGAAGGAGTTAAGCAGAGGGAGTTCAAAGGCCACCTCGCTCTCATTTGCGTCATACGAAACCTGGTGCTCCGCGGGTTGGGAAATCTTACTCAAACCACCAGTGGGTGTTGGAAATAGCTTGGTATACTGTGTTTCCGGGATAGGAAAGGCGCTAGCATGCCGCCATTCGCCAACATAATAGCGCTCCCTCATGGCATATCGAACTCTGGGCCAGAACTGTATTTCTGTTGGTGACCCCAGAAGGTAATGGTCCAGGAAGGCCTTTTGTCTGTTCAGAGATTCCTCCGTGGCAGACCACTCCCATCTGGGTACAAAAGGTGCCTGTCAGCATGGTGTGATGCAAAGCTGGGGGGAAATGTAGAACACTTACTTTTGGTGCTGATGAATCTCAAGGTATTTTTCCCCTGTCATTATTTTCTCCCAAGCGTTCAACGTCCCGCGAGTATGAATTGCATGATCACCCCAGGAGCAGATGATGTATGCTGGGCATTGGATTTTGCCAAGCGCTGGGACCTTGCTTTGCCAGTATTCATCAAAGTACGGGTGTGTCTTGCACCCGTCAGTCGGATCTTCAACAAGGTTCTTGCCCCAATTGAACAATGTTGGGTACCTAAGATTTTCAGTAAGCTTCCAGCCGTAAAGAAGTAAAAAGAAAATCGAAGAAAGGAACTATTTCGTTTGCCCCCAATAAAAGAATGGAAATAATCTCTGTACATACACCTCGCTGAACTGGGTCTCACGAATACCGCCCTTCATAGCCATCTCACGATAAAGGTCAGTCATTCCATCAATGGGTACAATTGCCTGCCACAGACACTTTAGGTGAGCAATTTAAGGCTAGGAATAAGTAGTGGGTGGGTCTTACGGCAAGAGATGGGGGCTGTTCGGCAGCCACGAGCCACTGGAGCATAGCATAGCCGCTAGCACCGTACATGGCAACCTTTCCGTTGGACCACTGCTGTTTGGCTAGCCATTCCACAAGGTCATAGCCTATTGCAAGTTCAAGTCAGGTTAGTTATCAAGATTAGAGAAGAAGCATGAACCTCTCAATGAACAGGGTCGTTCTTACCGTCAAGACCTACATCCCTGGAGTAATAACTTTTGTCTCCATCAGATTGACACGATCCCCTAGCATCAACATAAGCAACAACGTAGCCACGAGAACACCACCACCCCGGATCAGCTGCTTCAAAGACATAATGCTCAGTGAGGCGAGCTGTGTCCAGCCCAGATGAAGCTGGGAAGATGTTAATGTCTGTTGCGCCATCCTTGCCATAAACACTGTAGTTGAACAACACGGGGAGCTTATGACCCTCCTGTTCAAGGGGTCGATAAACATTTGCGCGCAGAATCGTGCCGTCTCTGACTGAAACGGGAATGTCCAAGTCGGATATCAAATCTCCTTCGACGATTGTGCGTGGGTTGGCTTCACGAATACCAAGTTGGGATGGATCCCACGCTGTAGGCATGAGCAGGTCAGCTTTTGATGTATACTTCAAACTTCAAAGCAGGATAACAAACCTTTGATGAATTTCCCCAGCCGGCGTGTCTTCTCCAACTCAACTTGCAAAATCTCAATATCTGCCATTTTTTTTATTTATTTGTTGTCAACCTCAACTACTGAAGAGATATTGGTTTCAAAAGATGGTTTGGTGTTGTGCGACAAGGCTGCATGTACTATTGAGATCGGTCTGAACAGAACCCCTTAATACTAGATTATTCTTAGTACGAGTTAGCTCGGTAATCGAAGATGAGTCTTATACCTACTCTTCTTACATAAAGTTTACGAGCCGTTTATGATTATGCCTTATACTACCCTATACGGTTAACGCGGCACCGCCGGATGCCACGGTAAGCGGAGTCGGAGCTCGTGGGGTAGCGGGAGGATCTGGGGGAGCGGGGGAGCGGGGCCGAAGTCAATCCACCTGGTAAGGGTGAAGAACGATCTTCAAGACCCTACGTGCCCCAAGCCATTGTGAGGCTCATAGTCCTTAACTGCTGGCACGTGCGAATACATGTGTCTATAGAGGCTATAGCTATTCTGCAGCTTGATCTCCACTAGAGGAGAGGTTAACTACAAATACTATTACTTAGCATAACCTACTGTTATTGATACTTATCTATTTACTGTTGTCTTGTCTCTGCATCTCTGCTTCCCTCTCGCTGCAGCCCTGCGATATCCTTGCTGCTTTACTATCGCTCCGCACAGCTCCGCGACACCGCTTGGCAACAGGCCCGGCAATACCGCAGTCCATTCCCTCCGTCAGATCCGCAACGGCTGCCTAAGAGACTGTGTCAATCATCTCACTAGAAGGGGAGTCTAAGGCCAAATCTAGTACTAAAGCAGTAATTGCAAAGTGACCGTACAGACTAGGTAGAAAGTAGAGAAACAAGCTTCTAATCACTATGTACCGGTTTATGTGTTGCAAAAGCATGTCCCGGATCGGTCCGATCGGTCGATGTGGGGTATCGGTCGTTGGGGGGAGGGTGGGCTTGTAAGTCCCGACACCAGTCGTTCGGATTCTGAATGAAGGCTGAGTGAATTGTATGGGCGACATCTAATTGGATGTAATATCATCTAAGAGTGAGAGTCGGGTCTTTTGTGACGGCAAGACGGAATGCCGGGATTACGGGACTGTGCTGAGCATTGCTTGATTGAGATCCACTGCATTATCGGTCAATAGCAAAATATGATGAATGTTTACCGCTACCCAAAAAGAAGGATATACATATAAGGCATGGCAACCCGCGTCCTCGGAAAGTTGGTTTCCGTTCCTGCAGCTGCATTCAGACTGTCTTCATCAGTAGACTTCGAAAACATGGTAAAAAAACTACGCGTCGCCGTCATCGGCCCCAAGGGCCAAGCGGGGAGCTGCGTGGTCGACGAACTCTTGATGCGTGGCCATGATGTCGTCGGCGTCTCGCGGAACCCTCCGAAAGAGTGGAAAGGCCCCGGTGATGGATCTTACACGTCGACTAGCGTTGATATTTATACCGAACAGAAGAAACTGATTGAAATCTTCTCATCAGACTTTGATGCGATTGTATGCGCTTTCGGACCCAGCTTAGCCAATTTGGCAACCTTGTATATGGACGGGGTTGAGGCCCACGGGAGGATCAAGACAGCGCTGCTAGCATCAACGCATCAGGGACCGTTTATTATCATCGGTACGTGTTACAACAATAGGCACGAGATACCGGGATGACACGTGTGCTGAGATTTTTATTACTACCTTAGGCGGAGCAGGATCTATTCATGTCGCAAACCGTCTCCAACTCACAGATCAGGAAGACTTCGCGTTTAGCTGGTGGTATGTATGCCATCTTCTCATTCCACATCAACACCTCAAGGAACCAGAAACTCATTGTTCCGTTGCTAGGTGGACTTGGCCCGAACAACACCTTGACTACATGACTGAGCGAGCCTTGGACCATGGGACCAGGTTCATCGCCTTGCTAGCCATCTTGCTGAAATGGAGCAGAAGCCATATCCAGCGCCCGAGATGTAAGTCTGCCAGTTGCTTGTGTGGCCTCGATGACAGGGTACTGAGCCGGCTCCCAATTCTCTAGTCTACTCCTGGCTTCTGAGTCCGATCACGTACCTGGTTCGACGCTGGCTCAAACGCTGCCTGACCGACAAGGACTGCATCAGTCTGATCACAATGTGTCGGATCGCGTTCACGATGTGGAACGGCGTCACCGAAAAGTCTTGGTCCTTCCTCTCACCTCCAAGTCTTTTGCGTGATAAAGGTCAGTTAACTGACTGTTTGGTTTTGATACACTTTGACATGAGTACTTAAAACTCTACACCTAGGCGTTCGTACTGGAGACTATAAACTCTTCATCGACACTCCTGAAGACCCGGCGATCGAGGCTACAGAAAATGGAATCTATAACGAGGATATGGCGGTTGCCATTGTTGACGAAGTGGAGAATAACAAATTGGCATTTAAGCATTGGAGCTGTACGGGGCCCATTGGACTGCGTAAATGGTAGCCATAGGTTTTGTTGCACAAACCTAGATGCGAGCTGCTTCCATGTTACAATATCCTTAGTACGAGCCGTGATACAGCGTACTTAGGAATCCTAGATCTCAAACGAGCCCACAGCTTGATCAGAATGAAGAAAGGCAAAAAATAGAGAACATCGTTCCGCACCCGTAAAGGCAGCTTCAAAACCTTGTCATGCCTTTCAGCCTCACCAACGCACCCCGAGCTCTTAGATGCAAGTCGTCGCGCACGCCCGGGCATTATGGTGGTGGCATGCTAACAACCCGAAAGATGCCTGGCTACCCTCCTCGAGAAGAAGCAGTGACGGCAGCAGCAGCGGCAGCACCCCAGCCCTCTCGGTCAGCGACGGTGATGCCGCTGTTGAGGGGGTAGTCTCCGCCCTTCTTCACTCCGAGACGGTCGATCTCGAAGCCCACCGTAAATTCATCATCCTACCCGGCTTTCAGGGCCGTCTCCGAAAGCAACTGCCCAAGGATCCTGAGGAACTGCGGCCTTCCGGCGAATCTGTACAGCTTGCCCAGCCTGCTTATGCCGGACACCGGCGCATGGACTGGACGGCCTACCGAAGTTTATCGAATATATCGCCACCGCCCTTGACTCATCGTAATCGCGCAACGCGTAGGTGTTAAGCATCTGTATTGATGCTATAGATGGCACTCGCACGTTACTGTTCGAGACGCTCGCTCGGCACGAGACGATCCACGACATCTGCTTTCTCCAAGGCCCCTCTCCCGGTGCAGCATATGTTCGTCCGCCAGCACTTCTACACAACGAAGGAGAAGAACAAGACATTGTGTACTATGATGATGGCGATGAAGAAGAAGAAGACGAGAAGGAGGAGGAGGAGGAGGAAGAGGAAGAAAAAGAGGGAAAAAAAGACACAAACGCGATATGCCGGCCCTGCCACTTCTTTCAAGGCGACGCGCTCCTCAAGCCGGAACGCTTTGTATCGGGGATTCTGCAGTACTGTCGCTGGGTCCTCGACGATAGGTTCTCAGTGAGCTTCGCGACTTTCCGGTCCTTGGATGTGAAGGGCGCTAGCCGGTAGTGCGAACCCCCTCCTGAGCCCAGCGTCGTGTGGACCCTCCGGTAGTCACGTATATGCCTTACAAGTTGGCATCCAAAGAGAGTTCGGGTAGGATTCATTGAGTCGCCCGTAACAATGTAGCTGGGGGTTTCGTCCTGGGCCACGACGGCGACGACTACATGGAAGGCGCTCGTTGCGGAAGATGTCATGTTTTGTTCCTTGGTAATGCGGTTCTCTGTGGCCCTAAACACGGCTAGTACTTTTTATCTTTGATTGGGCGAGAGTAGAAAGTTCTAATCTATACTTGGCTTCTTTGCTTTTGCTTTGGGCGACCGGCCTTATGACCGGTTGCAAGTTATACCACTCTTATAGGGAAAGCTTTGCTTTCCGTTGTCACGGATTCTTCGCAGGAGTACAACTGGCTGTACGCGTAGCCGAGGTTCAGCTAAACTCGCCTAGCACTCGCCGTGCTACTTACAACAGATGGCTTGGGGTACCGAAGGACACCCCTCCCCGATCCGACTTATCGAGGCTCTGGTGCAATTAAAATGTGTGAAACAGCGTTCAAAAACCACCAAGTAAACATTCAAATGCTTCAAGTTTCCCTGCGTCCCATTGACTACGGACTCATGTCAATTGTGCCAAGGGCTCACAAAATTGTTTGGATTAACTAATAAACAGTCAGGAACGACTGGCATGATCTGCGTGAGGTGGATGTGCGTCTCCTTTGTCAGAAGATGCTCGAGGGTTTCATCACACATCACCCATCAGCCAACACGGGAACGGATTTGTCTTAAAACTCTCGCTGGTTCTGTATTGGTTTAGGGCAAGGAGGGACATGAACCGAACTTAGCAGAAGCGCACAAGCTCTCTACCCTCATAAGGTACAAATGATATAACAGTTGTGGGTACAGCCCGTCCTCCAGCGAGCTCTGTTCAATTATCCTAGCACGGAAGAACAGATCGGACGTTCGTCTCCAGAAAAGGAAAGAGACAAAGAAAAAGGAGGAAAATAAAACTAACGCCGGACACGACAAGATTTTGTCCACGATCGCCAGCCGCAAAAAGGTATAAGGCAAAAAGATGTATGCAAAGTGTCGGTAAATCATCCTCCCCATCGACCACGGGAGAAAAAAAAGGTACTCCCTAGCCGTTTACTACTCCTGATAAATTATAGAACGCCCGCTCATGGTTGACCTTTTAGCGGGAGCCGCCCAGGGCGCTGATTCGGGCGCCGGACGGGCGGTGGATGAGGCTGTCGGTGTGCTTGCCGACAGACTGCTGAGGCATCGCCTCGGACTCGCTGCGGTCCTCCTCGAAGTCCTCCTCGTCCTCGACGATCTTGGTGGGGATGTCCTGGTGGATCATGTACTGCTGACTTGACCGCTCAGGGGTCGCAGCGCTGGAGGCGAAAGACATCGCCGTGCTGCTCCGGTTGGGGACCAGGTCCGGGGTAGGGGGGATGCTGGATATCCGACCATGGGCGGGGTGGAGGAGGCTGTCGTCGCCCATGTCGGACGTCGCGTTCGACTGGGTCTCGTGACCGTCATCGCTGTGGGTAGCGGACAGGTTGCTGCGACGGCGCTGAGCGCGGAGTCTGGCGGCACTGGCAGCGCGCTCATCAAAGTCGGCATCCTGGGCCAGCTGCAGGCCCTCAACGGCGGCCTGGCATTGCTCGGCAATGTTGCGGATAATGTGCGCGATGGCATCCGTCTTGTCCTTGAGGTGGCGGTCGGCCACGTCCTTGAAACTCGAGCTAGAGAGTCTCTTGTTTGCCTCGGCGGCGGCGGAGAGGAGACGAGCCTGGTTGGCATCGGCATCCCTGGGCGCCACGCCGTCCTCGCCGACCTCGGGCTCAAAGCCCTCCTCGATCTCACGCTCCAGGTCATCAGGCTTGGTCAGGGACTGGACCAGGTGCTCCATGTGGTGGCTCTGTCCGCCGATCAAGCTGCGAAGATGCAGCACAACGCGGCGAGCCTCGTCACGCTGTCTAAGGATGGTGACGTTGGTGTGCTGAAGAGCAGCAAGCTCCTTCTTGTTGCGCTTACGCTCGCGCTCGAGCTCCTCGGCGATCTCCTGCTGGAGAACGAGGGCCTCGAGGGCGTCGTCACGCTGCTTCTCGGTGGCACCGAGACGGACGTTGAGGCGACCGTTGTCGTCCTTCTGCTGGTCGATGAGGGATGCGAGACGTCTGTTCTCCCTCTTGTGCGTCTCGATCTTGGCCTTGAGGTCCTGGGTCTCCTTGGTGAGCTGCTCAGCGAACGCCTGGAACTTGAGGAACTGTTCATGACCGTTAGCAATATTCTCACACCAACCGTGTGTGTGGTAAGACTCACCTGCTGCTTCCAGCTCTCGAGCTCCTCGTTGAGGTAGTTGTTGCGCTTGGTGACCTTGTTGAGCTCGGTGTCCATGCGGCCCTTGAGGTTGATGAAATCTTGCCAGGCTTCGAGTGCGTCACGGGAGTACTGATTCCTCTCGCGGACAATCTCGTTGAGGTGTCTCATCGAGACCTTGGTCATCAGGGGCTTCTTGACGGAGCCGCCAAAGACGGCCTTGATGCCAGTGTTGCGGCCCATCTTCTCGCAGACGTGGTCCATGACGGCCATGACGGAGTCCTGGCTCCACCACTCGGGGTCCTGGATGGACTCGACTTCACCACGCATGACGATAATCTGACCAGCGGGGACGAGCTTGCCACCGCCGTAGGCAGACCGAAGATGAGGGGGGACGCCGGAAGGCGTGACATCGCCGTTGAGAGACTGAGTGAGGCGAGTGACGAACTTGTTGCGCTGGCTGGGGTTCAGGGCGGTGGGAGGGCTCGAGGTGAGCACGAAGTTGCGGTCGAGGTCGACAACTAGAGCGTCGGTTGGCGCAGTGAAGAGAGAACGGCACTCGGCGGTGACACCGAGGATGTAAGGGCCAGGCTCCTGGACCAGATCCTTGGCGTGGCGAGCATGCACGACAGGGACGTAGAGACCACTCCACTCGTAGACGCGAACGCAATACCGGACAGTCTCGGCAGCCATTGTGAGCATGGCCGGGTAGTGACTGACAAAGATGATGCGGCGGGTCGGCGAGATAGCGGCCTCGATGACACCGACGATGTTGGGGATGGACAGACAGCAGAACAATGGCCACATGGCAAAGTTCTGAAAGCCGGTCGGCGACGAGGGGAACTGGTAGCAGAGAGCATAGTCCTTCATGTCAATGCGAACCAGGTCGTTGAGTCTCGGAGCCGGGAAGCTGAGGATGCGCGAGACCTCCTCGGCGTGAAACAGGTTGGTCGCCTTGTTCCAGTGGATCCACATTCCTCGCAAGTAGTCTCCGAGAAGGTTGTAAAGCGGGTACCGAGACAAAAACGACAAGCAGTAAGGAATCCAGTACGTCTCGTCGGGGTTGTCATAGTAATCGGGCTCGGTTCTCTTGCGCAGATCGCGAATGGTCTCGGCCCTCTTCTCGTCGGCTCGCGACCACACGCGGAGGCAGATGCCGTACAGCGTGTGGGACGAATCCTGCTGCAAAACGAAAGCATGATGGACGCAATGAGGCTGGCTGCGGCCAGTGCAGATCTCAACGTCGTGGGGAAAGCAAGCCTGGAATCTTGTCAGCCACAACAAACTCTATCAACAAACTTGGACGACATTCGGCTACTAACCCGCATAGCAGCATGCAACGACCTGGCGATCTCGTTGTCCTGCTCCAGTCTGGGACTGCTGCCGAGGATCTCAGGAAGCCAGAATTGGCCAACAGCACCCTTCATGTGACCAATCTTGCCCTGTGCGGGCGCGGGAGCCTTGACCCATTGCGAAGGTTCTCTGCCAACACCGCAGACCATGTAGGCGTGAGTAAGGGTCTTGGGGGTGCGCTGCTGGGGTTTCGCGTTCAAGGTGGAGGGGATCGGCTGGGTGATGCGCGAGTGGAGGGAAGAAGTGCGGCTCGGAATGATTAGGCTGGTGTCGCCCTGATCACGGGTGGTAGGTCGCCCATCGCGGTCGCCGGTCCGGGGCCGGGTAAAGGACGAGTGTGCATTGAGCGAAGGCGCCATTTCGTCGGGAATTAGTCGTCGTCAGAAGAGAAAACAGGTTCAAGTGGTGTAGCTGGATCGGAGGGAACGAGAAGGCGGCCTAGAAGTATGTGTTTCCGGGCGGCACACGATGTGACCAGCGTGTCGAAGGGAAAGGCGAGGATGCAATCGCCAAAGTAGGACGGCAGGCAAGCTACCCGGGAGAGCAAGCTCTCGTTACGAATTCGTCGTCGGGATCGTTGATCAGAAGGCCGCCATTCGAAGGAGCCTCTTGACAGAGCAACGTCGATTGTCTGGTCTGGTCGAGCGGCAATGGAAGCTCAGGCACAGACGTGTTGCTTGACTGACTTGACTGCTCGGTGACAGGTGGGGGGAGAGAAGAAACAAAAGAGGAGGGAGGAAGAGGAAGAAATTGGAGACGAGACAAGAAGAAGCAGTTCGGGCTCAGGTAAAAGGAGAGACTGTGTGTCAGGGGGGGGTGTTGAGATAGGATGCTGGGGTGGGTCGGATGATAGAAACCGGGGCAGCGTGGGAGGGGGGTGTGAGAGGGGGGAGGGACAAAAGAGGCAGATGGCGAGAAAACCGAGGGTGTGCCACTGGCGGACGAGCTAAAATGAAGCAAAAGGGGACCAAGCACCCCAGACGAAGCTGGAAGCGGAAGTGAACGGTCGAAAGCAGCAGCAGCTAGCAACAGCAGAAACGGAGGCAGAGACAGAGGCGGAGGCAGAGACAGAGGCAGAGGCAGAAAGGCACCGAGAGCAGCGAATGGGGGGGGGGGACGGACGGGGATTGAAAGCCTGAAGCCAACGTGCGGCGCAGCCAGGTACACGACACGACAGTGCTCCGTACCTTGATGCAGGTCCCGATGCTGCAGTAAGCAAGGTACAGAGGCGTTGTTGGTGCTAAGCAGCCCGGGGGGATGCAATGCAGCCAACTGCAGGCTTGGGCGAGTCGAATGGCACCCAAGGAGACGGATGGCAAGAAAGAAACGGTTCGAGGTCGACGAGGAAGCGAGAGATAGGAGAGAGTTTGGCGTAGCGAGGAGCCGTTCGCAGGAGCGGATAGTGATATGGGGCATGAGGACGGGTGTGCAAGGGGCCGTGCAGCGTAGCGTTGCCGGTGCCACCGCTCGACCGGGGGGGGCAGCCAATACGTAAAGTGAATGAGTGAGCCGGGGGGTGGATGACAAGCGGAACACTAGCGATGGAACCGCAGACAACAATTCCACTAGCACACCCACCAACTGCACCGACTGCGTGCCAGATGGAGCCCGGCAACGTGGGACTCGAAGCTCATAGTTCAATGGATCCTGCGATGGATGGGGGGGGGGGGGGGGGGGAACGAGGAACAAATTCCAAGGGGTTTGACTCTTGCGAGCTCTGGGCTCGAGGCCGCAGGCTGCGCTGGAGACCACAGCTCTTGCGAGTTTTGTAAGCTGTTGCAGCCTGAGGGCGGGACGGGGCTCGACTTGAGACTCTTCCGCACCGCACCTCGCGTTTAGGGACTCGGGGAAGCACCACCCGGGGACGTGGTCGATAGCGTCGACTGTGCTATAGGTACTACAGGTATGGAGGTACGGGTGGGTTGCTTATGGCAGTGGCCAAGCCAAAGCCAGGCCAGGCCGTCGTCGTGCAGCAGCTTCGAGCTACTATGGTACAGTACCTAGGTACGGTTGCGACAGCCCGTCAAGCCCATGACGGAGAACCGTTTCTCCCCCATTCCTTCCTTCTTTCTTTCTTTGTCGGCGGCCCTGGCAACACCAATCTCGCTGGACCGCGACAAGGGAAAAACACATCGTTGATCACTGGAGCTAGGGCTGGTCAGAGGCTCCCCTGGCCTGGCTCCTCGAAACTCTCCGGATCAAAGACTCGTCTCGGGTCGCCGTGGGAAACGGGAGGCGTGCGTCGTCCGGCACGCGGCCACTTGGCGAGGAAACCCAGGCGGGAGAATTCAAAAACGTCGCCACCAGCGTCAAACAAACGGCGTCAACCCAGAGACCAGACAAGAAGGAACGCTGGAAGAAACGGCTGAACAAGAAATGGGGGCAAAAAAAGAAAGGAAAAAGAAAAAAAAAAGAAAAACATTGAGCACAGACCCCCTTCTGAGGTACGGAAACTGGTAGCCACATACATTACTGCAGCAAAAGGGGGCACCGAGCATGAATGCTACAATACTTCACAGAGGTACTCTGTGCTCTGTATCCGTTCCGCTACACCAAACAAAACCCCCAAGACTACCGTACCTACATACAGTGCCTAGATGACGGAGCTACTGCAGCTCCTGCAGCAGGCTAGCCCGTTAAACGATCCGATTGCTCTGGAACGCATGCACCATCGAACCAATGGCCCGACGGGTCGTCCGCTGCTCTTCCTTTGTCCTCTGCCGTCGTCGCCGTTGGTGCCGGGGGTTGATAGCAAGTCGCAGAAGCCTCTCAGCAAGCCAGAGGAGAAGGAGGCGAGGACGAGGAGGAGCCTCGAGAGCGAAGATCAGGAAGGCCTCGTGGAAGCTTGTCAAGTCTGAGGAGCTAGCGTCGAGTCGTGGAGTGCTAGCGCCATGCGTCGAGGCTGCTAGCGTCGACTTGCTTCTCGCTCGTCATTTTCCTTTCGAAGGTACCCTCGTCCTACTGTAAATTCTCTTATTTCTTCGCCGACGCAGGGGCCCTTTTTTCGAGAGAAGGACGACTCGCAAGCTCAACCCCCCCCCCCCGGCTGATGCAGACGGAACCTGAACAAAACCTGGCCATCCCCTGGTCCCCCTACTAAGATTGAGTCTCCACCCCGTCATCAGTGGGTTCCGGCTGTTGACGGCCAACAATCGCCGACGCCTCTCAGCACCGGCTGCTTTCGCGGGAAATTGCCCAGTCTCGTTTGGAAACGACATCGCCTGTTGCAACTCCTCCCGCCCGTTGGTTCCTTGGAATATTGGTTCCGAAAAGGAAACTTCTGCTTTTCTCCTTCGGGCCACGATTGCCACCCCGATTCAGAGGCAGCTTCGGTCCGTCGCTGCCACCGAGAGAGAGAGCACACGAGGCTACCGGGGGCCTTCTTCGTGTCTTTGGGGGCGTCCACTCTCTCAACCGACGACCTGCAAACGATGGGCCGTCTCGTTGTGGACATTGGGTAGCCTGGTTGGAACCGGGGAAAAAACGCCCCCCAAAACCTCGGACGGGCATGCACTCTGCTGATCCTGCTCTGCTCTGCTCTGCTGCCCTTTGCCAGGTACATCATCACACACCAGCTCGCCCTTCTCACGCAACACGGCGCCCCAAGCGCATTGAGAAGCATGGCGGGCCCATGTTAACCATGTGCTGTGCCCCAGATCGTATCATGACTGGTGCCCGCGTCGTGCCGTGCTTTCCACCGTCGCAACTGCACATCACCCAACCAAAAGGACGGCATCCGAGCGGGCATTGCATGAAAGCGAGCAGCCATCTCTCAGCAGTCGTCCAAAATACGCGCATGAAATGCTACCCTCCAGGAGGACCCTTTTCTCCAGACGCATGTCGAATTCAAGCTCAAGAGGGACCATCTGCCGATACGCTCAGGCCCCCCCTTTCCATCTCCGATCCCCCAAGAATGCCCTCGTTCCACGGGTCGTCCCTGACGATTGATTGTTATGGGACATTTGACGACCGTCTGCGCCGCCGCCATCAGGCTTGTGGTTGGCTATCGGGGGCACCCACGTTCAACGAACCCGGATCGCCGCACCTGCAGCACATCCCACACGAACAGAGGCTTGTGTGTTTGGGAGGGGGATTAGGTAGGTACCTAGATCCGTGTGGGCATGCGCTAGGGACTGCCAGCGCCTTAACACGAGCATGCTAGGTCATAGTACCACTGTGTGCGCGATAACGCGCGCACATGCAGCTGGCTGGCTCGCTTCGCCCCCTCAGCAAGCCACGATCAGGGTCCTCTAGCAGGCACATAGTGCGAGACGCCGTCGAGACCCGGCCGCGCCTATTACGGAGGATTTTGAACCGCGGCGCGCGATTCATCGTTCGCCAGCCGCCTCTCCTCCAAGGGGCTTCCTTGATTCCGTGACGGAGATACACGAGCTCGACTCGAGTGATGAGTGGGCTATGGGGCGATGAGAACCGCGGGAGACGGATCGCGAAGAGGGACAGCCTCGCAACGAGAGCCCCACCGAAGACGCCGTTACTGATTCAGCGCAACTTGGATGACGGATCATGACGGGGGCATCTGCCAGCTCGACGTGAAGGTCTTGTCAGTGCTCAGTCCTCCAAGTCAGTGCTCGCTGCGTGTCTTCGGGTATCGACGACGCGGCAGCCGCACCAACAAAGAGACTCGAGCACCGTCCAACCTTTGAAGCTGCTTCCTACCTTGCTTACTCAGACAAGGTGTTCGAGGGCCAAAACATCCGCCGAATCCTTCCAGACGGAACAGCTTGACAGATTCGGTGACAGCATGGGGGCTGCTGGCTATTTGGCGCCGTTGGTCTGCCTCCATTTGCCAACTCTATGCTTAGTTTGTTTCCTCTGCATGCACAAGCCTTTTCAGATACATTGAAACCCGTCCCCTTCACTTTCCCTCCAGCCTCACGTCGACCCGCCCTCTCCGGACTCGACCCCCTCGACGTTGGACACTCACCAGAACGAAGGCATCATTGTCGTCCTCTTCGCAAGCCTATCCCGTTTGTCCTGCTTCTTGAACTCCGCCGTCTTCTCCAGTCATTGCGGCCCGATTTGCGCGGTCCATAGGATTGGTCCTATGGCAGCTATCGCCATCTATTCTGCGCTTTGACCCGTCGCTCTGGCCCAGCCAACCCGGAGCACAAGGCAGCTTGGGATATCTCGCCCGTGTTATGAGCCTACCTGGACTAATAATGCTCCGCATAAAACGCTTCAGCCGCGGATCTGTAACCCAAAGCTCAGAAGCTGGTTTCTTCCTCCCCCCACACCCTCACGAGCCGAGACTGAGGAACACTCCGGCTGCTCCTGGCCACATGGACGATCGAGGGAGGAATCCGGACGATCGAAGGAGGAATCCAGACGAGTCCAGAGGCGCTAGGCCACAAGAGCGAGGTTCATCGAAGGCGTTCCGGTTCGGACTTGTGCTCTCTGTCGTCCCCATGCATCGTTGGCCACTAGTGAGAGAGGGGGCTGCGAAGTGCTCCCTCTGAGGCTCCAGTCTCTTCTCGTTCGGGCTCTTCCCTGCCCGCGCGCCCTCTCTCCATCGAGCTCATTGCTAAACTCTCGTTCCAAATTGTTCTTGTCAGCTGCCCGTCCCAAGATGAGCAAGCCTGGACCCTGTCGTGATCCGAGCACCCAGTCCCGAAGCCCTGATCGCTGTCCATTTTACACGCACTGATTGACAGACGGCCAGTGAACGCGTCCCATCTCCTCAGTCCTTGTCCTCCCGCCCCGGTTCGTCGAAATTCGAGGAATCGACAGCGGGCTCTCGGGCGGTCCCCGTCTCTTTATCTGAGATTCATTTGGATTTCTCGTTTTGACACCCACTCTGGAGCGGAACCCCCACCACCCTGCTTGCTCTGCTTTGCTTGCTCAAAGTTGGTTGGTTGGCACATTCGTACTCGTCTCAACTAATATCACTCACATCGTCACCGAACCCCATATACCGTTTGCTGCTGACTGCGACGCCCGACCTCATCGGTACGTGCAAAGTACCGACCGAGAAGCCTGCCATGGCCTTGGCTGGGAGATGGCCCGAACGCGAGGCAAAGCAACGTTGAGAAGCGCTCCGCGCTGCGTGGCAGTAGCACGGTGAAAGTGATGTTGCAGGGCCGGCCTGCGCTGCACCACTCATCGTCACCTGCAGACACGCGAGGTCCGTCGGGCAGTCAGTCAGCCGAAACTGAGAGTGCGCCATTAGACACGCCCGCTGTCATCCAGCTGTTGGATTGGCGAATTGTTTCACGCGCGCCATCTGCTAGGCTGCTCTAACACTACCGACGACCACGATCCAGCCCAGGGTGTGGGCAAGCGGCCATGTGCTGGCACCGTTCCTGACCAGGACGAGCCGCATGCAGACCGGATCCCGCTCCAATTTCCCAAATATCTCTGTAAGCACGTTGTCACAACGGGACCCGGCTCAACCGTCGTAGGGCCTCGCAAGCCCAACAACGACGAGTCGGACGGGAGACTCTTGACCCAGGCCTCGAATCGCCAGATACGAGCCGCCTCTGTTCACTATAGATGAGGCCGCGGCGCACAGTCCGTCGCGCGCATGTGCGAAACAGTTCGGATGGCGTGGTGGTGGACAGAACAATGGCATATTGCAGTGACGCCGACAAGCAGTGTAAAGTCGGCAGACCCGGCTCCTAGATAGTCTTGAGCGGATGAACCACTCCTGGACATGGACAACAACAAAGTCAATACCAACCTCCGCCGGTGGCACGGGAAAACTGACACCATCTTCACCGGCGGCCATCTGCCTGATTCGAGCTATAGCAGCTATAACAGCAATACCACCCCCACCGGTCGTGCTCGGCTGCATGCCGTTTTGGTAGCGACAGACGTCGGGTGGGCTCTCGCTTCGTCCATTTCCGGGTGAGACCTGTCACCTCCGAGTGCCCTCCTGGGCCTCACCCTCTTGCCGCTACCTAGTTTTTACGTCCCAATCCCCGGTCGGCACGCACTTTGTTGTCTGGTCTCCTCGACCAGTGGCCCCCAACACTGACCCGGTTGCCGAGAAGGACAGTGGCAAACGACTTGGCGCCCCGTGCGACGACGGCAGATGTGCCGAGCAATCAGAGCCAGACGTTCGCTCCAGCAAGGGCTACGCGAGTGCAGCGTCAACCTTGCCAACCCACGACGGTCGACCCAACGGCTTCGACGGTTGGCCCAGCGCCTCCCCCCACGATACTTCGCGGCCGTTCCTTCCAGCTTCGGTCCCATCCCACGCGCGCAAGTCGATCCCGGCGAGGCCGACGAACCGAAAGTGCTGCGGGCGCTGCCCCAGATACGCTCCGGGCCCCGCCCTCCGCCGCCCCACCGCCCCTGGACCGGTCGACCATGCCGGCTCGGGGCCAGACGCCGCGCTGCTGACGGTGCCGATAGCGCGGACGCCGGCGCCGTCGCCGGCTCCTCGAAACCCACGTGTCGAGTCTCGACAAGGTCTAGTCTCGAGTGAGTGAAACGTCACATCAAGCGATGGCGTCTGGACCGCTCGCCCGCCGCGGAACAACGGCCTCGCCCCTTTTTTTTTTCCCCCTCGAGCCCGCGGCCGTTCTAGTTCCGCCGTACAGCGCCGTAGGCGGGCATCCGGCAGAGAATCCTATAATTGGCAATCAGCAAATGGTCTGGTGCGCAGAGTAGCACTGTTGTCCGGCGGTTTGTGTCTTGACCGTGGCTTGTCCTCCAAGCTGGGTTCACTCCTCCAGGATATCCGACTCGCCACGGGACTTTTGTCTTCCTCACGAGGCGTTTCAACCGCCCCGGCGTCTCGTCTACTCAACTCCCCAAGGAAGCCATTCCTCGCGCGGGCTCTAAACCCTCTTTCTCTCACTCTCTTTAATGGATTTTCCCCACATTGGTTCCGTCC